TTTCTCTCTCTCTCTCCTCTTTTATTTTCCTTTGTTTTCCTTTGTTTTCCTTTGTTTTTCTTTTTTTCTTTTTTTCTTTTTTTCCCTCGGTTTTTTTTAATTCTGTGAATGACTCTAGATCATAAAACTCCAAAGGTAGACCTCGGAGTTCCATCTTACCAGTGCACATCTAGATGATGACTGGAGACAGAGCCTTATGTATGATGCTGTGTGAAAGTAGTCATGATTCCAGCATGGCATTTGCTGTTTTATGGGTTTGCTGGGGGATCAGACAGAATCTTCCCGGGGCGTTGGAGGGAGAGGAGTCGGAGGGGTCGATATGGATACCAGACACAGACACAGACACAAATACAATTCAGACGAAATTTGCACCACGAGAGACCACACGAGAGGAGAAAGGAAAAGATGGAAGTCATGATTAAATTATCGAAATAATCTAGCTCTGTCTGATAATCGACAAGCAGAAGTTGCGAAGTGTTCCGAAAACATGATAACATGGGTGACCATGAATGAGAGTCATAATGTCATGAGATTGAGAAATGCGCTGAGAAAAGGCGCTGAGAAAAGGCGCTGAGAAAAGGCACGCTGCTTTGATATCTACGATCATGGAAAGTAACAGAGATGGATGGACCATGTCCATTAGGATATGAGAGAAGAGCGAGAAAATGAGATGGATCGGAAAAAAAGAAGAAAAATTGTCGTAAGCCGTGCTAGAATTGCTCACAGACGAGGGAGGAAACATTGACTTCAAAGAGAAAAAGAAAATAACCAGAGGGGAGACAACCGCTAGACTAAGGACCGGTTGAACGAGAAGGAGAACTCGCGCGGTCAGGAGAGCGAGACGAATTGTCTCCACCTTCTCCATTGCCTTCGAGCATGCGCGTATTTGCGCCGAGAATGGGATACAAGATGTTATTCCCACTGGGATTGCCATTGGTATTATTATTGCCGTTGGTAGTCGTAGGAGTGGAAGCAGCATCAGGACCAGAACCAACACCCGCTCCAGATGAGCTACCTGTGCCCGGTGACTGAAATGAGGGCGGCGTATTCAGCGCAGACGATGGCTGTGAAGAAGGAAAAGGGATATGAGCCGGCGGGGCCGTACTAGGCGGAGGAGCAAACGCAGAAGGTGCGGCAAAAGGCTGAGAAGAAGGAAATGCGGGAGGGAAAAAACCGCCAAATCGTTCCTTGACACGATCGAGAAATGGCAGAGCAGAGTACAATCCACTTCTCAAATCGGGAGTGGGTTGAGGAGGAGCGCGTGCAGCTAATTCAGCCCTTTGACGCGCCAGCAACATCCGCTGGTACCCTTCGGGATCAGTCCGTCTTAGTTGCTCGTCTTTGGTGATTTGATCAACTTCCTTTTCTTCTTCTGCCGTGAGCTGCTCGGCATCTTCTCGATGGAAGGTTTCGTCGAGCTCAATGGAGCGAATAGCTCGCTGCCTATGACGAGATGTCAGTCGCTGGGGGGATTTACATTGCGACCAGACAAAGCAACTTACAACATTGGATCTTCGGAAGCTAATATCTTATCGAGCACCTTGGGATCCTTTCCCTTGAATTCGGAGAGATCCTTCTTCTCGACTTCAAAAGGTTCAAAGAGATAATCCCGGGCCTTCTTGACGGCTTGTCGCATCGGATTTTTCCGATCCACAACTCTCGATGCAAGCTGAAGCTTGAAGACAGCCTTGTTGTGCACAACGTCCTCATATGTTCCGCCCATAATGAGTCGGTAGACAAATACTGGTTTAGTTTGGCCCATCCGATAAGCGCGGCCAACTGCTTGCTCCTCATGCTGTGGATTGAATGAGAAGTCCACGAGAATGACCCGATTAGCCCCAAAGAGGTTCAAACCTATCCCTCCTGCCAAAGTTGAGATGAGATAAATGTCATATGAGCCTTGATTCGAGTTGAAGGTTTTAGTTGCAGCCTGCCGTGCAGCCATTGTTGTGCTGCCGTCCAAGCGGCAGTATTTTCTTCCCTCGCTGCTCAACATCAGCTCGAGATAATTCAAAGTCGGAATATTCTGCGAAAAAACAAGGACTTTATCCGACGCTGCCTTTGACAAATCAATTATCTTGTTGATGAGACACATCTTGTAAGAATGTATGGTCTCGGCGAGTGGAGGGTCTGCGTTGGCCAGGAGTTGCATTTCTCTATCAATGCAGGTGACAGGAATCCCTTGTTCCACGACAGTTGTGTCCTGCTCTAAATCTTCATCAACAATATCATCATCCTTGTCAGTAATCTCATCAATCCTATTGTTCGACTTTTTGCTTCCTGTCTTTGATATGAGCTTATCGCGAAAAGATTTTGGATGATTGCACAATACGGACAATGTCCGCAGCCATCCCCAAACACGAGTATCGGCAATTCTGTCGCTCTCATTTGATAGCAGCGATTGAACAAACAGCTTGTAAGCTTCAGTCTGAAGGTCGGTCAAGGAAATCTTCATGAGAAATTCTGTTTTTGGTGGTAAATCGCCTTCAAGGACATTTAGACCAGCGCGGTGCATTTTGGGTGCTAAGCTCCTCTCCAGTGCGCGGAGCCGTTTCAGGCTCAATCTCTGCTCTGGACGAGTACTGTCAGAATAAAGTCCATCTCTGATTGGCTCCACATAATTTGCCCGAAACTCCACTTCATTTCCAAGGTATCCTGGCGCAATCCAGTCAATCATTGCAAAATATTCCTCCAGGCTGTTTGCAAGTGGAGAGCCTGTCAGTGCAATACGACTTTTCGATTTGAACCCAGTAGCGGCTTTGGAGATGGCCGCCTTGGGATTTTTCAGCCGATGGGCTTCATCTGCAACGATAATGTTCGGCCCTTCTAGCAAATGCTCCATGACTGTGCGATGCTGGTCTTCGCTCAGTGGCCTTTCCAAACCTTTTCTTGCTTTGTTATGAACAAAGATCCGAAACATTTCGTAACTCATCAAAAGCACGCCCTTATTGCGGTACCATTTCGAAATCTCCTTGATCCGAAGAGATGGTGATAGTTGCGTGTCAACTTTGTGGGGCGCGCCAAACATATCACGCAAAGATCTCGGTGTCCACATGAGTATTTCATCCCACCAGTTTTCAATCAAACTTGGCGGACAAAGGATCAAAATCCGTGGATTCTTCAAGCTCTCGGGGATTTGGCGATAGATCCTGGGGTCCGAACTATGGGACGCCTCTGTGATGGAGAGAAGAAGCGTGATCACTTGCATCGTCTTGCCCAGTCCCATCGTATGGGCAAGAAGACAACCTTGAAGAGAGTTTTCATCCGTGACAATTTCTCGCCACATGAATTGGATGCCTTCAATCTGATGTTTCTTGATGTAGCTGCCGACATGCTTATTGATGTAAACAAACGCTTGGCTGGCAAGCTTTCCAGGGTTTACGGGGATTCGATCCGGGTTGTCAAGATACTTCACACCCAGCTCCTTGAGCTTCTTCTGCATCTGCATTTCTCGTCGTTTTTGTAGTTTAACACGATGCTGGTCCCTTTCACGAGCATCAATTGCTTGAGCGCTCTCCTTGACCTCTTTTTTCCTTTTCGTTCGCAAAACCTCCGGGGTATCCATAGAAGCATCGACCGCTTTACTCTTTGAAGCATCTGCGATTTTGTTATGTGGGGTATGTGGAATCTCCAATGGCGCAGACGAGCGACTTGCGCGCTGAGAGCTGGGTTTTCGGGGGAAATGACCCGAATCGTCGTACATCTCCAAAACTCTTCGAAGAAATCGTCGAAAAGTAAAGAATAACTTGACGTTTGCCCGTCCAAGCCGGATGACGCTCACTTTAATGCCGGTCTTTTCCGGCCTCAGTTTTGTTGCGGTCAAATAACACAAATAAATGCAGGCAAGTGTTTGATACGGCTTGGTGGTTTCCGCATCAAACCCACGCATTCTCTCAGAATCCTTCGCAAGCGAATCCAAGGCATCCCATACCATATCTCGGAGCCCTTCTTCGGATTTTTCGAAGAGAAGCGATCGTAACCAACGCCGCATTGACGGAGAGAGGCGGTAGATGAGTTTGATAATTAGTCGTTTCCGATCTTGATTCTCCTCCAGGGTCTCGTATTTAATCCTGTTGATAGCCTCAAAATCTTCATATTCGTGGGTCACTTGACTTTTGTTGGATGCTGTGTCAATAAGGTCGGTTACCGATACCGAGTCCTCCAACTTTGGCATCCGAAATTCTTTGGCTATTGACGGTGACAAAGACCGTGGTGCTTGGACTTCTGGTTCGGTATCCGAGAAAGTCAGATCGATGATATTACTAACTGCCTTGCTTGATGGCCTGTGCTCTTTGAGAGAAGGAGAAGATGTGACTGGTCCAGATTTGCGTTTTGGCCGAAGCATAGAGTTTCCGATCAGTGGTTTAGGGTCAGCGGTTGGAGCCTTGGGTGAAGCTGCCGGTGTTTTGGAAAGAGAGCCCTGAGGCTGAGGGTCTTTGACGGAGATTGAAGAGACTTCATGCTCCACCAAAAGGTCATTCGACGATTTCTGAAGTGGATTTGCTGATTCTGAAGGAGCAGCGATCGCCTCAGAGATATCAGATTGAGCGTCCAATACACCATCCGGCTCAGGGTTTTCCACATCTCCATCGTCTTCTTCGTCATTAACCACAAAGTCAGCCATGCTGTCATCATCATCATCATCATCTTCATCGTCGCTCAAGTCGCTTCCACTTTCAAGTAAAACCCCATTTTCGGTAGCGTTATGTGGCGCTCCAGACTGACGTTTTTTGATCGCTTTGCGTTCAGGTCGATCGGGCTGAGACTTTTCAGTCCACAAACCAATCTTCCATGCAAGCTCTTCCCGGTTGAAAATTGTTTGTTCCATGATGCGGCACTGTTCTCGGAGTTGGAGGCTGCTAGTCCATTTCTCTTTAGCAATTTCGGCTTTCATCTTTGGTAAAGGACCGCCATTGATCCTCTGAATATGGCCTATTGCTTCGTCGATGAGAGTTTCACGAGTCCCTTCCCCTTCACGTCTGGCGCGTCTCCACAAGCTCCACGCCTTTCGCTCAAATTTTGGCGCCATTCGCTCCTTCCATTTCAGAACTAATTGTTCGACACTATTGTCAATGATTTTCCAAACCATTTCATCTGATAGAAGCCTCCTTTGTCGATGTTCCTTTGGGCGATCTCCTTTTTCCTCTTGAATTTCCCGCCACAGGTCAGAGTCATATTCACCTTCGGAGCCCGAATTCCCATATACCGGCTCTACACGGTCATTTTCCACAGACATCCATTTGGTGAGAAAATCCCAGTCCTGACCTGTCTCGTCTTGCAACTTGAACGTCTCATTTTCCATGCCTTGAGACTGGATTCTTTTTGCAATTGCAGAAATATTTTGCGCCCTTTGAATGCGGGACAAATGCTTTTCGCGCTGAGTGATGGAATAGCCTGGACGAGGACGAGAATGCGCAGCCACGAGTTCGTCCCCGATTCCCTTGGCCTCAGGCCAAGAAGCTAAGTCTTCCCGTAACGCATCCACTCGGCCTTCTGATTCCTCGAATAAGGTGAAAGAGTCGGTTACTGATTTTGGAACAAGCCTGGTTGGGTAAGGTTTCACAACAGTAATGTGTTGATCACCTGAGCGGAGAATTTGTCCTTCAGACTTGCAGAAATAGTGACGGATGAGGCTGTGTATGTAGAGTTGACGCCCTGTAGGAGTTGGAACTGGAGAGTCAAAACCCCATTCATCGTCATCCGAGCCCTCAGGTCCCTCAGGGGAAACGACCTGACCAACTCGTGAATCCCCATAAAAGATATCATTTACCGGAAAAGCTTTACGGCCGAGGTAACCTTGACGTCGTGTAACCACTTTCCTAAACGAAGATGAAGGGAGGTTAGTTATTTCTGAGATCCGAGTCTGCTTGGCACCATCGATATTGCCTGCAGCGTTGCCTGCAATGGTTCGACCAACAGACTCCTCGATTTCAGACGGACTCTGATCATCGGCGATTGTATTCCCATCCCCCACCGATGATTCTCTATCCTCAAATGTAGCAATAAGCATAGGAGCTACCCGCTTTTTTGGCTTTTCTAACCCAGAAGCCTGCATCTCATCTTCAGCAAACCTCTCCTCCGACTTCTCTTCATTATCAACATCGTGGAGAGATACATGCCGCGAAGGCAGTGGGAAGTCATCCACGTCAACGAATTCTTTGTCGGTAGCAGAGAGAGGTTCTTCATGCATTTGTACAACGCTTACAGACTTTGATCTGTCAGCGGTAAAGTCGCCTTCATTCGTAATAGCTTGGTCCTCATCAAAGGTGGGAAGAGAAGATCCCTCCGCTTCCTGCAATGGAACATCCAATGTTTGCTCCGTCGAACGGTCATTGGCATTTTCATCAGCTGTTTTGCGACGCTTTGTTTCTCTTTCATCATCGGTCGTCAACACCTCGTCTTGATGCGAACCGGCAGAAGCAGGAAATGACTGAAGTGGCACACCGTCCGGCAAATTCTTCGACCCATTTACGAGATTGCTAGAGGATGGTGAGCCTTGAGAGGAAGGTTGAAGAAGACCAGGCTGTGTTCGGAGCAACAATGGCCTCTTCCGCGCTGAAAAAAGCTGCGAAGGGGTAAGTGGATGTATGCCTGGTATGGCGAGAGGAGCAGCAGCGGCTGGAGATGGTGTAGCGAACGCTGAAGACGGTTCAACAAAGCTGTTCTCTTCCTCCCATTGTAGACGCTCGAGATATTTTTTAGACTGCACTCGCAGAGTCCTAACAGCAAATCTTATCACCGCGCGTTGACCGAGTGAATGAACTCCGAGTGAGTCTCGCAGCTGCTCCTCGCTCAACTCTGTCAAGAATACCCATCCAGCGACATCATTCTCGCGAATCTTCTCGATTAGAGCAGTTTTATCGAGTGGGGTGCTCGGTCCGGCAGTCGAAGGATCAAACTCGCGGATATAATTGATGACTTGAGAGACGTCCCAGTCAAAGGGATCATCATCAACGACCTGCTCCATTCTGAATGAATTTGAAGGCTGGCGTAGTGTGAATTGAAGTAATCCATTCGAGAGACAGTGTTGACAGCGTGGGATGTTTATGTACACGTCTGGTGTCGGCCGTCCGACGCGTTGAGAGTGAATGCTAAGACACGTCAATTTACTAGGTAGCTACCTGTCCCGCTTCCAACGGCGTACCTCAAGTGAGCCCGATATAATTCACTGTTCTATCATCAATCAGTTGCAAGCGTCATGTGAGCAAGCATCGTCAGGGCTATGTCGCAGAAGCTTGAATTCTGCCCATCTATTTTAGGGCACAGCTGTGCCGCAGGAGCAGGGATTGAGGAGTATTTGACTTGTACAGCCACCTCGTATGCGACAGTGAGAGGATTCGTGATGAAATAATAATCTGAAGTGAGAAGCTGCTTGAAAAGGTAGACAGTGAGATTGAAACAGGCGTTTCCAGGGAAAATGGGTCAAGTTTGCTTGAAGAATCCGAGCGGTAATATTGTCTCACCGCGACCGTTGAAGTTGCTCCCTCACCGCTTTTGCGATTCTGCCATGCGATTGTCGCCCCAGGGGGCTTTTTCTGGTTAGACCCAGCGGGATACTAGTTTTGAACTAGTTCGATGACCTTCTATAAGCTTATCCGTTTGATAACACGATATCAGATCTGATTATGGTAACCCTAATCTTTGAACACTATTATTCCAGTCATTGAACTTGAATTTCACGTCATAGGTAAGATTTAATTGAATCGAGATGGTCTGTATCTATACTACTTTTTTTTCTGACATTTGCTTCAGCAGCATCACAAAAAAACCTGCCTTATAATCCTCTCGTATCGCCTAGCAGATGCAGAAGCATTACAATTTACAACCTAAAAGAAATGAGAAGCAATTCAAGAAAAGTTTCGTACAATATCACATTTTGAAATATAAAAGTCATTGAAGCAAGGAGCCTCTGAGATAACCGTATTATACCAACAAATACTTCATCATGAGGACCTCTTACTTTCGTCTCCGGGCAAGCTTTCTACTCACACGCTCCCTTCGCTCTTCAAACACCACGTTGCATCATTCCAAGAGCACACAACTACTATACCCACCGTATCGAAACCAATTTTCTTCTCTCACTTGCCACTTATGCCAATCCACTCCCTCCTCAGCTTCTGCCCTGAGAGGCATTGGCATCGAGTATATGCATCTAGAAAATGTAGAGGAACTCGAACGCTACCGCCCTGGAGGTTACCACCCTATATCAATCGGAGACTGCTTGCATAACCGCTATCAAATCATGAACAAGTTGGGTTTTGGCGCTTACTCAACTATCTGGCTCGCTAGAGATGAGAAAGCACAGCGGTATGTCGCTATCAAAGTAAAAATCGCTGCGGAGGACTCTCAAGAGGAGAATATTCTTCATCTTTTAGGTGCTACAGACCCGACGGCAGGCAGACTCGCTGCGATTCCACAAATTCTGGACAAATTTAACCTTGTCGGACCTAACGGAACGCATCAATGTTTAGTGACAACGCCTGGGGGGCAAAACCTCTCATCTTTCGGTTTATTCCAACCGCGTGTCGCGAGGGCTATTTCTGCCCAGCTAGTCCAAGCTGTGGCTTATTTGCATTCCAGATCTGTTGTGCACGGCGGTATGTCACAGTTTTTCACTCCGAAAATGTTTGAATTCGTTTGTGTTAATTTCTAATAGATCTTCACTCGGGCAATATAATGCTACACTTACACAAATCACTCGACCACCTTTCACCTGAGCAGTTCCGCAAAAAGTACGGCAAAGCCTACCTCGAGCCCGTTCGCCGTCATGACGGCAAGCCGCTGGGCAAAGGCGTTCCCTTATACGGTGTGCTACCCATGTGGCTCGGGAAGAAGAGCGAGTATATCTCCCTACCCGAAGCTCGAATCTTCCTCACCGACTTTGGGGAGGTCTTTTTGCCCTCTGTGACTCCACGATATTACTCCCACACGCCCCTTCACTTGAGACCTCCAGAAACTTTCTTCTCGCCTCAAACACCACTCTCCTTTGCTGCTGATATCTGGACGCTTGCTTGTACAATCTGGACAATTACTGGACAGCGTACGCTTTTCGAGGACTATTTTATGTCTACTGATTCGATGATTGGAGAGTATGTTGATGTTCTTGGCCAATTGCCATCTGGATGGTGGCATGGGTGGGACGCGCGAGCAAGATGGTTCAATGATGAGGGTGAAAGAGATCCCGAATCCCCCAACCATATAGTGAATACCTTTTCAGAGCGGTTCGAGTACTCGATTCAAGAGCCAAGAAGGGAAAAACGTATGAAAGAATTCGAAGAGGCAGAAGAGACTGAGTTTCTCTCCATGTTGCAAGCTATGATGGCTTTCAGGCCCGAAGACAGACCATCTGCCAAAGAGGTCATGCAGTTTGAGTGGATGAGAGAATGGGCTCTCCCCGAACTTGACAAGATGGATTATTTCATTAGTAATGACAATTGGACTAGTAGATAACACGTAACCAATTTATTTCATTTAAACAACATACATCATAGACCTATTGACGAATGAAGAAATTCGGAAGAGCTATCCATTTGTGTATAATGTCGATAACAATCTTACCAAAAAAATAAAAGAAACCCGAAAAGTAAAAGCAAAAATAATCCAGAATGTGAAACGTACTCCACAAAGTGAAACCTTACGTCCATCAATAACAGTAACAATTAGTTCCCGCGTAGCAAATTAAAAAGCCTTCGGGTCGAGCACTGCACCGCTCACTTGCAACCAAAGCTGCCAAACTTTAACCCTCCTGTATATCTCGTCACATAGCCCAGATGGATGATGCTTTTACCAAGATCCGTCCCTAGATGTCTGCCAGCAGTTCTATGCTTCACCCATAAGCACTCCGAGAAAAGTCCATCTAATCCCAAACCCACGTAATGCCAATCTTCTTCTCCAGCCTAGCCTGCACCTTCGTCCTCCGAGAAGCGAGGACTTCCCATCTTTGATGCTTCTGCCTTGAATGCCTGAAGAACGCGATGGCAATCCGGCCCCAAGACGACCTCGCTTTGCCTCTCTGGTGTATCGACATGGAGAATCCCATCGTCTATGTAACAACTCAGTTGCTCACTAAAGCTTCGCTTAATCCATTTATGATAAATAGACTGTAAAACTTTGCTGTCCAGGTCTTGGAAAATAGAAGGGAAGTAATCTGATTTCATCAGTGTCTCCTCTATTTCATAAGTTATCTCTAAATCAGCGAGTTTAGGTAGCATAGGGCGAAGAATCTTCTCTGGCAAGGCAGGCCGCTCACTTAAACATTTGAAAGCAGCCAACCTTGCCCCTGGGTCATGGTCGTCCAATCGTGCAACCATATCCAGAAGAATAGTTTCTGGCAGTGCATGTTGCTTCCCTAATGTATTAAAAGCTGACAGCCTCACTTCTGGTACATCATCGTCTAGTCGGGTAGCTATGGCATGGAGAATTGTTGCTGGTAGTGTAGGTTGCTTTCTTAATGCATGAAGAGCCAAACCCCTTACTCTTGGCTTACAGTCTTCCAGTCGGGCCACTATGATGTGGAGAATGGTTTCTGGCAGTATAGGTTGCTCCCCTAATGCATTAAAAGCTGACAACCTCACTTCTGGTACATCATCGTCTAGTCGGGTAGCTATGGCATGGAGAATTGTTGCTGGCAGTGTAGGTTGCTTTCTTAATGCATGAAGAGCCGACTCCCTCACTCTTGGTTCATCATCCCCCAGCCGGGTCACTATAGCCGGGAAAATATTTTCTGGCAGTGAGTGTCCGTTGCTCAGAGCATTGATAGCAGCACGTCTTATCAAATAATTACTATTATTCAATTGACTTGCTATGGTCAGAAAAACAGGCTCTGATCTTCTTCTTTGCACAGCCAAAACATTAAGGGTAGTAATCCTTATTCCTGGATTATCATCATTTAGCCATGCCGCTATGGCCTGGAGAATAATCTCTGGGATGTAAACATTTGTCTGTAAACGTTCAAGAAGACTCTTTCTTGCATGTAGACCAGCATTATCAAGTTGGAAAGCAACGGCCCGAGAAATCTTTTCTGGCAGAACAGATTGATCAATCAAAGCAAGAAGAGCACTGCTGCTTATATGTTTATTGTCATCATTGAGTAATGCTGCCAGTGCTTTCAGAAGAGGCTCTGGGAACGAACGTCCTAATGGCAAAGTAGAAAAGACTCTAGCCTTCACGCCTGAATCATGGTTCTGCAGTTGAGTAGCTTGTGCTACTGTGTACTGGAATGCAATCTTGGATGTCCTTGAATGGTGAAATAGAATATTATGTGCATGTCTAACTGAATGACAATCAGCAAATTCAAGTAGTGACACAAGTCTCCCGAGAACATTCTCTGGCAAGCTAGATTGATTGCACAGAATTGTAGAAACATCAGGCATCGTGTGTGAAGTAAGAGGTTGGGACAACATGGCATTGAGAATACTCTCTGGCAAAGCTGCCTGCTTTCTTAATGCCCTGGCAGCCCGCCCTCTAAGCTCTTTTGACTCATCATCTTTGAGTACAAACCATAATGCCAAGAGGGTGCTTTCAGGCAAAGCTTCCTGAAACCTCAAGCTGGACGCGGCCGTCAATTTCAGCTCCAAAGAAACATCATTCTGGAGATAAGAAGCTATTTGGTTTGAAAAGGTTGGTGAAAATTGTGATGTCGATTTAAACCCTTCCATAACTCTTTGCTGTATGTCTTCGGATTCTGTGTTTAAGATGTGGTGTATAATACGCCCAGGGAATTCCGTATCACGGCAAAACGGAGTCCGTCCGGTCCAATTAAGCTCAAAAAGCAACCATCGCTTTAAATGGTGCTCCATTTCTGCTCGGCGCTGCTCCAAGTTGGGATACTTATCAGATGACGCCAGCTCGTAAAAGCAATTTACAAGACGCCGCTGATGTACAGGCCCTAAAAGGTCCCGCGGCTCGTCTTCAAGCACGTCCAAGAATTGGAGAAGCTGTTCTTCGTCTTGAGCTTGAAGCAGTCCAGCTACAAAGGACCAAAAGAGGTCATAGCGTCCATTGTACTTTTCTCGCTGGAGGAACTTGCATGTTGAGTCTTGAACGATGCTTGATTTCCTTGCAGAGCTCAATTTAAGATAGGAAAGTGGTTGATTGGACTGCCAACAGCGGACAAAATACTGCGCTGCAAAGTATTCTTGAAACGTCAAATGAATGAAGTGGTAGCTCCGGTCGTGTCCCTTGGATGCAGAGTCGGAGGAGCGCAAAAATGAGAGTTTGTCCAGGATATGGTCAGACATGTTGAAAAGTTCGAGGTGTTCGTATACTTTGTTGCGCTCGTATTTATTGAATTCAATGATGTCGTTATAGAGGCCAGTAAATGACAGCTTCTGGAGCAAGTCAATCTCTCCCTGCACGTGTCTTTTAACCTGCGACTGAGTCTCTAGGAGCTGGACTTGAGCTTCGCTTAGCAGCTCTCCATAATTCCTCTTTCCCAATTGAAGGATATCTTTTTTCCATAGTCTGAGTTCAATTGCCCGGTAGAGGGTTGTCATGGTGTTAGGTACGTCTTCGGGAGGGACTTTTCCATCCCAGCTGTAGCAAAGTGCATCGAGCTGAATCGGAATTTGAACGAGTCCTTCAATAAGCTCGTGGCCTTTGATAAATTCCTGAATCTGTTGTAGTGCAACTCTATCGTTCACCACCGTCTCAAGGTAAGTTTGCATTTGAGCTGGACGGAACCCGACAGCTTCTAATTCGATATCAAAGGGTTGAAAGCCGGGTAGTTTTGCGTATGGTCGAGAGGTAACAATGACATTCTTTTGGTTGAAAAGGCCTTTAAAAAGCTCAGCTAGATCATTTCCAGACTGGGTTGGCTCCGCCGCGATTTCATCCAGCCCATCAAGTAGGAGTAGAGTCCTTTCATTCATCCCACCGCATATGGCGTCCCATAGAGCTGAAACCAGACTGTCGCGTTCGCCATGCATGAAGAAAAATTCCTCGGCGAGGAAATCTTTCGGATGATTCTTGCCCTTTAATCTTCGCAGCGGTATCCAAATTAAACGGTCGTATAGATCGTTCCACATTTGACCGCAAAGGAAGTCGTGAACGATTTTCTTGCACAGTGAGGTTTTTCCGACCCCAGCACGTCCTCGAATCAATATGCGTCTGGGCTTGACCAAGCCGCCATCCTGTATCTTCCGATCGCTGAACAAATCTGGCAAATGTACTTCTTTTCCAGTCTCAGCCGTATTGACCTTCAGGCGATTGAATAGTGAAAAGCGGGAAATTTGTGATTCCGGATTTCTCGTCTCGTTTGCAGCCTTTCCTGCTGGTACCTCCAGTATACTAAGGTTGATATAACAATGCTGGATCGGAAGATAGTCGCCAGATAGGCGTTTAATCTTGAGATTGTCTCCCTCTCGGTAGTATTCTCTGATCCTATTGTCGGCATAGAACGATTTGGCATCGTTACACTGAGACCATACGGTCTCTAACAAGTAGGCGGGATGGTCCTCCAACTTGGGATTTTCTTCTAAAAACGCCGTAAGCTTTGGCTCGTAAGCCTTATTCTTACTGTTTTTCCAGATTCTAAATTTGTGTTCTTCAGTGTGGAGATAACATTTGTTCCAGCATGGCTGATCCAGAGTATTAGCAATTAGACCAATCCATTGCCGCAACTGTTGCTCCTCATTTTGGGGTTGCGTCAGGGTACAAGTGAGCAAGTCAATCACTCGGTCTTTGACTAGTTTATCGCCACTTAACCAAGCCTGCTCAAGCTGAGAGTATAAGCCGCACAAAAATTGCTCGTTCTCATAGTAAGGGCTTTCTTTCAGGAACGATTGCAGCATTTGGAATGCCTGTGCTTTGAGTAGCATATCTGTGTATCGAAGAGCCACATACCAGCCTTTCTTTTTGGAAAGGCTCTTCATACCTTCCAAGAAATTCGAGACCTTGGCCTCCTGAGCTGCCTCACGCAGATCGTTCAAGAGAGACAATAGTTTCAGCAGGTCGGAACTAGCATCGAGAATTTTTGTTGGATCTTTGGTTGTGACAGCGGCAGTGATTTTCGTTGCCGCTTTTATAGCTGTAAAGCTATAGCGCCACAGTGCTGCATAAGGGCCTTCGTCGTCGGACACGCCGAGTAAGGCCTGGCGGGCATATCTTGCGGCTTGTGCAAGGCGAGGCTCCTTATGTTCTTCCAATTTGCAAAGTATCCGAAGTAAGGGTTCATGTAATGGTTCTCGGCCAAGGCCCGAAATCTTGATATCAACCATGGCATCCAGCACATTTGAGAGAAGGCAGACCAATTGATATTGAGTTTCCATTTCAGCCTGATCTATAGCATTTTTGAGTCGCTTTGCGAGGCTTCCAAGTACGGAGCCAAGCTTGGCAGTTTCTGCCGAAAGGGCGCCTGAACAGCGACGAAGGACAAATGTAAAACCCGCCAGAATTCCTCGATCAAGGATATCACCATCCGTGGTGCCCTTAATGATCACATTCCCAAAGGTCGATATGAGTCTCTCATATTGTTGATCGGTGCTAATTGTCGATAACAGAGTCGCTTCAGGTATGTAGGACGGTTTGGGATTATCTCTAAACTCTTCAATCATTTTGCCCGCCAATGATCGCAAGGTTTTCCCCTCTTTTTGGTCAATGTCTGGGTCCTTTAAACGGCGAATGAGACCACCGGTACTGGTAGGCCTTGGCGGATATATTCGAATACTCGCCATTCTTGGAAGGCGCTCTCTGTTCTCTCTCGATCGTGAAGTTCAGACGTTGACTTCTAGAAATAAACGGAATAGACTCAGTTAATATCAAGAGAACGACGTAGGTCTTGACTTCATATGGCATGTCCCGTGGAGACCAAGCCTCGCACCTGTTCAGCTCAGCCTTGTCTTCAGCGCTTAGGCTCACAGCCCAGTCACCTATCACAATACAGATAAACGCGTTTCGATACGTATGAAACAGCCGACAAGAACCTTGTACCTCGAGCATGCGCTCTACGGAATTTGGAGCTTTTGTTTACGGTTACTTCTGCCATTTTGCTTGATTGGGTCCGATTGGTAGAGGAATATAAGCCTATCAGATCTCTTGATCCTTGTCTATACCAAAGTTTGCACGAAGGTACAGGCATTCGACATTCGAACGAGCGTTTGTCAGTGTCACGTGATAAAGCCCTTCCTGACTCACCATAACTTTACTATATAAAACTTACATTTTATAATTCATTGACAAGACCGAGTAAATGCAAAAAGTGCAGAAAGGTGAAACTCATCGACCAAGTAAAAAAACACGTTGAAGATATCACGGCCATTCGAACACTATTACCAGAAAGGGACGCCAGAATTTGTGACGAGAAGAGAAATAAAAATGAATAATTGAGAAAGGTATCTTAATACGATGAGAGCAGAAGCAAGATTAAAACAGGTAATGTTAAAAGAAAAAGTGGCTGCATTGAATCAATCTTGTTGAGCAAGGTTGTTCAGAAAGGTATCTTTGAGAAAGTGCCAGGACGAAGGAAAGAGAAACGAGACATGAGATAACCTTCGCTGAAAGAAGGATCAGGTGTACTTGATAGGATGAGAAAGATGACCAGAAGAAGTAATCAGAAAACGAGACTAACAAAGGAAAATGTTGCAAAGAAAAGAAGGACAGAAGCGTCGGATTAATATACAAATGCATGACCAGACGCACCTAAAAACAGGAACCGGCACTATAGAAGCCCCATAAAAAGCTCAACGTCAAAGGCTTATTAATACAGTAGCTCAAAGGCAATGTAAAGCAATACAATACAACTATACATGACCCAGCAAGCCATCAAAGAATCGAAAAGGTAAGGGAAAACCGAAGAGGTGTACAGAGTTGGACCAAAAGGGTAAGAGGGTAAGAGAATTTTGAACAACGTAAAGAAAGAAAAATTGGACCAGCTATTTTACCAGAAAAGACGGGCTGTCAATAGGGGTAATTAAACAAAAAGCCTCCCATACAACGTGAGAAAGTTGAAACGATTATTAATACACGACGGGAAGGGAAATTTAAGCCGCAGACTCGGAGATTGACGCCGTACGGCCGTTGGTATACGAATACTGCGACGGAGCAGCGGCGTATTGTTGGCGAGCGCTGGGATTGGAGACACCTGGTGCGGACGAATGACGAGTTGTGGGTCGTGATGGCGCGGTTTCTGATGCAGCAAGCCCGATGTGGGGATCGGGAATTTGAATGTCCAGCTATTGTGAAACTTGGTCAGTTACTGAATTCGGCCAAGCAGACTCATGGAAAATGACAAAGACAAAAGACATACAGTCAGATAGCCTGTTCTTCTTAGGGAAATAATCCGAACTCCCTCTTTGGCACCGACGTCTCGATTCCATGCCTCAATCCACCTTTCGAGCGCTGCTAATCTGCGCTTGATTCTGGCAAATCCAAAGTCCTCCCACAGCCAAAAAGTCAAGAGACTAATGATACCGTCGAGGGTATTCCAGAAACTAAACGGGTTGAACGCGTCGATCAAGTCGTCGTTCAATTTGCGAATGATCATCCGGAATTCGCCCTCAGGTATTAAGGGGTCAAGAATTTCGGGATATAAATTGGAATATGTTGGCGCCAAGTCACCTTCTATCATCCAGTCACGTTTTATCCGAATGATCCGCGTGCTGGAATATAATGGTGAGGTGAGGGGCACGTGTGCATTCATATGGGGGAAACAGGGATGTGACGGGCCCCATGCGTATTCGTCCCCGCCAGCGCCGGCTGCTGAGCCAACGTGGCTGGCTGAATCGCCATAGCTGGTATCCGGCCGTATTATGTGTCCATCTCCATGGTCTGAGCCAGGTCCACGGCCGGCTCCGTGATGATTCCGCACAGAAGGTGCCCGTAACGATGATTGTGAGCGGCTCGTAGCTATTGACGGCGGGATTGGCGCCCGGCCGTATGGATGAAGCTTATTTCGAGGGCTCGGGAGTCCATGTTCTAGATCTCTGTCGGTGTTGTTTGTATTTGTGCTGCCGCCAATAGGGAACGGGTAATGGTTGACCTGAGCTGGAGGGTTTTCATTTCCAGATTCTGTTCCGGTTTGCGGCGCAATACTCCCACTTGCGCCAACGCTGGGACCAGTATCTAAAGCGCCGCTCATGTCGAATTCGTTGTTGAAGTGTATGGCTCCGCTTCTGGGATACTTTTGTTCTAATTCCTCCAAATGTTCGTGGAGCTCTTCTGGCACGAATGGTGATTTTGACCGCGATCTCCTGTCCCGCTGACTGTCGCTTTCTCTATCCCGCGGTAACCCAATGCTCGTTCTTCCACTGGGAACTTCCACCGCCAGCGAAGTCGCGCTCTGTCTGCTGCGGCGCTTCTCAGGAAGTGTCAGAAGAGGTATGGAATCTTTGATGTCAGTCCCGGGGGGTGCGTGTCGCTCTGGCTCTTCACTGCCGTCGCCTGCTAGCTGCGGATGCTGGATAAGTTTATTGGGAAGATTCGGTTCGCGCGGTGTATAGTTGATTGGGTTCCAAAGCCGCGAAGAGGGCGGCCTCTGGTCAACGGTTGGTGGTTGTGCAGCGAAGAAGCCCCCGCCGAACCCGACCCCGAAGCGTCGCGCTCCGAGGCTCAAGCTCCAGCGGCTCCACGACGGCCGACGATGTTGCGCGAGGGACGGTCTCGAATGTGTTGGGGCAGGTCGCGACACACTTGGCTCAATAGAACGAGATGTAGGTATCCGGTGCGAGCCTCGTTCTGCGTCCGGGCCTTTGCCTTGTATTTTGTTTTCCCGATGCCGATCCAGATTCGCCTTTTTGTTTTCTCACAGACTAGCATATAGCGCGATAAAATTGTAAAAGAATGCGCTTGAAGCTGTGCGCCCTGTTGTGCTCAGGAGAAAAATAAGGATCGTCTGGGTTTAAAAGTCAAGGCGCCGAGCCAAAAAAGAAATAAAAGGGAGTGTAGACAGTACGTCACAACAGTCTAGAGTGAGACCTGCATTGATGGAGAATATCTTGTCGCTTTTGGTCGAGAAAATGAAGGATTGTTTGTGAAAAAAGTTCCCCTGAAGTGAGACGCCAAGGAAAGTGGCTCACTTCCAGTTGGTGATGTTATTACCCGTTACGGTGGTGCGCGACTTGATGGCGCTTACCGGCTAGTTGCCGCTCTTAGCGACAAGGGTCTGTCCATGCCGTAGATTTTACCATAACTCAAGTTAAGAGTGCGAGGGACCGAAGAGAATGTAAGAGAAATTGAATAATCAATTGAATTCAAAATTCATGCCTCAAGGTTTCAGACTTAGATTTTTCCCAATTTTATTGACAAAGGTATCAAACGCAAAGAAAATTCCCGTATCCATATAATATCCCAAAACCCATAAAATAACAACCCAAGCAATCTCGAGGACCTCTACAAAGGATAGATGAAATATTTATTCTGCAGATCCGTCAAGTCCAGCAGAGCAATGTCAACCTTCTTCTTGACAAGATTGCCTGACTCGTCCAGCTCCTCGACATATCCTTCACCATGATGACCCTGGGCCTCCTGTTCGGCGATCCACTTGCGGCGCTCGACATTACGACGAGCGAGGATGAATCGAATGATGAGAAGAATCACAGGGCATCCAACCCAGCTGATAACGATCTGGACAATCCAGGCGGAATAATAACGAGGTCCGTCCTTTTGACGCCAGATCTGGGGCGAGATGATGTTGGCAATGCCGTAACCGACCATGAATAAGACATTGCGTGTGAGCTTCTTGGTGTAGCCGGAGGCGCTAGACGTCGTCCAGCCCAGGGCGATGATGTAAGTTATACCAAAGGTGCCTCCTGCAAGCAAGATGCCCGCCAGAATGCCGACACGATTAGACCAGGGCAAGGTGACAACGACGATGGCGCCCACAATTGCGGGAATGCACCACCACACGCCGAAATAAGCGTTGTTGTTCGGGAAACGCCGAATCAGAAAAGCCGCAATGATACAGCATACGACGGAGAAGCCTGAACCTGCGACACCAACGAGCGTCGAACCAAGGTTTGAAACACCAATGCCGAGGAAAAGCAGATTTTGCTGGTAGGCGAGGTTATTGGCGATCATGAGGGCAAACGACTGCAGGCCAAAGAGCCAAGTCAAAGGGTCTCGGATGGCCTCGATGAATTGGGACTTTTTGAATTGCTTTTGTTCGATAGCGCCGCGGTTGGACTCATGGACGCGGCGGGTTGCGTGGACGCGCTCTTCTAGGGTCAAGAAGCGAGCCTGCGCAGGGTTGTTGGGATACCAGATGAAGCAGGCAATAGCAAGGAAGAGGGTGATTCCGCCGGTAATGATCATGAAGAATTTCCATGGCAGGATGTGACTCTTGCTGTAAAGGAGACCATAGGCGACAAAGCCGGCCGGGATGTTGCAACCCATGCAGGTAATCCAGAAAAGAGGCTGCACAATGGCTTGCTCTTCCTTGATGAAAAACATTCCCATGGTAATCTCCATCGCAGGCACGAGAATGGATTCAGTTGCACCGAGGAAGAACCGCAAGGCGATGAGACCCCCGTAATTGGTGGCCGTGCAGTGGAGAAAAATGAGGATGGACCAGGTAAAAACGGTACCGGCAACGAATTTGCCAAAGGGCAGACGTTGCATGAGGTAGTGGCCAGGCCATTGCGCGACAAGGTATGCTATGTCTTGTTAGAACAAAAGGGTCTTTAATATGGAATCAATTCATATAGCGGCGTACCGGTGTAGAAGATGGTGTTGAGGTTATCGTACTGCTGGTCGGTAATATGAACCTCTTGAAAAAGACCCAGCAAAGAGGAATAAGCCAAGGTAGCTTTGTCAATCTAGTTCAACGTTAATAAATGTCTAGATTAATCTTCGGTTGGGTGATAAATACTCACGAAAAGCATGAGGTTGATAACAAGCACGAAGCCCATAATCCATCGGTACAATTTCCATCTTAGTTTCCGGTCCGCCTCGGGCGTAAGGGGACCAAAGCTGTCTCCATATTCTTGCACCAATCGGAGTGTCTCGTCTGCGTACTTCTCCTCGACGACTACACCCTCTGCGATTGATTCATTTGACTTGCTCAGCTCGGCATCAACCGTCTGGTTGATCTTCTTTTCTTCAGCCATGGAAAAATAAAAAATACAAATCACAATGTGACTGCTCGATTCGGCCTGTGTACGCGCATGACAAGTAGACCACAAAGTGGCCTTGGGCTCTTATTTGTAGAAGGCATTACTGCGAGAGTATACCGAAAAAAGCACGAGCAACACATCGCAACTGTGGATGAAGATGATGCGATGCAGCTAAGCAATGGTTGCGCATGTGAGATTGGCTATCATGGTTATCGAGGCCCACCCGTTATCATAGGGCGTTGGGTTGGACCGAAGCCAAAATTTCTGCATCTTGGGATCAACAGGGCCAAAACCAGAGAAGCTTAGCCGGGGGCGGGTAAGAGTGGTATGACTCTGACGGTTCCCGTTTCGTTCAACCATCAAGAGCGGTTCGGTTTCATATCACTCGCCATAATCAGCGCGGGCATGGCGTATCAGATAAGCATTGTTCAAAAATTTTCCGCTCAAATTATCCAATCTCGAAATGGCATCATTCAAATTGGCTTCTTCAAAAGAAAAAATCCATTAGCCTCAGATGTATCATTGCACGACTTGCAGAAATAAGCCCGACGAACCGTATCCCAGGCCCCCTTGTCGCAAGCAACAATGCGTAGTAGTTCGCCGACCGACCCAGGCAACTCATTGGTTGCAAGGTGATATGGAGCGAGGAGCATTAGCTGACTGCGAAGCACGCAGTAGGCAGTCCCACAATTTCTCCCGGGTCTGCTTTCCTTTCGCCCTAATGGAAAGCCAAATTAGACAGTCTTTCAATAGAAGATTGACCCTTCTGGTCTGGCCGTCTGCCACAAACTCCCAATTAACCCGTCATATCACAATACATTCGTAGACTTATCTGGTCGGAGCTCTCTCCGCCGTATAATTCTGCGAATTGCCAATAATTTTGAGGCTGAAAGCCTCCTCTCGTTGCTATCGTAGTTGGCTCACGAAGTACTCATAGTTTCGTAGCGTGCATCGCGTCAATTCTTGGCTTCTTTTGGTTCCCGTTCGCGTGTCCGCGCGTTTGATCTCTCTTCCCTTCCCCATCAAACCACCAACACGCAAACCGCAATCGTAATCCCCAAACGTCCGATTCCAGAACAACCCTTCCCACGTGTCGCTATCCGTTGCACATCACAAGCATCGACAAGCAATGTCTCCGCGTCTTTTCACCCCGCACGGCCTGCGTCTGGCGCGCGCTTTTTCGACGACTCCCCGTAACCAGCTTGCCAAGATGACCTTGATCGGACGTCTGGCCGCAGACCCTGAGCTCACAGCGACCTCGAGCGGTCAGGAAATGGTGCGCTATGCAATTGGCACAAGCTATGGACCCAAGGATAATCGCCAGACCAGCTGGTTCCGCATTGCTAGCTTTGATGATGGACCTCGACGGGATTACCTGTTGAGCTTACAGAAGGGGTGAGTAGCAGCTTCTCTGGCTTAGCTCTTGACTTTTTCGGAATATCTTTGGCACATATTCGCGATTGTGATGCATTCTGGGCTATTTTCCATCCCGTGCGCCTCATTCTTCTCTGGCTCGTTCAGTGCGATTGCGCCATGGATAAGAGCTCTCATTATCGCTGAGTTGTGCGGTTGTGTGGAGGATTACCCGATCCGGTAATTCCCAACGGTCAAACTCCGCCGTCGCCATCAGAGCCATCATTGTCCTACTCTTGTTGTTGTTATTGTTTTTGTCTGTATCAGCGCTCTCATCACCATCAATATTATTATTTTTTATCATCTTGCGCAACTTGTCATGGTGGACTCTTTGCTTTTCCGATTAGCTAACCTATCAATCAAACTATAGCACTCTTCTCTATCTCGAAGGCGACGCTACGATGCGGACTTACGAGGACAGTGAAGGAAAGTCGCGCTCTAGCCTTAACATTGTTCAGCGTATGTTTACTTTCCCATCTCTGGGCTTATGGTCTTCCTCTCGCAATCTCTACCGCGGGACCCATCATCATAACCTCTACTGATACACGCATCCTATGACAACAGGCAGCATCGAAGTCCTCAAGCGTCCTAATTCTTCCGATTCCTCCAACAACCAGTAATTGCACTCAAGAATTGTGTTCTATTGCTGTGCCCAACATTCAGCTTGTGGACCTGTCTTCGATCGGAATGAGAACCATCCATTAATGATACCTGATCATTTAATCCCTTCTTTTCGGCTTTCCCAAAGGACACCACATGTCCATCTATTAACAATGTATTATTATACGTCCAACTTCAATTGAGCTTTATAACTTTCCAAATCTATTTCCCCCTCGTTTCGGCTTCCGGCTATTTTTACTCACTCTCCACTTTTCGGTATCGAAACTCACAGATTCAATTACTGTATAACTAATATCAGGGATTCAGATGTTTCTCTAAGCTTGAATGATGTTCAGTGCACAGTGGGCCGAAGTATATGTACACGTGTCCGAGATCGGTAGATGTGATACTTAAAGAGATCAATTTATGATTAGAAATGTCCTGAGTATGGAAAACTCTATCCACTAGAAAGGAATATTGTTCAGAAAAAGTCGTCAAGCAGAGATGATAACTTATCCTGACGGCCTCCGTGACTCCAGGCTGTAACATGCGGTCGAAAGCCAACAGCGCCCAGGTCCCGCCAGATAGTCCATACCCCTGCTACTAGTCAACGTCCACTTGAAGATTGCTGGACCTGGGTTTGAACAATGACAGAATTATTCACCAGATCGTTGCGGTTCCCGTTAGAGAAATTTTCCGGTCGCCCGCCGCCCCTAATTTGCGTAGAGACTCCTATTTGACGATCATCGTGTAGCCCAAGGCCGAATGATTGGTCTTCCAAATCTGCGAGGAACGTGGTCTGATTCGGAAGACGTGCAGGTGGTGCCGGGAGAGACGTATTTTGCGAAGCAGATTCGCTGCGCTTGGGCATGGGGAAAAGATCCCTGATCGACGTCATCGCCCTCTTTTGTTGTACCCGCAGAGGGAAGAGTAAATTTGATGTATCAGAAGCATTGGAATGCGACCGCCCGCGCGTCGCAGTTCCGAAGACCGATTTGGGAGCTTTATCATCGGCGGTGGGGACAGAAGGTTGTCTTATAGTTTGTGGTGGAGAACCGAAGGTATCAGATGAAACAAGTTCATGTTCGGAGGAGCTGCAAGTGTCAATGGAAGGTTCCCTCAAAGTATTCGTGCAAGCTGAGCGACCACAACGATAAATGGAGAGGGTGTAGAAAAAGCCGCCGGAGAAAAACTTACATAGGTCCGGGAAAAGAAGGGTTACGAGAGAATGACCGCCAGATTGCATGCTTTGCTTTGAGGGCGATCGTGCTGCCCAAACTGTTTCCGGAGCTTGTAGTTGACGGCAATAACCTTCGAGTAGTTGGTTGGAAACACGCGGGTAGGTATTTGAGCAAGCCAATATGTCCGAGCCATCCGCGGTACATGGCGACGGCATCTCTTCCGAGGCCGAAGAAGAAGAAGACGAGCAGACCAGCTGCTACGTAGACCCAGCGGTCAAATCGCACAACTCCGCCCGTGGGTATCATTAGGATCTGCGACCAACTCGCGCCATGTATACGCGAGAAAGAGAATCCATTGAGAGGGACATTGACATTCACGTAGAAGACATAGAGCTGGATAGGAAGGAAGACGAGGATTAGAACCGTAGAAATGATAAAGAGGCGGTAAAACTGAGATTTGTTTGTGTTTGAACACACGAGAATTTCGGAAAATTGACGTCGATAGCGGCGGAGCCGAATAATTACAAGCGCTGAGTTGTGTCAGCAAGAAGAATCTCTAATTAAGAAAATACAAAGCACTACTTACAGCAATAGTAAGCATCGAGAAAAGACAGTACGGGCGGCCAAATGAACACGAGAAGGACGCTGACCCAGCTGCTGTCGTTGTTTGGAGCGCACCCAGATATCGCAAAGATGTCATATCTATTGTCCTGGACAATCAGATGGGCCAGCGTCAGAAGGATCGGACAGATGAAGCAGAAGAAAATGTTGAAAATCATCCCTCGCCGTCTCTGCGCACGACTTGGGACGAGTGAAGCTCGGTCAGTATTCATGACATTAGCTAGGCTGCGCATGATGCACGCCAAAGCACCTGCTACGCCAACTGAACAGGCAACAAGGAATCGAATTTCGACATCGCATAATCCGACTCCGATCCACCACTTCGACGTGTCGTCAGTTGGCCAAAGGATGGCATTGATGACGTTGAATAGATTGAGGATAATGATCCAGACGATTAGAACTGAAGCTGCAAGGTTTCGGTGCTTTGCATGCCAAATGAATGGCGGAATGCAGAGAAGCATGGTGATTGCCGATAGCACTGGAAGTAGAACTGCATGAAAAGAAAGACGGCTATCCCCTGAGCCCTCGATGACCGAGACTTCTGGATTCCACATAATGATCTCGAAAAGAAAGCAATTCGCGCAATACTAAGATGGCTAATAGCACAAAAAGAAAAGAAAACCCTAGAAAATCGTCAATCGTAGCTTCCTGGCAAATTGTATTATTTTGAGGAAGAAACAGTATCAATTGCAGAAATCAAGCTCGCTTCCGGACTCGTAAAGCGCAGATCAGTAGAAAAGGTCGTATAATTGCTGGAAATTGGTAGAATCATGATAAGCAGTAATCGGTGAAACACTTTGTTTTTTCTGCAGTCTCCAACAAAAGGGAGAAAGAGAAGGGGCACATAACTCGCGGAGAAGATGAGATGAAATTGAAACATGAAGCGTGAGACGAAGTGACCGCGGAAGGCGAAGATATGATGCCAGTGTCCGCGTACATGGTCAATAAATCAATAGCACGCGATTGATGTAGAGCCTCTCATCCTGTCCAATAATTTGACGGCAACTCCGTGTTTTATGCTGGTACCCTTCTATTGACGGCCAAAGCAAAAAGCAAGAATCGGAGAATAAGAGAGCGAAGTGTTACAGCTTGTAGCAGCTTGAGTTTCCGGTTAGTGGGATGGTTATTGAAATGCCCTTTTGGGAACTCAATAAGAAATTGTCAATGGGGGCCTTAGCGCAACAAAACCCGTGATTGAATAAAGACAAAGAAACGTGTAATAAGATTTTAAGATCTTTGATTACAAGCACAGAATAAACAAGAAAAATTGATAGCAATCAGCAGTAACTTGTAAGTATTGGAAAAAGAGGAAAATCGAGAGGAAAAGTCTCAGTTATATGAAAACATCATGCGAGATTTGTCGATGTGATGTTGCAGCGTCAAATCCACTTTCTGGGATACATACTAACCCAAGAAAGAGAACCCATTAATTCATGCGCGTGGACTTTTATCAGCAATATGTAGTGAAACGAAGGGAGTAAGCACTCTATTGGACCTCACTCAACGTGACTTACTTACTCGGAGCACAGCCCATCTTGATCAAAATTGACAGAAACAGAGCAATAGCGAAAGGAAAGTCCGTAGTATGAAGCAGATGGGGGTTCCCATAGAGAGAGTTTGAGTGGTTCCGTCGGACCCTCAAGACGAACATAGGCGCATCTCTCATCACGAGGAGAAGTGGAGCACCCACTGTGGGCCTCCCAGATTCCCCAGATTCTCGTCCCGTCGAGCCCGTCGATTTAGTGCGTCGGTGGCTACGGTTGATGTATCCACTTCCCGTACATGTAACTTGCAGCAAAAAGACGATTGTTTCCGACTGGTTCCACGGATGAAGCATTATAGTGGTAGTACCGCATGCTGGTGATCAAATGCATATGATATGCCGACATGATTGGTCTTAGTATAAATGATATGCCGATGAAAGCGAATGCGAACGTGGGTTGATGCAAGATAAGTGGCATTGTCGAGAAACCTAGGCGTGCCATCGAATCTGCAAAGCCTAAAATCTAATGTCATGTCCTGCTCCTATAGGGGGATTTAGGTCCCTCGTGCCTGGAATTCTCGTCTGGCCAATAATCCCTCCCGCCCCTCGCCCCCTTCCCCTCCTTCCTCTATCTGAAAACCCTTGCTGTTGCAGACGCGTCCTTCACACCAACAATGTCAAAAGAAAATAAAAAGATCACGAACAAGCATCTCCCCTTCATGTTCTCCCGGCTGTTGAGCCATCTATGATTCATCATGGTGGACGCTGCAGAGAGGACAACTTCTCCACCTCGGCAATCTCCCGTCGATGAGACTCCGGCGGCCTCTGGGCATAACTTTTCCACTCCTGCTCCACAACGGCAGCGGTCGTTCAGACGCTCTTACAATTTATCAGATGCTCCCAATGGAAATTTGAGCCGTCGCAGTTCAGTCATTTCCAACCTGTCCTTTGAAGATGGTCGGCAGTCGGTAAGATCGCCGACAGAAGACTTCTTCATGCCCAAATCTTTCGGGTCGCGGCCGGAAGCAAACACTGAGCCCTCACACTGGGATTCTGCTCCTCTCGCGTTTGCACTGTTTCCAGCCATAGGTGGTTTGCTATTCAAAAATGGCAGTGCTGTTGTTACAGACGTGACGCTCCTGGGGTTGGCAGCCATCTTTCTGAACTGGTCTGTGAGACTGCCGTGGTATGAAACCAAAGTTCCGGTTTTCGCTTTCTAGATCACACAGGCTGATTTATAACAGGGATTGGTACCATTCCGCGCAATCGGTCCGCATCCAAGAAGAGAGATATCACACAGACACGATTTTTGAAGAGACCAGTGAGGATGAGCAGCAGCATGAAGACGGGGCGACGCCTGCACCTGAATCACCATCCGATCATGCATCTAGTTCTGATCATGCATCTGGATCGCAGCGCCTGTACGCAGAAAGAGACAAGGCGATACATGAATTGAGGGTTCACGAAATGCTTGCTCTCGTAGCTTGCTTTTTGTCTCCCCTCCTCGGGGCCTATCTCCTTCACACCATCCGTGGCCAACTTTCACGTCCTTCGGAAGGGCTCGTGTCAAACTATAACCTGACAATCTTTGTCCTTGCTGCCGAGCTTCGGCCCGTGGCCCATCTCGTCAAGCTTGTGCAGTCTCGAACACTTCATCTTCAACGCATCGTTACCCCTGGTGCCTTTGCCGAAGAGAACAATGATCTTGTCAAGGTTACCGACCTCGAAAAGCGTATTGGAGAAATTGAAGTCCATGTGGCAAATGCAGCAGAGAAGAACACTGCGGACAATGGTGGTAAAGGAAACACTGCACAGGTCACAACAGACGTGCGCCGCAACCTCCAACCAGAACTGGATGCCCTAAACCGAGCAGTCCGCCGCTACGAGAAACGGCACATGCTGCAGACCATGCATACCGATGCTCGCATTGTCGACTTGGAGTCTCGACTCAATGATGCACTCTCTCTTGCCGCGGCCGCAGTCCAGACTGGCCAACGCCAGAAGTCGCAGCTCCTTGTTATCCTTACTGAAATGCTCTGGACTACGCTTCTCTTCCCTTTTGAGTTTCTCTGGCTTATGCTCAGCTTTCCTGTCAAGATGACGGGCAAGGTGCTTGACATGGGCAAGAGTGGATTAGTAGGCAGCCAGCGGCGCCCTCCGCGAAGAGTCCCCTCCAAGCATAGTCATGCATATGTTCACCATTCCCACAATAGCCATGGTAGGGTTGGAGATCGCGTCCAGGGCCGATCGATGAAGAGGATATAACCAATCTTTTATTTTTACTTTTTCGATTTCTTATGTCTTTTTCACAATTTCTTATTCCACCTTATGCGGTAGCGAATATCCTTTTGATGGCTCAAGGCGCACTTGAGGGTGTCTTAGCATTTTCTATTTCTTCGCTCTCATCGATCTTGATAACAGTTTTCTATGCACATGGAGCGGATCCGGATAAAGTGGCGTTTGGGAAGGGGATTCTGAAATTGTTTAAAGAGTAGCATTTCTCAATTAGCGTCAGACTCGGCAGCGACTAATGATACATGCAATGTCTTTGACCCACGCACTTTTACCACAATTAGCACTCGTGTTGAAGACACTAAAGTCCGTGCGAAAATTCTAACCATTGCATTGTCCCCTGCATCTCAGTATTATATGGTGTAGCATCACGTGCGCAGCGGCGCTTTGAAGACAATGATAGACCAACTACAACCAATCCATTCGAATTCCCGTTGCTTATTGACCATTTCGTCTAAGCTTATACAGATGATTTCGTTCGAGGATCTACTAAGTTGTCGTTTAAGATATCTTATGGCTGTCCACGACGGGAGAACAGTCACAAACCCTAAACGGCGGTTCTGGAACAACTCACGTTTCTTTGGGGACTCGAACGCTGTAGCTTAACTAGTTGCAGTACTCAATCGCTAAACCCTAACGGAATTTTGGTGCCCGCGTGCCGTCACATTGCTAAGTCCCGCTCAGATTAAGTATGCTGCTACGTCAAAAATAGCGTGTTATGCGAGACCCTTCTCTCAGCGCTCTCAAGAAACACCACAACCAAATGAGCATGGGAAATGATATTGATACCGCAAGTGGTCTTTCATTCATACACCTGGCGATCAAATTCGGCAATCTGAAGAGACTAAAACACATCCTTATCCAGTAATGCACTTACCGCATATCAAATGCACAGAGTGAAGTTGAAGTACTTCTTTATGCACGATGCTTCGGCCGACTCAAGTCCTTGGTGGGCTGATCGATATCATCTTCGTGAATACATTTTATCCCTCTATTGTCTCTCTGCTTGGTAAACGGAAACTGATAATGCTCCTAGAATTTTCAAGTCCTGGCACCCTGCATAAAATCTACTGTGGTGCGATGGCTAATTAATCCAATCATATGTGTGACAAGGCCGCCATGACAAACGCCACAATTCCAATTTAGGGTGTGCCCCTAATTTTTGCAGGCACAGCTGACCTCGAGCTGAATTGGCTCATTATGGGCCTTTCGCGCCCGAAAGAGGGCTGATACTTGCCGCCGGGGCCATGAGACGTTGAACTTCATGGTGTTCACATTTGCGACTCCGTCGATCCGTTCAATCTTGAAGATTTATCCCCGAGGATATGAACGCACCGGTGACGGCTGCAAACCGAGTATCTATCGATGCTCTCAATGGCCACAGCATTTTCTCTCTGCGCGACTTACGTATTCATAAGTTTCGTTCACTCTAGTGGAGCGGTTACGACAATCCCAGATTGGCCGCTCATCACACCAGGGCCGAAGTTGGTATTGCAGCCTCGCACGCAAGATTTGGCTCTTTGGGGGTATGTGAGCGGAAACTCCAGTAAGCTCATATGCAAATCGCCCTTCTGGCTTTGTTGACGGGACGCACATCCTGATTATGTGGATCGGTACCTAGACTCGCCCTTGAGCTGTCCTTCTGGTTTCACTGCTACTTTTGACGGCGCAGCGGACAACTTCGTTGCATGTTGTAACGGCGTTACCTGCACGAACGATTACCATACTTGCAATGACTATTTGGGAACAGCCTGCCCGGAACCCGGCATTTGCAGCGAAATATATACCCAATATCTGCAATGGTAGGTATCTTCCAGCTCGCGATTGAATATCAGAGGCTAATAGAATTGGGAGCTAGTGCGGCTGCTACGCCTTCTTGCATTCTCTATGCACGGATAACTGGACCAGAGGATGGGAACAGCAAAAGTTCGTTTGCATGTGGACAGACGGGAGGTACTGTGTTAGTGTTGCCCAGTGTGACTGGCGCATCAACCGCAACAGACGCTAGCAAGTCCAGCACATCTCATCCTCTGACTGGTGAGCCAGCAGTCCTCTCTGGCCTGTAATCTAATACAAGTCATGCTGATGTTGTCTGTAGATGATTTCCTCTCAAGTTACAGCAACCTTTTTCCAATTTCTACTTCTAAGAGTAAACATCCTGTCCCAGAGATCCAATGATCCGAGTGTTGACCGTAGGGATATTTTAGCATCTCATGCAGAAGAGAGCAAGAGCATCACTTCCATTGAGACATCGAGCACATCTCCGACACCAACTCATTCAAAATCGGGTGGCATGGATGCATCGACCAAGGCAACAATTGCCGGAGTGATTATTGCTGGAGTCACTGTGCCATTGATGATTCTTGGCATCTTTGCTGCTATTATTCCGGTGCAGACCTTAAAGTGTCTCACTTGCGGTAAAAGACCGAAGTCAAAAACCACTTCGACTGGGGAGTTGCGTCCTCCTACTAATCCGGAGCTTCGGCCAGCGATTGTGAATGCTGGTCTTACCCGCATCAACAACGCATTTCATACGCAGCCGGAGCCGCAGCGGTATACGATGAACTATTATCCGCAACCGCAGCCGCAATATCAACCCCAATATCAGCCATTATACCCACAACATCAGTATCGCTGATACCAGAATTTGCTTGTTATATGACAAACTTATGGCGCAATTGTGTATTCATTTTTATTTCTATATCCCCAGGAAGCTCGATTCGCCTGAATTACATTATTCTTGCAGTGATAGATCACGGAAGGAAATTTGACGACGTTTTACTTGGCCCCTGGTTTCATTGATTGGTAATTTTCAAGAGATAGGTGGAGTGATGTACACACACACTATATATATTAATTAAAATATGAGCGTTCAAATGAGGCAATTGAAAGAGAAGCAGTGGAACTTTATAGATCTCGGCTCTGGGGAAGTGGATATATGGAGAACAGACTGCGGGGTGTCGCCTGCGTGTTAGTTGGACTCGGGTATATGTCATACCTAACGCGGATGCGATTACTGGCGCGTTAACGCCCTCGGATGCGGTCCCGAAGACGAGATAAGCCGGGGTTTAGATAGGGAAGCCGGTGGTATATAAAGTAGCTCCAAGAATGTAACCCCGCGGCGACCGCTCCGCTCAATGTTTTCTTTTATTTTCCATTTCTTGAGACTGCATCCCATTCTTTCGGCCTCTTGTAATTGAGAGCATCGATTCTTGAGACCTGGCAGGAAGAGCAATTATCTCTACTTTCGCTCAGGTTATGAGTGGAGTTAGGAAATCGCGGAATGGGTGCACACGCTGTAAAGATAAGCGGGTAGGGAATCACTGAGTCACCGGAATCTATCCAATTGATTTATTTATGGTCCAGCTGACGGATTCTGTAGTTGAAGTGTGATGAAAGGAAGCCTGCCTGCGATCGGTGCGTTCGGAGGGGCCTCACATGCCCCGGTTATGTGCAACCGCTACGATGGTCGACCAAGTACGAGATCTTCAGTCCCAACAAGAGGGGAAACTCGTCAAGATCGTTGGATACAAAACCCAAGCCGGTCAGTGCTACCCGGGCAGTGGAAGAAAACTCACCGATATCTCAACTCTCTGGTACGGCATCAGAAGATCGGGACGAAATGTCGACGATAGGCATTGAGGACTGGCCTGTGATAGGGTCATCCCTAGAAGACGAGAGCCTTGAGTTTGATAGTTCTTTGGATTTTGACTTTGATCCAATTTTGTCTCACTTTCTCAATGGTCCTGAATCCCTACCGCCAAACCAAATGTTCGAGGATCTCCACTCGCGGCCCGACCCAAGTCCATCGCAGCCGCTCGGGGGCTCAGTGCTGAGAGAAGCCTTTTCCCCATTGGTGCCGGTCTCCACTCCCCGAACAGAAATTGAAGATCATCTTCCTCCAACCAAACATGATCAACATGATCAATCGGTTGTACTAAGTCGACCACACCAATTGGACGAGTTCCAAAAGTCTCCCGCCAGCGACCATACTGTCATGACTTTTCCGATCGACAGGTCATTGACGCCGACATCATTGATGCTCATTGAATACTATTTCAAAGAAGTCGCGGCAATTTTCTCTTGCTATGATAGTCAGATGAATCCTTTTCGAACGACGGTTTCGCGGATGTGGAACTCGAGTCCCTCAATGTATCATGCAATGCAGAGCATGGCAGCCGCTTGTCTTGCAGATGACTTCCCACAACTGAACGGTATAGGTGTTCAGTTGCGTAGAGAAGCCGCGGCATCGCTTCAGACAGAGCTGAATGCTCCGAATGTGGACAATAAATCATTACTCGCTCTGATAATGCTGGGGCAGACAGCAAGCTGGCATAACCCGAAAGATCTGGGTATTGCAGAGTTCAACCAAGCGAAACAAATAATCAACTCCATGCTCTCAAAGCGCTATTCGGGCCAATCAGGAGGAGATAGTCGCAACCTGCAATTTTTCAGCGAATCGATAATCTACTGGGAGATGCTACTCTCGTATGTCACAGAAAGCGACCAGCTCGGATTGCCTGCTTCGGAGATTTCTCGTGCCGACACACTGACGCCAAATTTTGTGCCCCATCCATGGACTGGAATTGCGCGCGAAGCACAGCTGACAGTTTACGAAATCGGAAAACTCATTCGTGGGGAAAGGATGCGCGTTCGAATGCGAAAATTTACTTCAAGGGCAGATATCGAGCAAATCCAGCAAGCAATCAGTATCGCGCAAACCCTCGAAGAGAGACTCTTGACGATGACTTGTCCTGCTGAAAACGCCGTGATCAACCCCAAGGATGACAGAACCCCAGTTAGGCATCTTTTGGATATCGCCGAAGTCTATCGTTGCATCGGCTTGCTTCAACTCTATCGCGTCTTCCCGGATCTCTTGAGCCGGCGGTTACAAACAGGGGCGCCTTCACCGGACTTTGGTGCAAGCATGAACGGGCTGGCTATGCACATGTCCCAGAAGTCTGGAAGCACGGGAACAGATGTTGACACTGATTACCAGGACGAGGAATCTGTCATGGATACATGGCTCACCCAACTGGCCATGTATAGCCTCAATCTACTCAAATCTATTCCCTTGGAGTCACGGACCAAGTGCGTGCAACCATTTCTGCTCGTTGCCGCAGCCAGTGAACTTCGACTCTCCAGCGCTAGTCTTAGCCCTGGAGTAGTAGTCCAAAGCCCAGATAACATCTCGCTGCAAACTGTCAGCATCGTGCGAACACGAAATTTTATCACTAGTCGATTGACGTCCTTTTTGCACTTTCTTCCTCCGAAACCCATTCACGTCTTGCTAAAGCTTGTGCGCGAGACATGGGCACGGATGGACTCGGGGGATAGAAATGTCTACTGGATGGATATCATGATTGAGAATGGATGGGAAACAACCATGGGCTAGCTAGTCACAAGAGTCCAATACTATTGACCAAGTGTCAACCGCCTGGCGTGGAGCATCTACACCGGACTAGTCGGATGATTTTGATAATTTTCATAGGAGCCGTGATGCTGAATTTTCGACGTCCCAGCATAGGACCTGCATAGGCCCCAGAAGCAGAAACGGGACGTCGAAGTAGAACGGGGGATAGAAGTTTCTGTACATTTCCACTGTGGCGCATCCAGCAGTGCATGTATTCAATATTATTCGTTCCCCGAGACTTTCAGGTCAACAGTAAGCGTCTACTAGGAAAGAGAGCCAGACCTGCTCTCTTCGCCCTCCTTGGATCCACAAACCACAGAGAGCATGTTGTAATATGATTCTATAGCATAGTTATATACCCGTATTCAGGAACTAAATTACAATCAAGAATCCATCTAGAACAGCCAAGAATGCAGATTTCTTGCAGGAATCCATTTTTTTCTAAACGCAATCTATACTGCTAAACCTTCCGTAATATCCTTCTTACGTCCCCCTCCCCCTTCCTGTCTTCTCTATCTAATCAACCCCATTTATCTTACATCGTTCCCCTGCTTCTAATTTCGTTATGTAGTCACAGCGGAGAAACATTGCTATTTCCTTCCCTCACCCACTCAATAACCCTTTTTAAAATGATTGGGCCATCTGTTGCCCCATTCAACTTCTGAACTTCTTCTTCTATCCGCTCTCTTGATGAATTTCCATTGTACACATCGTCCTCTTCCAGAAGCATTTTCCTAGCGAGCCCGTTCTGGACCTCAGGATGCGCTTGAAAGGAGAGCATCGTGTTCGCCTTGTTCACAAAACATTCATGATTTTCTGCCAGGGCGATGAAATCGGGAGCTGGTTTGGATACTTCGCGAACGTGGAATTCAGGCGCTCGCTGTATGTTTAATCCCGTTAGAAAAAGATTTCTGAATTTCTGAACGAGCAGTTGACTGCAGAGTTGCAGGACTCACGTAAGTTACAGTTCCCGGGGCAAAGCGGAAGAACTTCTTCCCTGCCTCAGTCAGGGTGATGTCTTGGATTGCTGCCTACATTCAAACGCTATTAGCTGACTGTTGGCGTTCCAAGGTATATATTAGGGAAAAGAATGTTAACATGCATACAAAAGAATTGAAGTTGGAAGAAGGAGGAACAAAGGAAAACGAAGAGGAAAACAAGAGCACGGTTCATACAATCGATCCAGTCGGGACAGCTCGCACTTCTCCACCCATGGCGCGCGCAAGAGCTTGATGACCCCAGCAGATACCCAAAATTTTTGTCCTTGGCGAATCCCGCGCAGTGTTTCGAACAAAATCCAAGACTCCCAAGACCCAAGGCTCTGACGAAGACGCATCGGCTTTTCCGCCAGTAAGAACAACTAGATTGTATTGGAGAGGGTCAGGAAATTTGGCGTCGAAGACGGGGTCGTAAAAGTCAATCTGAGCATCCGGTGCCGCGGTGTGGAACTCATCATCATATGCTTGTCTCACGTCGCGCCAGAATTCGTTGCCCGGTGGGCTGTTGATGAGAACTGCAATATGTAAGGGTGCCATGGCGGTCAAGGAGAATTGAGATATATCTCAATGAGTCTGAAAATTTAGCAAATGATTTGAGAGTAGTTGCCTGAACTCTGAGCGGCTTTATTTGAAGATGAATGCATTCTATTACAATTTATACATTTTATGATGGAGACAATTAGCACATTATTAAGACCATGTAGTTATTGTAGATCAGTGGCATGATAACAAAACTCGGGAATTACTTGGTTGTATTGGCTCCTCGCTCTTGCAGACCATTTGAGGTAATTGTCCAGTAGTCCTAGTGTACACTATAATATGGAGTTTCTGATTTGTTTCAACTTATTATCTAGCAACTTCTGCCAGGGTTTATATTCGGCCATATTATTATTATGATTGATGATATGCTCAACGACGGGACAACTAACGCGACTATTCCTTAATCAGTGCGCGGCAACGATGGGGGGATAGCAACGTGTGGCAATCATGCCCCTTACGTCTGCACTTTACCAGATCGGGTAGGCGGGAGCGATGCTTGGGTTGTTGGATATGCTCCAACATGGCCTCTCGCCGTCATTATTGGTGTGCTATGTCTTCAAAATCAGATTCTGATTTGGCTTCATCAAAATTTTCAAGTAGAAATTTTTGTATCGGAGAGATAAGAAATTTGCCTTCTCCGAGGCATGACTAATTCTTGTATAGGCATGAACTCCACAAGGACGGCATTTTTCACGCCCACATTTCTTCGAATCCGTCACCCAGTTGCTAGGTGACCAATGATAGATTTGCATTTTCAATAGTGGTTCTAAGGCGCCTAGCTTCATGTATATAATAAATATACATCAGGGCCTTGAACTATCATCATTTATTTCATTTCCTTTCATACAGACTTGGGCTTACAGTACTCTTACTCAGTACCTTTTCTCTCATCCAATTTGACAATGTTCTTGCCAAGCGTTCATGCCGAGACCGACGAGGCAGTTTTACTAGAGTTTATTCGAGAAAATCCTCTGGGAGTCCTGATCACCAGCATCGAGTCCTCTCATCATGACTTCCTTCAATGCACCCATGTTCCATTTGTGCTCGACCTACCGGAAGAACCTGGCCGATCGAAACCCCGACTCAGGGCTCATATTGCCAAACAAAACCCGCAGACCAAGGCAATGATCGAAGCCGTGGATGGCAAACCGCCGAATGTCTTGGAGCTTGACAGCGAAGTGCTGGTGCTCTTCAATGGCAGGCATGATCATTACGTGACCCCGAAATATTATGTTGAGACGAAGCCGGACACGGGCAAAGTCGTTCCAACATGGAATTATTCTGCCGTGCAAGTCTATGGCAAATTGTCGCTCTACTACGATTCGAAAACACCGGAGACGAGCACGTTCCTCGCGAAGCAGCTTCATGACCTGTCTGAGCATACGGAGAGGTCGATAATGGATTACACTGGTGGCGAACGGCCCCAGCCATGGAAGGTCGCGGATGCGCCGGACGCTTACATTGCTCTCATGCAAAGGAATATTGTGGGCATTGAGATTCAGATCAATAAGATTCAGGGAAAACACAAGATGAGCCAGGAAATGCGACCCGGTGATCGCGAAGGCGTAGTTGAAGGCTTTGCGAAGCTAGGAGGTGATGCCGGCGTTGCTCTCTCAGCCTTGGTCAAGGAGCGAGGAGAGTTGCATGATCTGAAAAAGCAAGAGACGAAGAAATAGACTCAATGGACTTCAAAGCGAGGATTTATCCATCTCGAAATCTTCAGGATTATAGAGGCTATAGGAAGAAACCCTACCATGGCAATTTGAATATATTTTGTCTTTAATACTTGTATCGGCTATGTTAACAGACAAGCCACAGAATAGAAATTCAATCTTTGATTCATGGGTGACGTGATGTATGAAGATGTTTGGTAATTTCTTTTAGAGAACTATTCGGAAACTAGAAAGAAATGTTTTTTCTTTATTAATTCATCCTCTCATGAGTCCCTTGCAAGTTAAAATGTAAATTTACACCTAGAGTTAGGTCTAGATTGACAGTCATGCTATCCCCTTATGTCTATGGGATTTTTACCAAAGATAACAATATCAAAAGAAGATTCGGAATCAGAGTATAAAAGAAAAGAATCACACAAGAATAAATATGGAAAAGATTTCAAGTTAGTTGAAAATGTGTTTCTTTTAGAGCGTGGAAATCACATGACTGTTCCGATCTCGAAGTCAGATTGGGTTTGCCACCCCGCCATTTCCCGACTATTTCTTACCGTCACAGCAATAAAGTTGTAAGTCCCTAACGAAGGTTAAGATTGCTACAAGGTCATGTCGACAAACCCAACCATGAATATTCGAAACACATTGGTATAAATGTACAAGCCTGCTCCTCCTAGACCCAAGAAGACAGACATTGTCCGGTCGCGCAATGGTTGTAAAAATTGCCGTGAAAGAAGAACAAAGGTTTGCGCGATAATTGAAAATTGAAATACCTTGGACCCAGGAACTAACACGAACCTAAGTGCGATGAGCAAAAGCCAACATGTGGGACATGTGCAAGACTGGGAAAAGTCTGTGAAAGCGTTCAACAAGAGTTCAAATTTCGCGTGGTGACGAGGCCGGCTTCTACGCGTGCTGCATTCGATACGTCAGAGCCCAACGAGCAATCTTCTTCTTCTTCTTCTTCTTCTTCTTCATCATCTTCTCAAAAGATAACCTCCAACCAGATCGGCTCTGATAGCCTTTCTTTGGGAAACATTGATCTCATCAAGTCACTGCAACATTCTGAAAGGGATGTTTTCTACACCACATATTGGGAAGATAATTGCCTCCCGGCATTGAACCCGGTGTTTCACTCTGCCTCGCACCTTGCTGGTACTCATCCAATTTTAAACAATGCAATTTTAGCATTGTCATCCTGCAACCTTAGTCGTCTACATGCGGAACGGAGATTGTCTTCGACTAGTCACATGGGATCCTTCAGTCCAAGCCTCATCCATCAAACGAGAAGTCAATTGTACTATTCGTCGGCCATCAGGAAATTTACTTCACTGGATCAGCGTGACTATCGACACGATGCTACAATAGTCCTGACGGTTCTCATCCTATTTGCGTATGTCGAGTCCTCAATGGGCAACTTTCAAGGATTCTATTGCCATGTGGAGGGTCTGTCGAACTTTCTTTCGGAGGTTTGTGAGGCGGTAGGACACCCGGATATCAAGGCTCTCCTTACAGCATGGATGCAGACGCGATTTGTCGTCTGGTGGGCACGTGCCTACTTCAGCTCACTCGATATCCATCAGCAGCTGCCTTCGATTCCGCTGCCAGGAGTGCTCAAGGGGAGCGTTAACTCCATTCACGAGCGACGTGTTACGGTATTGAGTATCCTATGTGAATCTCATCGGCTCAACTCCCAGGCCGTACTCGGGCATTGGAGCTCCAACCCAATCTCGACAGAAACAGAATGCAAAGGGCACCATGAGATGGGCAAGACTGATGTCGAAACATGTTTTCCGTTGCTGGCTGAAGAAGCCAAAAGGTTGGACGAGTGGCTATTGCATCTCCCACCATCAGAACAACCACTCAAGGATCGCGACGACGATGTACCGATAGAGCACCGTCGCTGGGACATGGACGACCTCAATTCCCCCATCTACTTCCAATCACACGATGCAGCACTCAATTTTGCATACCATGTAGTGGCGCGCATCATGCAATGTACTGGACTTTTACAGAGACTTCAGACTCGAGACACTAATTGCCTCGGATCTGGTTACGAATGCTACGAAGCGGAGCCGTGGGTCCAATTATTACTCCGAATTGCAAAGGGCGTCAATATGTGGGCATGCCTCACGAGAAACAACTATACGATTGGATTTTCGGGCCTGCTCTTAACTGCACTGTTACGATGCCAGGACTTGTCTCTTGCCATTGAGATCCAAACCTGGCTACAGGCTCTAGAGGACTTGCAGCCGACAGAAGAAGGCGCGTTTCCGGTTTACCAAACTTTGGGTGTGGTCAAAGCCATCAATCGACAGAAGATGATGGGCCGTGATGTGTTTGGTGTAACTCAGCCGGTGGACGACGGGGGCGGAACACCAAAGTTTACCGCTTACAATAGTCAGTCGATTAACACACTCTTGTTTCATGGCAAATTGCGCGCCTCGCCGGATCTCTTTGCAGAATATGTATCGATTGACATGTAGTATAATGTCTATCGGGGAACCCTACCCTTGGGTTTTTTCTTCCCTTGGATCTTTTCACTTGTACATTGCAGATCATATTAACAGAGTCGTACTTGCATTTCTTTGACGGCTTTCTGTTTATTATTTTTAATCATATATCAGATAGATAGACATATCAACTACACCAGGCATTTTGTTTTACATGATCACTCAACGGCAGGGCGTCGGTCCCACGCGCCAGACCGGGTATAGTGTCTAGCATTTCAGGTCCCTGAGTTTAACGAGCATGGCAGTGGAGACTCGCTATTGGTAAATTCCTTCTACCCTTGTCCTCAAATGGCGCTGGACAGTGAGTCAGACTGGTTTTGCAGAATGCCAACCGTTAGCTCAAAATGGGCATTTAAACAAAGTAGTTGCTCTGCTATTCTACGCCTTCACGATCTTCACGTATCTCTCGTAGCGAGTCTCGGGCGTTTATTTGCTTGCTTTTCGCTAACTGGTCTGTCTGCTATCCGCTGCCATTTGGAAATCTTATCGCCAGTTTTACTTGTAGATAAGCGAGAGAAATTAATATTCTCGTTGTCTGACCGAGAGGACCAACGGACCCTGCAGAACAGGTCCTGTAGAGGAGAAATAATTCTGACCAGGACTCAAGCGCCCTGAGGCTCTTTGCGACATGCTCAATCTGGTTTTCGTGACGGGAAACCGACATAAAGTCTCCGAGGTGAAGGCCATCTTGGGCGACACTGTGGACTTGCAAGCGGTGGCTCTGGACTTGCCTGAGATTCAGGGGACGCTGGAGGAAATTACACTTGAAAAATGTCGACGGGCTGCTGAAATGGTATGTATAATTTTTTTTTTTTTTTTTTTTTTTTTTCCCCATGAAAGCCCCTCCAAAAAGCGGGGGAAAAAAAGGAGGGGGAGGGGATGGAAAGAAAGAAAGAAAGAATAAAGTGGAAGAAAAGATGACAGTTTATTGCAGCTATCTAATTATTCTTTTCTTAGACTGGCGGTCCTGTGTTGGTAGAAGATTCCGCGCTGGAAATGCATGCGCTTAACGGTCTTCCAGGGCCTTACGTGTATGTCAACAATACGAAATACCCCATCAATTCTACATTCTCAGTCTTTTCGTTTCTGCTAAGTTCAAAACACTGTCGATGTGAAATCGAGGACGGGCATAGAATGCTGACGCATGTCTAATCAACAGCAAAGCATTTGTAGACACAGTCGGAAACAAAGGTCTGATTAACCTGCTTGTGCCGCACGAGAATAAAACTGCCGAAGCGGTGTGTACGCTTGGCTATTCCTCCGGACCTGGGGCCGAGCCGATTATCTTTCAAGGAAAGTTAGTGGTATGTTTTCGGTGTCTCATTTCCCCAACAACGACTTCCGAGTGTATCTCTCATTGCAGTGTGGATTGTGAACTAAATATTGAAAAGGGCCAAATAGTTCCAGCCAGGGGCGTATCTTCTTTTGGTACGTATTAATGAAATGAACTAGCATCATCTTTATTTTCTAAAATTAAAGCAGGATGGGAACCAATTTTCGAATTTGATGGAGAGACGTTGGCGGAAATGAGCCGTGAGAAAAAGGTAGGTAGCTGTTCGCGTAAATATCGTTATGAGAAGATTGCTGATTCAATATAGTTTGGACTGTCTCATCGATACAAGGCAGTAGTAAAGTTCAGAAAATGGCTTGAATTTCAATGATATGATTTTACGTTCGAAGGATCTGGTTATAGAGTAGACATGGACGGGTGTTTTGAGATGTTTCAGCATAGAGATATATAGAGACGATTGTATAGATATTAGTAATTGTTTGGTAGTTGCCAAGAATAAATAGGTGTATCAAGTAGATCTTTACTCCACAACAAAAAGGTATGAGAGCATTATGAGCAAGTGAGAGAAGACTAGGAGAATATTTTAGAGATCGTCATGAAACGGTGGATATATCGAGGACAGAATGTGGAGTGTGGCTTGCACGTCAAAGCCATTCAACGTAAATGATTGGCTCAGAGGTGTGGCTGACGGGGTCAATTGACGTGGCTTGACTGGATGACAGAAGGACCAAGAGTTCGTCTTTTCCTTGATTTTTGGCTGGGCGGGTCCTCCCGTCTGGGTTACGCGAACAACCAAGTTAATCCTGGCGTGTCATGGCCCGCGTCATAAATACATTTTGGCTGTTATTGCTGTCTGTGTGTGCCAGTGTGTGTGTGTGTGTGTGTGTGTGTGTGTGGCAACAGTTACAACCATCACCATGCCCCTCATTTTTAAATCTTTTCGTCTTCTCCGATTATCCTGACCGCATACTACCAAGGGTGCTTTGGTTTTTTATTACTTTAATTGAGCCAAGTAGCTCAGGATTGCGACACTACTGTTTATCGCCTCCTCATACCTTGACGCTTTATCTCCCCATCTTGTTCCCAGTTGAAGCTCTGCACACTGGGATTTTGATCTCGAGGAGGCTCTCTGCGAAGCGATCGAAGAGATTGAATCATCAGTAGGCGAACAACCTCACCATGTCGCTCATCATCGATTCGATATACCAGGTGGCGGGCAATGTCTGGAACAAGGGCCAGGAGATCGTGGACAGGTTCTTCCCGCCGGAGAAGCGTGAGCTGTGGAAGGTCAAGCTGGCCAAGTTTGCAACAGACAAACCCATGTTTGCTGTAAGTAATATTTATCTTCCGAATAAGTCCCGAGTCGGCACAGCTCCAACTAAACAACAACCGTATAGTCATTCTTGTTGTCGCAACTTGCGTTGAGCGGTCTTCCACTTGTGCTCTTCGTCATCATGTCCATTGGCGTATTCGTCTTCTCGCTCTTAGTGGGCCTGATCATCGCCGTTCTGGCCGCCGTCTTGTTCACCGTCTTCTGCGTCGGCGTCGCGCTACTCGTCCTCTTCCCTACGCTCTTCATCACCACGTTCGGCGGTGTCTTTGTCTGGCTCTGGGGCGTCGGAGCATACTATATCATGAAGTACTTCAACAAGAATGCTTTGCCGGGCTCTGGTGGCGGCGAAGAGGGCCAAAAGGAGGGCGAGACCGGCCCGCTGCCAGACCTCAACGGCGTGACCAAGGGCGCAGTGGACACGGGCGACGTGACCAAGACTGCAGGAAACGCGACCAAGGCGACGGATGCTACAAAGGGGTTGACAGATGGCGACGTGACAAAGACGGCGGGAAATGTCACCAAGGCCACCGACGCAACAAAGGGAGTGACTGGGGGCGATGTCGGCAAGACGGTCAATGGCGCCGCGAAAACTGCCGACGTGGGAAAGACGGCCGACGTGGGTAAAACTACGGGCAGCGTCACGAAAAAAGCTGATCTGGGCAAGGTCAACAATGTGACGAAAAAGGCAGACGTCGGAAACGTGACCAAGACGGCCGACGTCGGCAAGACGGCTGATGTTGGAAAGACTGCTGATGTCGGCAAAGTCGCCGGCAAGGTTCTCTAATCGAAGACCTCAGTTGCTGTTTGATACAGTCGTCAGTCTACCAAATTGATACCTTTTTTGTTCAGGAAACAAACAAGGTTGAAACTTTATCTTCATTCGGACATTGATGAGTGGATTTGTCAGGGGTACTTGTCCACTTTGCTGTTCTCGATTACTCGATCGAACAATGTTATGTCTTTTCAAACATGTCATCCTTTTTGGGAATACACTTCTAGTGTCAAAATAACTTTTTCCTTTTCTTATCTCGGTCAGTTCTCCGCGTACGGTGCATAGCAAGCAACCTCTGGTGTTCTCTTCTTCTTCTTTTCCGTCGTTTGGTCTTTACGATTTTGTATCTTTTTCTGTGCCTGCCCCTTATTCCTTTTTTCCTTTTTCCTCCTTTTTTTTCTCCTTTTCCTTCTTCTTCGTTACTCTTTATTCCTTTATGTTTCCATTTATTTAAGCAAGCAATGAAAACAGTACATTGATCCAATGCAATCTCACATTTTATTCTGCATCCCATTTACTCCTACCATTGACATGTCAATTGTGCCATTTACTATTAACAATGTGATTACGAAATGTAATCATTATTTCATTCCATTCTTAAGCCCTTGACTGAGTCACCCTCCTCTCTCTCCCTGTCTGTGTGTGTCTGTCAGACTCTCCCCACCATCCCACCATCTACATTCATTCTACAGTCTGCACTCTGCACTCTGCACTCTCGTGAATCGTGACATGCAACAAGTAAAAAGGCAAATAGACTATATATTGCTTTTAGAGAAAAATGTGTGTGTGTGTGTGTGCGGTGCATAGCCTATATCCAAGAGTAGTAGGTAGGTAAACAGTAAACCTAGTATATGTATCTCATTCTTTGTAATCGAACTGCAACTGCAACACTGCAACAGTGGACGCTGCAACAGTGGACACTCTAGATAATCCAATGATTTCAATCAAACGCCAAGAGTCAAGACTCGAGATTCTTGAAACACACCCAGATTCGAAAAAAAAAAAAAAAAAAAAAAAAAAAAAAAAAAAAAAAAAACAAGGCGACAATGCGACAATGCGACAATGCGACAATGCGACAATGCGACACTTGGAATAAGCGTATACGGTATAACATAATACGCCATACAAGCCCCCAGCCCGCAGGCCGGCTCCCCTATGCAAGTCGGCTCTGATCAATATGACTCGTAAAGTCGTCGACTCGTCGACTCGTCACTCAGCACTCGTCACTCCTGTGACATGTCTAAATACTAATTGCCTTAACTCCAGGATTTTTTATAAGCTATTTCAAGAGCTGTACATCCTTTAGATCCAAGTAACTCTGTACCGAATCAAGAAACCGAAAACCTTAGACCCTGTCATATCGTATTATACTCTGACACTCCAAAAGTTTTCTAGGAATTGGACAATACGCCGATTCGTCGGTGCCATAAAAAGGCGGTAAATGAACGATAATCTTCTCTGTAGAAGCGCCATGGTCATCGTTCCCTCCGAGGGAGGATTGCTTAGATGGATTCAATTTCTTTTTGCAGCTTTCCGAGACTATGGTGCACACCTCATGTTGAACGGATCTCTTGTACGCTTCGCCTTTTCGCCTTTTCGCCTTCCGCCTCTTCGCCTCTTCCAGCTTCGCAGGAACGCTGCTTCGTACGAATCTTCTCAAATTCAAAAGCCTCCAAATCCAGACACACGCGTCTCGATAACCCCAAGTTTTTCAACAAACGTAGCAGTTTCGGAGAGATCGGTAGATGATCATTCGAATCAAGTTCGGGTTTCACGCTGTAAAAAATTTGGTCAAGGGCGGCAACCCAATGTAGAAGCTTGATCCCCGTGCCAAGTACCACAATTTAAGCAACGGTAAGCTACTGAGCCTCTTCTAATATTTCCTCCTCGAGTATATCTCGGAATAGATTGGGAAAGACCTGAAGCTGGGACCAATGCATTTGGTACGCAGCCGGTTCCGATGAGACCCGGCCTTAATTTCCAAACGATGTTGTTGATAGTCGAGCGAAACGACTATACATTAAGTTAATGTAGTCTTGATAAGTGATGTAACGCAGCGTCTCGGAGGACCAAACCCCAGCTACCAAAACTATACTGCAGAGCATCCAGCAAGGCATCGCCATGAAGCCCGAATTCCTGTTCCTATCAAACTCTTCGATTCTGTTGTCGAAAGTCCTGTTCCAATCAATAGTTGAGAGTATAATGACGATATGCCGCCAGAAGATTCTTCAGAGATCAAAATAATCTGTTGAATGTACGACGTTGCTTTGATCCACTTGGAGCTTCTTGTTGTGATGAATAGTCTCCTCCCACCATGTAATCCTTGGCAACTCCCCTATTCTACCTACTTCGACCTTTTAGATGGCTTCGGCAAGTCATCTTGAGCCGATCAGAGGCATCAATAGCCGGAGTTTTTCGGAAATGACTCTTTCATGCTCGTCATTTTGACTTCTACCAACATGATCACTCCCAGAGGCGGGACTGACTGGACCAGAGTATCCATTTTCTCTCTTTTTTTAGGGCCTCCGTATCCGGATGCTTGACAATGTCCAAAAAATGAGCTGATTTCTCGCTTCTTTCACCATCTCAAAAGACCTGGCGAGGATAGAATTGAATTGCGCAAGACTTGTCCAAACACTGCTCGCACGAATTTTGCAAGACGAAGAATTCGAACCGAGCACCTTAAACCCTACAATAATGGGTCAGAAACGAAGAGAACCCCGCGGCCCTTGGCTGACTTTGTAGGTTGGAGCTGCCTTGCCAAAACTCCACATGTCATTCCGGCTTCTCCTTTCGGGACTGATTGCACTCCAAACACTTATTCCTGTTATGTCGGACATATCATCCCACGCGGTATCCAAGCCAGCCCGTTCTCCTTGTGCAATACGTAAAGATGAAGTCCTTCAACTCTTTCTTCTCCACATGGAATCTGGCAGCGGCAGATATATGTTCAATATCCTTGCCTCGCTTCCAAACTTTTCGCGTTCTTGGGTGTTTCTGGCGGCAATAACTCCGAAATGGTGTTTGATATGGGTTATCTTGGGGTTTCTTCCTGTTCAATGGCTCATCTGAAGTGTTTAGTTGCCGAAGAAAAGGTTGCGTCTGTAAATAGACACTCGTCCAGTTTACAAATCAATGTTGCAAATACAAATCTTCCCTTCTCAATCTTGTCGGTAAAGGAACGTGCGTCAGATTGCTGGTAGGTGCTTGATATCTTGCCAATTCTCAGGCTCTTGTGCTTCTGGATCCTCTTCGTCAAAATGATTGTGGAAGTATATCCCTTCCTTTTCCAAGTGGTTCTAAAAATTTGGGAAATATGCACTGGTTGCCTTTCTTTCCCCCGTTTTCTTGGTCGTTGTTGACGTTGGTGTCTTTTTCGACCCTTCAGTTTTTCGTCATCCCTGCTGACCTCGCTCTTTTTGATGTCTGGATCTTCGAGGAATCTCCGGAGAAGAGTCTCGCTTTGATCTTCTACGGGATGAGAAAACTAGAGATAGAACACTTAGTATCAATTTTTGAAAAGTTTCACCTATACGTACTCCTCTCAGGTCCGTCAGCTCGGAGCCGGTGTGCATCGTAAATCTCTCTACCTCGTTCAGATTACGGCGTGAAAGGCCAGCCATAGTGTTCACAGGTGGGTTTCTCGGAACCTCTCGTCGTGGCGTTTCTTGAGGAAGTATATTCCATCAGTCGACTTGGGTTAATGCGTTCTTTGTGAGGAAGATACGGGTGACTGTCCCAGAAATGTTTGCAATTGATCATTTATGAATTAACAGGATCTGTGGCCAAATTCAGGATTGGCTTGTAATCATCCTCAGACAATATTAACAAGATTGGTTCTAAATCTTGGCCTGGACAGTGGTGTTGGCGTTTGAATTTGTGCTTAGGAGGCTTGGTTTTCTGGTGTTTTACTGTCTTTGCTGCCTTCTTAATGGTCATTGTGTCTTTATGAAATTGTGATGGTTGTAATGGAAGACTGTTGAACACAATATTCTATCGATTGAAGTGATGTTGATCAGAACCTGAAACGTCTCGGTGCAATCTCCAATATATACCATAGTTATTCGGCGTGATCTTTGCAGATCCCACAAGACGAGATCCTCGGTAGATGTACCATGTTTCTGTACACGTGTTGTTATTCAGTGTTGAAAGTCTCCTTTAACCGTCGAAATCATAATTCAGACAAAGATGTGATATATCTGCTGCAAAGTGAAGTCGTATATCCAAATGAGGCGGATGCTCGCCCGAAGTATCCCAAACTTAGAGGGCTTAGGTGAGAATTGATTGTGACGAGCCAATATGCCAAGGCCAACGATGTCAGATAGAGTATTCGAGTCCTCTTAAGATTCTTCAAGAATCTCGTCATTCGGCATCTCCTCCATATCCGCCAGAGGACGGCCCCTCGGAATTTCACACGATATAGCGTAGAAATGGCCAGTTCCATATGTCTAGCTAAAATTAAGTCAAAATGGATTCAAGCAAGTATTGCAAAAGAAGAGGAGAGATATGTGATCCAACTTGGGTTTAAGTACTGACATACCTTTTTATAGTCCTTGCTTATCTAGACAAATATGCTGCCATTTTGACTCCAGCCGTTCAAGTTTGTATTTCTGAGATGCATTAAATCTCTGCATAGCCAATTCAAGGCTATCAACACAATAGCATCTCAGTCTCTGGAGCTCGCTGCGTCGCGAAACCGTTCAAGATCTGGAAGTTATCCTTCAAAATACAACATCAATCAGAGGTGTAGTTGTCAAGCAACAATATACATACTGCTTCCTTTGAACCTAAGTCCAGTCAATGTTTTCATCCCACACGAGTATCGGTGCTTTGTGCATTGAGAGAGTTCTGCTTTCCAGCCTTTTCCAGCCTCTCCAACTTCGTTCTGCAGGTCCGCCAAACAGTATACTCGTTACCCACTTCTGTCAGCTCTGACGCGTCTTCATGGATAAAAACATTGTTATTGCGTGTTGATGCTGTGGACAAGGCGCTGTATTTTCTATTAAGATCGTACTTCTCATAGGTTGTGTTCAGCTTTTCCATGAGGGTTCAACTACACACGGTACACCCAAATGATGAACCTGCGTCATGCAAGTCTATCCTTAACAGGGCTTGCAGGACGTGAGGTAAGCGGGGAAAACGAAGTCGTCGGAATCCGAATACCAGTCGTTCGAGGAAACGATGCAGGTGTAGGCGAAGACGACGGCAGATTGGGAAGAGAATCTTCCATCCATCGCGTGCGTAGTTGAAACTGGACATCCCTAAAACTTACAGGGAGATGCGTAAAAGGTTTCAAACACTGGATGAGGTTTCCATGATTCAAAGTCCCAAATCGCTGTGGAAACAGTGGCACAAAGCCATGATGCCTTGTAGACTTTCCAGAGTCTGGCTTTCCTGCAACGGTGCAACCGACTCGTCACTCGCAGGATGGCTAGAAGTTGGAATTGAGAAGCGGAACGCCGGAACATAGCAGCTGGCAGAGATGCATGGCAGATGCATCCCTCCGACAGCCATCTGACTTTTTGCCACTGCAGCGTCGTCATCTCTGTCGGTACTTGCGTTGTAAATTGGATTGTTATGGGTAGTAAAGTCAACCCTTCGCGCTTTGTAGTTACTGTTCGCGAATCGCGATTGCTGTCAAGTCCTTAGCTCTTACAAATATCTATACTGCTGAATACAGAAGGAGCGACTGTCGCAGACTCGCAGCTGACGAAGCTCGCTTTCAAATTGTCAATGGCGGAAAGACAGAACAACCAGCTTGGTCATGCATAAAAAAATGAGAAGGCACAATGTTCAATGAAAGTGTTGTCATCTTTCAGCGCAACAAAATCATAAGAGGAAGGAGCGATGATACACCAAAAAGGAAACTTTGAAGTAGATTAAACCGTGAGAGCAAAACCATGTCGGGCTTTCCCAAGGCATAAATACATTTCTCGTAGATGCCAGTAGCCTTGTGTAGTTAAGGGAATGCTAGGCTATGGTTAAGGGATCCCTGGCTACAACGCGTGCAAGGGATGGCAGCTATATATATGCGACTATACCGCCCAACCAGCGAAACCAGTGGAACCAGCAAAACCAGTGAAAGAGTAAATGGAGCAACGTGAACCTAGTTTTGATTGAATGTTGCAACGAGCGTAGGTAGATTGAAGATTAACAGATTTCTGGGGAATAGGAGCAGGGAAGGATATCTGGCAATTAGCATTCTTCACTGTTTCGCTGAATGGACCGGAACTATAGTTTTGCGTTAGGTAAGTAGCCTGATAGCTGTTATTCACGGACCGCAAGTGCTTCAAAAAGGACAGCAAGCATGAGCAAAGACGAAGAAAAGAGATGAGAGAAACAAAGTGGGAAGGAGGAAAGAAAGAGCTGAGATGAGACGGAAAAAGAAGAGATCACAAGAAATTCAAGACTCTAGATTCGATAAAAGCGATTTTCTCCAGACATCACACACGTAAATCAAATCATCAGGAAAAGTGAAATGTGTCAGATAAAAGTCATTACATTTGACCGAATGGGTGGTATCTAAAGTCTTCCATCTCTATAGACAAAATGCCCAAAAAGAAAAAATCTATGAGAAGCAGACTCCCACTCGATGCAGTACAAGAAAAAACAATCATAAGACCCAAAGGGGTTGTAATCATAGCGAGCGTGACAACAGATCTTGAATCAACAAGTCCTTTTTCCCAAAAGGAGTAAAAACTCCCAGAAAACAAGCCATGTATCCCCCATCCGTGCGTCCAAGGTACCAAAGATATCCCAAGATCCAAAACAGGAGAAACCAAACGGCTGGCAAAATATCGTAAAAAGTATAAGACATGGAAAGAGTCAAAATATTGGAGACCCTAAACAACGTACTGCGTGACTCTTTTTGGTCATTCGACAGTCGTCAGGTATCGTGGCAATGGCATAAACAGGCAATAACTTTCGTGCAAATCATGATGAGAAAAATAGGAAAATGAGTACATGACAGAGAAAACTGTCGAAAAAAAGGAGGCAGTGCTTCGTCGCGCAAACGTTTCGAGCGAAGAGAGGATCAACACTGTCGTCGGATTGAATGATCCGTGATAGCCCTCGAACTGCATGGCTACAGCTCTCGCCGAATTTCGAATTCGTAAGCGGTGCGACGAGCTCAGTTCCGGATATTATGCAGCCTTGCAGGAACTGTTTAACTGAATGGAAGCACTCAATTAAGAAGTGGCCTGAGAGGCGCGGCGGTCCTTCTCATCCATATCTTCCTCCTTCTGGTTCTCCAGACGCTCGAGCTTGTCAAGCTTAGCTTCTTCATCGTCCATGGTGAAGCCGTACTCGACCGCCTTGCGTTCAATCTCTTCCTGGTTGAGCTTGGGAAGCTGGTGGGCGGCGTGCACATAGCTCATCTTCTCGAGGTGACCCTTAGCAAAGATGAAGTCAATTTCCTCAAGAGAGCGGCCAGCAGTCTCGGGGTAGAAGAAGTAGATGATAGGGATGAAGGCAAAGTTGCAGCAAGCGAAGAAGAGGTAGGTGCCCCAGCCGATGCCCTGAATCATAATGGGAGTGACCATGACAATGAGGAAGTTGAACATCCAGTTGGCACAGGTCGACACAGAGTTGGCCTTGACACGGGTCTTGATGGGGTTGATTTCAGCAGGGTAGAGCCACGGCAGGGGCAGCCATGTGGCTCCAAAAGTAGCCATGAACAAGAAGAGCCCAAACGCGGCACCCTTGGCAGCTTCCTTAGTACCTGGGATCAAGCAAGCAAATGTGATGACCATTGCCACGCATTGACCAACCGAGCCAACAAGGAAGAGCTTGCGACGACCGACCCGCTCGACGAGGAACCAAGACAGAGTGGCGAAAATGGAGTAAATGACCATGTTGACACCGCCAAGTAGGAGAGCCAGCGTACGCTCCATCTTCACCGAGTTTTCGAAGAGCACAGGCAGATAGTAGATGACAGCGTTGCAACCACCAACCTGCTGCATAAATTGTGAAGAAGATCCCAAGAGAAGTCGGCGGAAGTGCTGCGTCTTTCCACCAGTAAGGAGGTCCCGGTAGCGGGTCTTGCCAGCAGCGCCAGCAAGGGCAATGTTGTCAATGATCATGCGCTTCTCAGCCTGAACATCCGGGTCGTTGATCTCACGGTCATTAATTGCCGCAATGACCCTCTCGCCCTCCTCAAACATATCACGAGAGATGAGCCAGCGAGGGGACTCGGGAAGGAAAAGCATGCCGACAATACAGTAGAGACCGAAGAAAATCTGGAACGCAATAGGGAATCGCCAAGTAAGGTCGGGAGGCCCGTACATGGCACCGAAATCGATCCAGTAAGAGATGAGGGTGCCAAAAGCAATTGTGGCACCTTCAATGCAAATGAGCAGACCACGCTTGTGCGCATGCGAGCACTCCGCTTGATATGTCGGGATGGAACTCGTGTTCATGCCGTTGCCAACACCGGTGACGACTCGACCAACAATGAATTGTGCCAATGGGACAGAGCCAGCCATTGCAGTGACCTGGATAATGACACCGATAATCATGATGCTAGCACCGACAATCACAGCCTTGCGGCGACCCAGGCGGTCACCATAGGCCAGCACAAAAATGGCACCAAAAAGACATCCTATGTGGTCTCTTAGCAACTCCACATAACAGAATGGCAAATCTCTGCCGCAGCCATTTCACAAACGTACCGATTTCATATATAGCAGTCACCAGCGCCTGCATAACAGCACCGTCCTGGCCACCCGCGCCTCCCAAAGCAGGAAGGAGCTTGATAAAGACTGGAGATGAGATGATACCAGACATGACACCCTCTTTAATCGTTCAGTTAGAATTCATTCTATTGCCCAGCTTCTTCCATTAGGGTTTGGTGGAGTAAACACTTACGATCATAACCGAAGAGAAGGAATCCAGTGGTGGCCACCGAAGTGATGGCCAACGAGAGGGGCTTTCCGGAAAGCCCGCCATACTTGGGAACTGCCATGGTGATTTTGAAGTCTCTGCGATTGATGTTCGCAGGAAATTTGAATCAACGTTTGGCTGGTTTTTTTCGAGTAGAGGTAAGTCAATCCTTTTGCCAGTCCAGTATATCTCACGGGCGAAAGTGACCAGCACAGAGAAGGTCAGCCCAAGTGTCGTTTGGGGACGGATACAGTCGAGTTGAACCAGACGAAAAAGGACCTCCAGACGGGGCGGACCGCAGACTTTATCTTCTTCCTTTGGACCTGACAAGAGTGTGGGTGAGCCGTTCGTCAGTGGGGAAAATTTTGCGAATTCGACATGCCCTGCTTCCAGGAATGTACCTTGATACAATGGTCCAGTGGAGGCATCCTGGGCATGTTGAATGCAACGGCATCGTTTCGGCCATGCGGAGAGAGTGACCGCAACCTCTTGAAAGTCGTCGTCATTGGCCCAAGCTGGCAACGGTGTAAGTTGACAGTCACGCAAAGAGTAATGATGTTCGACTAGGGCCTCCCCACCTGGCAGAATTTAACCTCGGATGGGTGGGGAGGGTGGAGACAAAATGGGACCCATCCGTCACGCCCCGTCAAGGTCCGCCAGGGTCTGCCCCATGTTGGATCTCTCTTGCTCGTGCTTGAATTTTGCTTGAGATTGCAGCGCAGGGAGGGTGGCGGGCCCAAACCCAAGCCATTACGTCGTTTGGGGGTCTTTAAGTGGGTCCAAACCCTGCAAAAGATTTGTTAAACACCTGCGAGGGATGCCTGGGTGTCGAGTAATTACGATTCTTTGCCGCAGATGATAGGTGGGGAGGGCACTTACCATGGACTGTCGGGCTGCACGTATCCACTTGAGAGATTGTTGTCCCAATCCGTCGCCCCTGCTGTCATTGGTGTCCGAAGCAGGCAGAAGAGGAAAGTCCTGAACGTCCTGTGGTATAACACTGCACTCGTGGCAGTAAAGTCTGGCGAAAATACTGAAAAAGGATTATCAGGACGAAAGGAGGAATTTCCGGTTGTGGTGGGGTGCGGGAGGTCACCGACGAGGCAATCTAAGCTCATCTAAGGGCGAAAACAGGTGTGTCCACCGCAAGACCGCCTCATTGATATCATTCCTGTCAAACTGCCCTCCTGGCGGATTCGATCAGTCCGTTGTCGCCAAGATGGGACAGGCTTGAGGCGGCGCATTGGCCGGTGCAGTTTCGGGACATTCGAGGTCTGTCAAAAAGGTACCAGCTACCGCAGTAGTTCTGATCACGGTGGATGTCGCACTACCACCCACCCCACCCACCCCATCAATCCCTCTGGGAGACAAAGCACGAGCCTTTGGTTCAGAGTCACTTTTGCGTGCTCTTACGACAGAGGCGCAATCAAGCGAATCAAAATGATCCCACGCAAGCAACAGTCTCGTGGCAAAGAGCAACGAGAAAGAAACGAAAGGAAAAATAAAATAAAAAAGGAAATGGACACAATTACACCCCCTTGTTTCCACCCATTGACCTTTCTGGATAACTGTTGAGGCGCTTCAATTTTCCCCCTAGTTGCATAATTTTGAGCAAGGATCACTCAGTACAAGGACGGATGGGAGCACACCAAGTCACATACCCCGTCGACGACTCCTGCTTTGGGCAATCGTCCATCTCACAAGGTTCGGCAGGACGAAACGACATTATTGCCATCTAAGCGATGGTTGAAATTACCACTCTGGGTAGCTACACGAGCCATCAGCCCATGCAGCGTCATATTGCGTATCCCAGCCCTGATTTGATCCAGTGGTAGTCTGCGAAAGATAGTGCCATATGATCTATAGTTGGTCGTATCAGAATTTGCAAGCATATCTTCGTCGACTGCCTCAACGCGCTTGATGCTCCCGGAGCCTACTCGCGGGTTGCACGCCATAGATTGCGCATATCAAAGCCGCATATCGCTCCGTAAAATGCCGAGGTTTGGGTTCGTCCGTGGCCAAAATTTTCAAGTTGGGCTGTACAATCCTGAATGCTGTCTTTGGAACTCTTCTAGGCAGGCTTCGGTGTAAACTCATGCGAGTGGGATAATTAATCCCGGCACCGGATGGCTGGATGGCTGAACGACCGATAGGCTGAAGCGATGCGGCACAGATCGTGGGGTTGCACAGTCAAACCGTCGCGATTCGCAAAATGATTAGTTCTAATTTTCAGAAAGAACGACCCTTGGCGGAGAAACATCCCGAAGGCCCTGCCAGCTTGGTTTGAATTTCATTCACATGCGTTTTGTATCGTCGTTCCAAAGACCATTGGTCTTTCCTGATGTGGCTGCATTATTGGCAGAATGAAAACATCAGCAACAAGGTTTGTACTGCATCTCCCCTATTTGCATATTCGATTTTGAGATCCTGGGTATGCGTATCTACGCTCTAGATTCTGCATGAAAAGTCAAGTGGCGCCGCCTCTGTTCATGTTAATTACCCCTTCTGATATTGTGCCGCTGATCTCCCGCTGCCATGTTCATTGGACGGTTGTAAATACAATTTTTCTTCGGCCAATCTCGCCGCCTTCCGGATGTCCATATTTCTTCCTCTGTTGAGGGACCAAGCACGCATGGTGGGCAAGGATTTTGCATGGGATCTTTGTGTACGAAAATATCCCAACTTTCCTTATGGGCTGTGGCGGTTGTTCTGCCCCGTAGGGGAAGTGATTGACCACAAAAGCACAGACATAGAACTCGTGTTTAATGAGAGTTGTGCATCGTGGCACTAGAATCAGCGCAAGTCGATCCATCTGTTGGTCGGGGTCATTCACAAATACCAATTGATAACATGAATTTGCGGGGAAATTGCTCTGAAGTTCTGGGGTAACAAGGGCACAACCTCCACGGCTCCTGCCCTTGATACATGTTGAACAGGCTGGCAGAGTCCAGAACACAATGGACTCCAGGACCATGACTTGCACTGAACAACTCATATTGTCAACAATCATGAGATCCTTCAATTTCAACTGTTTGGTCGGGTTGAAGGCCGCCCACAATATTTGAGCATCCTTTGGCCCGGCCTCGGGTCCTTCGTGACAGTTGATCAGACCATTTCACTTCATCCTGGTAAAAAATTTTATACTACCCTGCATTCCATTTTGGCACAAAGGAGAAATGCATAAGATTGGCCTTTGTTGAGGCTTCCTGAGCGTTGCTTCGATTGAAGTGGCGGTATCTCGAACCCGAAGGTCAGAGTTGTGGGGTGCAGCTGGGGTTGAATTGGGGTTGTGGGGAAAGCATATGCGACACACGCGACACGTGCTTGATGAAAATTCTTGTCAATCCCATCAGCGGCAGCGGCGACAATCAATTGCCAGTTCAAGGATGTATGTGTAGGATCGCTCTTTTTAATTTCTTTTAATTGTCCTCAAACTTGTCGTAGTGACGCGCGTCCAAATTCAACCAGAAAGGCCGGACGAACAGCCGTGTACTTTACTTCCAAGGTGTGTCATGAGCGGTCTCCAACCGGCCAGGACGGAAAATACAACGGACCCCAAATCAAGAATAGTCATGCCGGGAGGCGTGAACCGGGTGGCGCTTGGCTCCGGCGTTCTCTCGCTCCCTCCCGTCAGTTTCGCCCTCTGGCTGTTGGCTGCACATCCAACTGCTCGCTCAACCGGGTAAGCGCCGTGGGGGATCAGTCGGCTGAACGACGGGCTGAAAATACTGTGAGCCGTCTATTCCTTGGTCATCAATGCCGCTGCCGCCCTGACTAACGGGAAAAGAAAACTATGCCCAAGCCTATTAAGGGTCAGTATCGGCACAGAATTGATGCGAGTCTGCATGAATATAAAATTCTTGGTCAACAATTAATTCACGTAATGAAATAATGCGTGGCACATATGATGAGCCCCTCAGCGAAGATGGAAGATTAGTGGGGTGATTCTCCTCTCAAACCATCAGGGACAAGTCAGAAAATTCGTCATTATCGTAATCCGGTAGCAACAGCGATACTGAGGGGAGCTGTGAAGCAAGAAAAAAAAAGCTCATCATGAGAGGTCTTGGGTGATGATGTTGGTGGCGACAATTGTGGGATCGTCACAGGGGACTTTAGTACACCCCGGAGAATTATATTCCCCGGTTCCGTTCAACGATCCGAACCGACCTCCACCTTTCTCCTTCCCTGTGACTACTCTTCTCCTCTCTCCTCACTCCACAGACACTTGGCATTGATCGTCACGCTATTAACCCTATTGAGTTCCGTGAGGAATCAACCAACGTCATTGCTCGTATTTATCCCGCAACCAACTTTTTGAGGTTCCTGGCAGATAAACTAATTTACTTGCGGAGTACTTCGTTACAGAGGTACAACATTACTCAACATGAACCACACTGTGGACACGCAAAAGAGCAAAGGTTTGCCGCTCCACATCTAATGTCTTTTACTCCACAAAATTTTTGAACCATCATCTCTATTCCGCGGCATCGCAGTCACGTCGGCTCTTTTTTTGCTTGGTGTCCCGTCGTCATCGTATTAGCAATGGACCCACAGGCCTGAGCAGCGCTTTCCCCACACCTTCTCTTACTCTCACCTTTTTTCTCCGTTGCCATTCATTCGGAGTCGTCTCTGCTATAATAGGAATGATCCTCAACAATCATTTCGGGAAGTTTTGCCGCGCTTGTGTTCTAGGTCTCCAAGTCTGATCGTCGTCAAGACACTATCTTCTGTGCGTTCGGCGCTTATCTGTCGCTGAAATGAGCGACGCGTGTTACTTACAAAGGCATGGGTTTCTGCATCAGAGACTATTCCTCGCAGGGATCAGGCCTTTCATGAAATGTTCAACTACGCTACATTGTTTTGAGTGTTTGTCCCCGGGGACCCCACATACGACAATACCCCTTTCCAACTTGAAGTCCGCATTGCGCGCTACGCGCCTGTGGGCCAAAAGATATCCAAAAGCGGGCCCCTTTAACCCTGCAATGCGGATACTCCACAACTACGCAGTGACATGATGTGGAGCTGAGTTCTCCTTTCTGCGCGCGATCTCGGACTATCGGTCCATGGATTATGGCATCCCTTCGGACTTTGTTCCTGGCCATCTTGTCCTGCTCCAGACTTTAATGACAGAGCGTCTTTTACAAGTTTGTTGCCGGAATTCCAAAAGGTTCCACATGGTCCTGCAAATCCATTTGCTTGCTCGTCTGTTGTCATTCTGCTAGTTGTTCTATGCAATGTTGAATATCACGGCTCAAGATTCTTTTCCTCTGGTTTTGTCACCTCCCAAATCCACCAAATTCCAACATCTCCATTGCCTTTCAGTCAGCGATGACATATGTCAGAGTGCGCATTCCAAAATCAACCACCTCGCCAGCTGGAAAGGTGCCTGCTGAAGGCGCAGCGGATTGGCGCTACCGCTAACAGGTCTCAGTCTACTTTTTCTACCACGCTCTCTGTGCGTATTGACTAATAGGATATGACCGAGACTAGTTGGTGACTGATCACAGCGGCGCCAGCTCCGTACTAATGGAACTGGTATGTGCCCAGACTTTGCCAATTTGTGTCTGCGTCGAAGTCCTTTGAATCATTGTGTATTCTCTCATTCCCAATAGGCCTTAATGAGGCTCTCAGATCTCTGTTTCGCTCCAACTTGTAACCCTTTTTGGTATCACCCACACATTGAGAACGTGATTCGAGACCGGAGACGAGGCATACGTTGATCCAGCTCGCGCTGGAGATCCTCGACTGCCTCTTCTATCAAGGGCACTGGTCTTGGTCGTCAAAAACTAAAGAATGACTGAAGGGCAGTCACATGGATTTGTTTGGACTCTGAATTATATTTTTGGCGATATTAATTCCCCTTGTGATGCTGCGATCTTTCATCTTTCTAGATCCGTTATTTAGTAAATGCAAACAGATATTGAAATAAGCTTATGAGGGGAAAAAGGCAAGATCTATTTACTTAATCTATTTATTCTGGAAAACCCAGAAATATTTCTGTTATTTTAGAGATATTGCGATAGGGATTACTAATTCATTGATGCCAGGAAATTAAATTATCTGGGCCCGGTTGCCAGCGAAGGGGTAAGGGATAATTCTTTGCATCCAATTTCTATGTCGGATATTTTCATGCTAATTATTCTCATAAAGCGAGAGAAACAAAGTATGCTGGCCGTTGACTGGTCCCTTGACATGATAACATGATGCGGTGGAGTGCCACTTCGGCTGGTCGTCGCCCTGCCAAAAACGCCGACCACAAGATATTTTTACTCATCATTCTTTCACCGCAACCTTCAATGATAAATTCCATCATCAGAGTCGTGGCTTGATCAATGATAGGGTTACGTGGTCAAGGGACGGGTCGTAGGATCACATGGGGGCTGCTGTGTTGCGGTGAGCCGCCATGACTGACATCATTGCTGAGATGGGTGGAGCAGTCCTTATCACCTTATCACCGGTGCTATATGAATAAGAAGGACGGTATGGACCCCATTTCTGATAGCCAATTCAACATTGAAACTATCTGGTCTGATAACAAGACAGAATACAGACAGTCTTGCGCAGTCATCATCATGGATTCTGCTCGTCGCCAGCCTCACCTCACTGACTCATCAGCTCAATGTATTACACGCCCTTGGAGCCAATCAGCTCACATGTCCAAAGTTTAAACAGTATCCGTCACATTTCTGCTTTTGTAGAACATCCAAAATTGGCAGCTCAACCCGACCTGTATGCATTTACAAGGGTCAAATGACCCTTCAGAGCACGGGGCCCATGACTCACGAAATATTACAGATACTCACGCTCGAACAAATGGTGATGAATGATAAATATTGTGGCCTGTCAAGGCTAATTGAGAAATGGAATATAGGCAGCTGTTGATACTCGTTAAACGCATTGGATTTGTAACAATAACTGGCCATGGCGCTTGCAGTTCCACCCAATTCGCTCAATAGAGGGGCTCCGAAAGCCGCGAATGTTGCCAGTGGTCATCCACTTGATCCATTGGCTGCGGTAGAGACGATACAAGCGGCACAGCTTCTCAAAGGCCATGCAACGGGGTCCAGTCTTCATTTCAAGTATATTACCATTGCTGAGCCTCCCAAAAATGTCCTACGGGCGTATCTTGCTGCAGAGCGGACCGGCAAGGCTGATCTCCCCCACATTCCCCGCCGAGCAAGTGCGCTCTACTACCTTCGTGGCACCGCTGAATTGTATCTGGCCAAGGTCAACTTAGATGATGAGACTGTTGACTCTGTTGAGAAGCTGCCGGAATTCTTTCATGCACAGGCCGATATCGACGAATTGATAGTGATGAAAGATGCATGCCTACAACATCCAAGGGTGCGAGCCGAGATTGAACGCTTTCGACTGCCCAAAGGAACCACTGTTGTGTGCGATTTATGGCCATATGGTCGAGATACTGGGGGTACTTCCCGGAGAATGATTCAGGTCAGCACTTGCTCACGTTCTCCATCAAATAATGTGGGTGGATTTGCTGATATAAAATTAGTATTACATGTATGCACGGGATCCGGCAACGAATCATGAAGCGTCTAATCACTATGATTTGCCGCTTCAGTTCTCCCCCATCTTCGACTATGTGTCCCGCGAGTTGGTGGATATCATATATCTCCCTACTGGGTCAGATCAACGGGTCAATCCCGAGCCAAAGTATATTCCCCATACAGCAAAGGAATATCACCATGATCTGCAACCTACGCCCCCTCGATCAGACCTGAAGCCTTTGCTTGTGCACCAGCCACAAGGTGCTTCTTTCAATATTGATGGACATCTCATCACATGGCAGAAATGGCGACTCCGTCTAGGATTCAACTGGCGCGAGGGAATGGTGCTCCACGACGTGACGTATGACGGCCGAGAGTTGTTTCATCGGCTGAGCCTGAGCGAGTTGTTTGTTCCATATGGCGATCCGCGCACTCCTTATAATCGGAAGAGCGTGTTTGACTTTGGTTAGTACTTCCAACTGCTCTTCAATACCTCTCCAGTTCGATCTAACCCCACGACAGGTGATATTGGGGCCGGAGTTGTTGCCAACAACCTCAAGCTTGGATGTGACTGTCTAGGGCTAATCAAGGTGAAACCTCCTACCCAAAGCAAGGTCACGCTGAACTGTGAGTCCATTACTGACCAGGCCACAGTACTTTTCCTTTATCATCACCGATTCAAATGGCAACCCCGTAGAAAAGCCCAACGCCGTTTGCATGCACGAAATTGACAATGGCATTGGGTGGAAGCATACCAACACCAAAACCGGACCCGTTTCAATCGTACGCTCCCGCGTGCTCGTACTGCAATCAATCATCACCCTAGGAAATTACGAATACGTCCTCGCATGGCACCTCGACCAGGCAGCTGGACTGCACTACCAGATCCAAGCCACTGGAATCGTTTCCACGGCACCCATTGATCCTGGCGTGCAAGTACCCTGGGGGACAAATGTCAATGAGGGCGTCATGGCTCCATATCACCAGCACGGTATATATTTAACTTTCCACTTTTCCTCCACCTCCCCCTTTCCCCACGGGTCCTTTGCAGACTACTTCTTTTCTCTCCCCAACGGGCCCTCTTCCTCCTTTTCCCATTCACACTACCAGATACTTACACACAATGCCCCTAGTATTCTGTCTACGCATCGACCCCTGTATCGACGGGGACAACAACACCTTCCTCGAAGAAGACTCCATCGCCATGCCGCTCACCGAACACCTCAACCCCAAGGGCGTAGGCTACACCACTACCCAAAACGTCCTCTCTACATCCTCTTCCTCCGAAGCCGCGCCCAACCGCGTTCACAAAATCATCAACCCTTCCAAGCTCAACCGCGTGTCCGGCCGTCCTGTGGGCTACGCCATCTATAGCCCCGTCAAGCAGATGCTCCTCGCACACCCGACGTCCTGGCACAGCCGGCGGGCCAAATACGCGCGCCACCCATTCTGGGTCACCGCGTATCGCGACGACGAAATCTATCCCGCGGGGGATTACACCTACCAGTCTCTTCCCCCTGAAGACATTGCTGCGGTTACAGGTCGCGGCGGGGCTGGTGGTGGGGGTGATGGTGATGGTGAGGGTGGTTTTGGCGGCGCAGCAGCAGCAGGCCACCAAGACCTCGCAGCCTGGACGGCCCGCAAAGACCCCACAGAAAACACAGACATTGTCATCTGGCACAGCATTTGCCTAACGCATAACCCCCGGCCCGAAGACTATCCCGTCATGCCGTGCGACACGATGACGGTTAGTCTCAAGCCGAGCGGGTTTTTTGAACAGAATCCCGCCTTAGACGTGCCGCAGAGCACGCAGGCCGTGAATCAGAGTTGTCTGTATGGGGATTTTGACAGGCGGCTACGCCTTGCTTCTTCGTCCTCTGGTTCCCCTTCTCTCAATCCGCCGGATCCCGCGAAATCTTCTTCCCCTTCCCATTCAGTCAATCCTGCAGTACATTCTACCGCGCAAGACAGTCAACCCTGTTGCTCTTCTTAGGCTTTAACTCCTTCCTCATCCTCATCCGCCTCATCGTCATTCCTCTCTGCCCGGTCTAATTAATGTAGGCTTAACATAAGGAGTTGACATCAATATATAACCAGTATTGTATTGCAGCTGTAGCATGTGATATTAATATCAGTAGTCTTACATGCAGTACCATTATGTCTCACATCCAGAACCATTATGCGACAATGGAGTAATATTGCGGATCACGCGGTTTGATAGACTGAATTTTTACTGCAATATACATGTATTATGGTTGTGGTATGTTACAGCAGCGAAAGACCAAGAAAAGAAAATTTGAATAAAGGGGGAAAAAAAATGAAGACTTATTTCGTACTATTGTACATTTACTGCGGCAGCCCCGGCAGCAACGGCGGGCGGCCAGCAAATGCTTTAAATAGACAACGTTGACGGCAAAGTAAAACGAGATGAAATTAACTGAAACGGAAAAAAGGGAAAGAAAAGGTAAGAGAAGATAAAATAAGAAAAAATATCTACATATCTGACGAATGGTAGAAAATATCTGACGAATGGAGAAAAGGTAACCGAGATGGAAAGAAAAAAGCCTCCCCGCTCAAGTAACCAACGATTCAAGTAATTTATCGACTAGAAAAAATGGACGGGAAGAGACTTAAGAGACTACGAAATGCGACTGAGAACATTATACTAGAGGGATAAAAGGAGAACTGAGACTTTAATCAAGCATCCGTATCGACTAGTCTCCTTCCCTCATGTGCCTTTTTAGCGAGCTCCAACAAGAGCGCCAAGTCGCCGCTCATAGAGCACATGTCTCTAAACACTGTATCCTCGCGAGAGACGAGAGACCAGGGGTCGTCATATTCAATGACGCGACCCTTGTCGAGGACAAGCACCTTGTCGTAGTCGATAATAGTTTGCAGGCGGTGAGCAATGGTGATGATGGTGCCCTTGATCTCGCGAATGGTTCGCTGGATCTTGGCGTCGGTGGCATAGTCAATCGAGGCAGTGGCCTCGTCCATAAGAAGAACTTTGGGAGATTTGAGCAAGGCCCGGGCAAGACAAAGGAGTTGTCGCTGGCCTTGGGAGAGGTTGGATCCGGACTCGGCGACGGGAGAGTTGAGGTCGTGGAAGGGATTCTTATTCTCGTGTTGAGAGTCGTTGCCATTGCTGTTGGACAGGTCGGCAGTAGACGAGGTAGGATCCGGAGTGCTCGGGCGAGTGGTCGAGTCGGAGCCAGGATTGGGCGAACTGATGAGGTGCACGCGGCGAAGGGCCGTGAAGATTTCTTCATCGGTAAAGAGCTCAAAGGGATCAAGGTTGCTGCGGATAGTACCGGTGAAAAGCGTGGGATCTGAGCCGAGAAATATATGTATTAGAATCCATTGAACCAAATCACAGCAGTTGTGAACAATAACTTACCCTGAGGAACAATGTTGATTGACTGTCGCAGGTCCTTGAGACCAATCAGGCCAATATCCACCTCGTCGACAATGATCTTGCCTTCCTCTGCCTCCAATCCACGGAAAAGAGCAAGGGCGAGCGAACTCTTGCCTGCTCCCGTGCGACCAACAATGCCAACCTTTTCGCCAGGCAAGACCTTGAAGCTGACGTTTTGCAGAACAGGATCAAAGTCAGGCCGGTAGCGGGTGGTGTAGTTGATGAATTGAACTGCACCGTCTGCAGGCCAGTTGGCCGCGGGCCTGGCATCGGGAATGACCGCCGGTGCTTCTTGTTCCACATCAAGATACTCCTTGATACGCTCGACTCTACAAATGTATATTAGTACAACTATCCTCTTAAATTGAATAACATGAAATTCCAAAGTCCACTTACGAATTCATATTCTGCTCATTGGCAGCATACAGTCGAACAAGCCAAAGCACGTTCTCGGTAAAAGTAATGGCATAAGTCAAAGAGAGACCGGCAGCACCAGGGTCAATCTTTCCGATACTGAGAATGACAAAGACACCGGCAAAGAACGATACCAATGCACCCGTAATGTCGACTCGGAACGCCAACCACCTGTTAGTTGCCCACAAATAGATAAATGGACGATTATGCGTATTGATGCGATGCAGGTTATCCCGGGCAAAACGTCTTTCGTCGCCATATGCACGAATGGTAATCATGCCGGTCAAAGTCTCGCCAAAATGCTGGAAAAGTGGACTCCGTTGTACGGATTCTAGTCTCTTCAAGTCCGTCGACGAGTTGATATACAGTCTGCCAATGACAAAGTAAATGACACTGATGAACACGCCGGCAATGAGGAATCCAGGTGTAATAACCGAAATGAGGATGACAATGATCACAACTGATGCAATGCAGTGAACCACACCAACGGCAACTGGCATGACTTCTTGGTCCACTGACTCAATGTCTTTGGAGAATCGGTTCATAATCTGCCCAAGTGGGGTGGAGTCGAAGAATCGCAGCTTGGCGCGAGTCACGGACTCTATCAGGCGGGCATGAATCTTTCGAGATGCAGTCAAAGAACCGCTAAACAGCATAATCTCTTTGCTAAAGGTAAGGAACATGAAGATGATTCCCAAAAGTGCATAGACACCAAGATAATATGGGACATTGACGTCCTGAATAGCTGAAACCTGGAAGATCTCCGACGGCTTCTTTGAGAAAAGAGGAATGTCCCAGGCGCAAGATCCGCGTACAATGCAGCTTCCGATAGACGAGATACTTCGAGCGGGAACGTATTGGCCTTTATCAGAAATGGTAACAGCAGCAGCACCTATAATATTAGACTGGCTGTAGTGGTACTGGTTGGCCCACTGTCGAATCCAGATATTATTTGCCAATGATGAAACGGACTGAGTGGCAAACAAAACAAATGCAGCGCCCCAGTAGAACCATGAGCCCATAGAGCCGAGATACACCTGGACAACTCCCCAGCTAACACGACCAACAGCCTTTTGCTCAGAATGAGGGTCAGCAGACGGGTCTTTCTTGTCCTTGGTGCTATCAACTGCTTCGGCCGTACCCCCGTTGCTCTGGTGGCCATTGGCTTTACCATTGGCTTCGTCCAGCTTACCCAGGGGTCCGACTTCGGAGGCAACTCGAGAAGGTGCCTGCGACGTGGATTGGGATGCAGGTGTAGACTTGGCCATTTCCTCGCCAAGAATGCCAGAGGAGATGATCTCCTGGGGCGCACCCTGTGCAGTAACCTTGCCATTGTCCATGACCACGACGTGGTGAGCTTGAGGAACACAGAGGGCCACATTGTGTGTGACCATAATGCAGGTTCGATTGTACATCAAAGGACCCATGATGCAATTGTCAAAGATCCACTTGGCGGTATGTGAGTCGACAGCGCTCAAACAGTCGTCCAAAATAACATGACGCGAAGTGCTGTAGAGCGCTCTGGCGAGCGAGATACGTTGCTTCTGGCCACCGGACAGGGTGATACCCTTCTCACCCACCAAGGTTTCATCGCCGGCGTCGAGAATCTTCAAGTCTCTTTCCAAAGAACACGCTGATAAGACTGCCTTGTATCGCTGCTCATCCCATGGCGATGCAAAAAGAATGTTTTGCTTAATAGTGTCATTGGCCAACCAGGGCTGCTGAGCACAGTAAGCAACACTCTCGATGAGACCAGTCTCCGGATCAGGATGAAGATTCTCGCGGCTGTGCCCACCTGGAAGGTAGACGTGACCGTTGACCAAAGTCATTTCTCCAAGAAGAGCCATGAGTAACGAGCTCTTACCAGCACCAGTGGGCCCGGTGATGACGCTGAGCTGATCGACGTGGAACTTGATGTCGAGATCTATCAACCGGAATGCCTTCGATGTATTGTCGACTAAAGCGGACTTGCTGCCCCAGCTGAACGTAGCATGGTCAAATCCAATCACCGGCTGTCCGTTCTCATCCAACTTGTTGTGCTGAAGCTGGACGTATTTTCCAGTTTCTTCCTCCTTCAAAAACTCTTCAACACGATCTACCGACACCTTGGCCTCTTGCACGTGAGCAAGCATGTCGGCCAGTTGGTCAAGGGGAATCCGGAGAAGACTGAAAAGCGATAGTGCGGTGAAAGCGACCGAAGGAATGAGATCTCGCTTCTCAACCATGGTGTAGAATAAAAATGAAAGGAATGTGATTAACACGGGTGCACCGGACCAAATAGTCGCAGCAACAGACCAGAGCACATAACGCTGCCGCAGCGTCTTGAGTTCCTTGGCTCGAGATTCATCGACGATGCTGCTGAAACGCTCCTCCCAGGCGAAGAATTTGATGATGCGAATGTTTTGTAGGACCTCATTGGTCGTGTGAATACGAGCGTCAGTCGCAGCCATGATGGCCTTTTGCACCTTGGTGAATTGCTTTGCCACAACAATATTGATTGGCAGCAGGCAGACCATGGTGACGATACCCGCAATCGAGCTATAGCCCATGATGCGGTACAAGAGAGTTACTGCAACGACAACTTGGATCGGGGTGCTAGCCCACAAAAAATGCAAGTAAGCACTGATTTCGCTGACCTTGAAAGAGTCAACAGCCATCAAATTGATAATGGTCCCAACATTGGCCTGCGAGTCCGCCTGCACCTTTGCTGCAGAGCTCTGCTGTTGATCGGCCTTCATGTCAGGCTTCTTCTTCTTCTTCATGACAAAAGTCATTGCCCTTTTCATCAAACCTGGCTTTGCATTCTCCTCGTCCTCGGGCTTGTGACCCAGGACGGTGTCGGTACCAGCGGCGGCCTTTCGGCGTAACGCCTTGGCATAGATTTCACCGACAATAATGGCGCGGAGGCGGATGCAAATCTTGCGGCCAATCCAGAGCGCCTGACCATCGGCCAATGCGGAGCAGCAACCAGAGACAAAAAGAAGAATGACATAGAACCACGCCGCATTGGCCGGGGTGTCGCCTGGGTTCTCCACGTACTGGAGGATGGCGCGCAGGAGCAAGGTCGGGACGAACATGAGAAAGCCGGATGCGGCGGCCAAAAGGGCTTGATAAATGAGACCCTTGCCAAAGTAACGCAGCAGATGAAAGGCCAGGGCGTTGGTCTTCTGGACTTGACGGTACTCGGCCAGCACGCGGGCCGCTTTGTCTTTGGCGGTCAAATTCCAAACGTCGGAGAGCTCCAGAGATTTCCTGTAGCCTGTGTAGACGATGGCGTCAACCCATGAAAAGGTTGCCAAAGAGAGTGCACTGGCGCGCGTTTCGTGTGAAGGCTCGAGGTTTTCCTCGCGCTCCAAGGCTACAGCCTTATTGCCTTTGCGCGTTGTCAAGGCAATTATTGCAAGCAGAGTGGCCAGAATAAAGTCTCCGATCACAAGTCTCTGCGCAAGCTTGGAGCGAGGATGAATGATGGCGGAGCGAAATAGCAGTAGGGTGAACGCCCATTGAAAGACGTAGAGCAGAGCAGTGTGGTACCAGAGCTTATGGAACGTGTATTTCTTCCAACTCGAGAGCAACAGTCGGGTGAAAGCAATGGCGAAGATATAGCCCCACGTGGCAAGACCTGTAATCGCCGCAGAAGAGCCATGCTTTCCCCAGGCATGAGTCAAAAGAGCCGTCAGACTGATACCAATCTCTCCGAGGATAGCCAGATTCTCGACGAGGACAACCAAAACTTCGCCGCGCGGGCGGTCCACTTCGACAACGGGCTCATCCTGGGGACCAAGCGTAGGATCTAGAGCCATATGGTGTTCCCGGATTCGAGTCTCCTCGTCGACGTCACTCTCGTCTTCTTCACTCGGAGCCTCGTCTCCGTTCTCCTCCTCCTCAGGCATGTCTTCGTATCGAGGAATGCCAAAAGCATCTTCGCTAGTTGCCAATTGGTGATAGGCTTTGGCGCGTCTAGCTCTAATGATGATTTGGATAGTCTGGTAGGATAGGAAAACGAGAGAAATGGTGCAGATTATTAAAGGTAAAAGGATCTGCAAGAAACTATTTGACGGTTAGACGCGGAGGAGGGCCTTGCGAGAGAAGAGTAGCGAGATTGATAGAAGCGGGAAAAATGGACAGAGTTAGGGCAACGTACTCTCTTTGAAAACAGCCGGTGAAATCATCCTGTCTCCAGACGGGAGATTTGCAATGGCCGAACATGGTCGATTGCAGGAGATGAGGGCGCCCAGAGACAAGCTCTGGGACGCGTTCGAGAAGTCGAAGTTTGTGATGGTTATTGTGTGAAAAGTGAGTGGAATGCAGAGATCTGCGAACTGATAAGAGCAATCAAGGAGACAAGCAGAACCGATTGCTCATGTCGACCTTGATGAAAGGCTCGAGAGAAGCTGTGTACTGAACAGCAAGGGTATGGCATAGGCCAGGGCGAGAATTGATGAGCGAATGCTCTCACGATGAAGAGAGCAGTAAGTTTAGACAGAGTTCGTGGTGGCATCTCGATAGCAGTTGGTGTCTTCACTAGGCAATTCGATAATATTTTAGTCTCCCCACTTATTATAATCACATAATTGAGCGCCGATGTTTATTTGGTATTTAGTATCACCACTAAAGCTTACCATAAATGGCAGTTTCGTCTAGCGGAGTTGCGTCTTTTGGGATCAGTGATGACTAAATGAAAGTGATTTTACTAGATAAAAATGGTTGATACACCGTTATAACGTTGATGCAATGCATCACATCACTGCGCTATCTCTTCGCTAAACTTTTAAACTGACGGGGAGGTGGCCCCTCGTTCCAAAGGGGGAAGGTCCGACAGTTGGTTATCAGGTACCAAGCACCACCGCTTTTCAGTGTCCAGTACATGATCAACACCACAACGTGCTATTCATCATTGTTTTGACCCTTGACTTAATCCTGCCTCATAAAACCTGTCCTTCCTGTTGCTTTATTGAAAATTCTCTTCCTGTCAGCTCAAACTTGATTATCATCTCCTTTGAACTCGACTTGGACCAAGACAGTGCCCCTTATCCCCAACACTCATCATGTCTGTGCAAGGACTACCACTCCCCGAGGGCTACCAGTTGCATGACGGCGCTCCGCCTTTGGATGCATACTTGCATATCCGCCGTGTCTCCGGCCTCACTCCCGTTACGCCGACCCAGGGCAGACGTGCATTGGACGGTAGCTGGTACTGCGTACATCTCACATACGCTCCTCCAGTTACATCCGAAACCTCGTCAGCCGCATCTACGGAAGTAGTTGGGTTGGCTCGTGTGATCGGAGACGGAGGCTGGTACTTTCATGTCTCCGATGTCGCTGTGGTCCCAACACATCAGCGAAAAGGTCTTGGAAATATCTTGATGGATACAATTATGCGTCGCGTGCAACAAACGGCCGAGCCAGGCTTCTACATTAACTTGTTCGCTGACCCTCCGGGCAGAAAGCTCTACAGTCGGTGGGGATTCCGGGACACGATGCCTGGAGAATTAGGCATGGGAAGATGGGTTGGAGGAAAGGGAGAAATCAAGGAGAGTCCTGCCGAGGATGGCGCGCAACAATGATGAAGCTGACATGCGTAATGTCAATGGTGCATTTGAAAAAGAATCGTATTTGGCAGCCCTCTCATTTTTCCCTGGCTAAAGATCAAATGTGAAATTGGATACCTGCATAATTGTGTCAACACTGACTTGCATCCACAACGACAATTGAGTCATACAGCATACTTTGACATATTAACGGTTCGCTTACCGCCATCGTCATTTGCATATGTTACGGACACATGGAGTTACCACAGCGGTTCCTCATTCAGCGGATCATTTCCATCTCGTCTCTCTCGTCACCACAGCTCTGTTCACACGGCACAAGGAAACGCTATTTTAAAGGGCCAGTATTAGACTTTAGTAACGGTCTAGAGGTCAAGGTTGCGCAAAAGATTTGGGTCGAGGGGCTGAACCTATTCCTGAGGGCTATCGCTGTTTTGATAGCCTTATTGATCAGTGGGCCATTTAATACGGCGGTCCGTGACATTGCCGATCATTTGTGCCACTCCTTTTCCGCTTCCCATCGTTAGACTTCCAGCTGCACATGGCAACATTCGTCATGCACCACCCCGCAATCAATCCACCCATTGTAACAATCACCGCTTGTTATCAGTTGACAATGGCCAATATAAAGCAACATGCATAACAGGGTTGCACTAAATCCTTGAATAAATCATATCACTTTTGATCTGGCCCATATTTAGGATGTATACAGGGGTTGAGACCCAAGAATTGAATATTGATACGTGATATATGCTGGACTGATGAACAAGATGCAGAAACAGGAGAATATAAAGCATTGCACAACATGTCTAGATTCATAATCATCGATAGGAATTTACAATGTGTAAATCAGGCGCGGTCCTTGGCTACCGGCTCCCACGCGCTGTATTTGGGTTTTGTCCTGTAATGTTGTCAGCATGTTACTGAATATTTAACATGGCCAGCTCTAAAGCAACTGACGTATTGTAGGTTTTGAATGCACCCCGCGAGAGTGTCATATTAGCACGGTGCCCAGGGATTTCCCACACGCGCTTATTGGTCTGCAAAATCGGGTCCTGGGTAGGTGGCTTGTCCACCATATAGGCGATCCAGGCGTGCCTAGAGATCCATTGTAAGGCAGTGCTCTAGCATCAATCAGAGTGACACCATTGATCCTTACCAGCCTGGATCGGTTTGAGAGCTAAAAGAACACGATTAGCATACGCTGCGGTTATGAGGAAGCTTCTCGACTTACGGATCAAATTCCTTGGACTTGTAATCTACCCAGCGAGTCCTCACTTTGGAAAATCAGTCGCTACGCTCATTTGATGCTGATAATTGTCTCTTGTTTTGCCACATACAGGGTAATTCGTCTGTATTCTCATAATATTTGTTGCCCCATCGGTCTGTACCGACGTACGTTCCAGCGACAGTATCGCCTACATATTGTGAGAATCTGCCATCAGGACTTCGACGATATACAGCGTACCCATGTACTATGTCATGACAGCAATGGTAAGAATCAGTTGAGCCACAGTCGAAGTCATTGCCAGACGTCATACCTGCATTTGGTGGGCATATTCCTAGTAGTCGTTAGCTTCTAAAGGTTACAGATAATGTGGACAAGTTGATTATCATTTTCTCACCTTTATACCAATCTTGCGCAAATTGCGCAGAGTTCTCGTGATTGTCGACATGATGGAATGACGGATAACTGTGCTAGACGTACAATAATCTGGGGCAAGAGTATGGGGTTGGGGAGGAGGAGGCCCTTAAACCCACATGTTGCTAGTCCCAAAATCGACTAGCCGAGAGCGGACCGAAAGAGACCAAAATCGGGTGAACCGACGAGACACCAATAAACACCAAATTTCCATGATCCGGAGATTTGATCATGGAGTTCATGCTTCCTTCATCAGAGGATCATGATGCTCGCTCGGCCCTTGGCGCGATGTCGTCGCCAACCAGTGCCCCTCTCGGGCATCCGAAGAGTGGGCTGCCGTCGATTCTCTTCAGCCACTTCTGCCAATTCCGGTCCCCATAATCCCGTGGCGTCGAGCTCCCCACCAAATGTGCTCGCAGGCTTGACCAGCGAACTGGACAGGATAGCCCCACGATTCGATATTGAAGCGTCTCAGGTTCAAATCATTCGCACACCGAGTCAATTCTACGAGACTCTCAAGGTACAAATCATTTTACAATCTCACTGGCGTTCAGGTAAACTGACAGCATCTGCGTTTATTACAGACGAAGATTCTGAATGCGCGCCATCGCATTTTTCTGTCGACGCTGTACATTGGCAAGACTGAGCACGACTTGGTACGACTAAATCTTTCCCGCATTGACCAATCACTCTCAATTCTCATATTTTTTAGATTTCGACAATTCGACAAGCGCTCCTCAACCAGCCAGAGCTTAAAGTCTCGTTTCTGACAGACGCTTTGCGCGGCACTCGCGAAACGCCCAATCCATCTTGCGCTTCGCTCCTTGCGCCGCTCGTGACAGAATTTGGCCCTGACCGCGTGGAAATCCGCATGTACCACACCCCGAATCTTACTGGTATTCGAAAGAGGTATATCCCGCGGCGCATCAACGAGGGCTGGGGTTTACAGCACATGAAGCTTTACGGGGTGGACGACGAGATAATACTTTCGGGGTATGCCTCCAAGTCACAGGAGCAATCTGATCCATTCATAGTCCTGCGGATACCTCTATGATATAATTGCTGATCATCCTGTTAGGGCCAACCTGTCCACCGACTACTTTACCAACCGCCAGGACAGATATCACGTTTTCAGCTCCAAGGAAGTGACATTCTACTTTGGTCAAATCCACGACGCGGTTTCGAGTCTTAGTTTCCGAGTCCAACCTCGTCCCGATGAACCTGCCGGATACAAACTGGAATGGCCCGAATCTAACGCGGCTCCGTCACCTCTTGAAGAACCCAAGGCATTCGTCTCCGCGGCTGGGGCTAGAGTGCACCCCCTCATTCAGCCCGCTACCGCGACTACGAAGCAATCCGAACTTCTTCCTCCCACCTCTTCTTCATCTTCGTCTTCGTCTCCGTCTTCTAAAACAACCGACACGATAATCTACCCGCTCTCGCAATTCACGCCGCTTCTCAACCCGGACACATCGACTGAGAAACCCGGTCTAGCTACTGTCCTACGCCATCTCGCCTCTTCAGCCCTCGCAAATTCTTCATGGACATTTACAGCAGGGTACTTTAACATTACGCCAGAATTCAAAAACCTATTACTCGCATCCAACCCGGCCCGCGGAACCGTAGTGACTGCTAGTCCCTGGGCCAATGGGTTCTACGGGTCAAAGGGTGTTTCTGGCATGTTGCCGCCCGCGTATACCCTTTTAGCCAGACGTTTTCTGGAGAGCGTCATTCGAGCCGAGCGGCAGAAACATCCTGCGGACAAAAGCAATCACATCGAACTCAAAGAATGGCGATTGGGTACCGTTGGACAGCCCGGTGGATGGACGTATCATGCCAAGGGGCTGTGGATTACTCTGCCCGAGTCTGACTCTGAGCGCCAGCAAGGCACGACTGCGGTCTCCGAACCCTCTGAGCCGAAGGGAGTGGCTGAGGAGCAGACTCCGAAGGAGCAGCCACCGTCTGGGTCCGGACCGAGCATATCCCTCATCGGCTCTTCGAACTATACCAAACGCAGCTATACCCTCGACCTCGAAGCCAACGTGCTCATCGTCACGACAAACCCGCAACTCAAGCAACGTCTCGGAGAAGAAGAAGCGTGGTTGCAAGAACACGCGCGCGCTGTTGACTTGGATGAATTCACGCGCACAGAGAGACGTGTCAGCTGGAGAGTCAGAGTGGCTATGTGGATTGTCACCGCCTTGGGCGGGGCGTTGTAATTCGAGATCTTTATTTTCGTCTTCTCTCCTCTTTGTCATTTTAGATCTTTTTCTCTTTTCCACTTGGGACTTGAGATTAGCAGTGGACGTTGTCGTGTTTCTCGATATGCCTTGCATAGCCGAGTGATGTGGTATGTAGCATTCTGGACGTCGGAACCATCATAGATTCATAGCAACGATATAGTCTGTATGATCTGGTGTAAATTGTATAGAATACGAACTGTACGATACAATACAAGCTATAGAAATATACGCACAACTATCGCTAGTCAATGTCTTTGCTAAGTAGTCCAGTCTTCTTTATCTTTTCTTTTCTTTTCTTCTTTTCTCCCTTTTTTCTTTTTTAATCTTATTTTTTTTTTTTTTTTTTCCCCTTAATTTTTATCGTACTCGTACCATTTGAACTTTGAAGTAAGGATATTCTTCAAATTATTTTCTTTGAATCAATACAAGTAGTCTATATAAATCTTGATAATGCAAACAAAACTACTTGAATGTTCTTGTGCTGTACATTGACACGTATTTTGGCATCGTATTCAGCCTTGTCGTCCCGTGTTTTGGGTCTGGGTCTCCGCTTTTAGTGCGAATTTGTGGGGGGAATTGCGCCATGGACCATGGTGCTGCCAACTGATAATAATTCGTGTCCTCAAAGGGAAAATAAATAAATAAATAAACTGAGAATTTAGAAAGAAGGACTCCAATTCCAAATTTGCAGAAGAAAATAAAAGTCACACGCACCGAACATTAATAATTTCACATTTTTCGGCAAGTCAAAATGGGGGGCATTGAAGCGGAGGGCGGCCATCTCACCTCTGATTCATCCTCATCCTCATCGCATCTAAACACCCTACGATCATGCTTGGCCACCAAATCCTGGTTCGGCTTCGATCTCGACGACACCCTTCACGAGTTCCGCAAGGCATCCGGCTTTGCATCCTCCTCAGTATTTGAGGCAATCTGCGCCGCAGAGCAATCTGGCGCAGAAGAATCTGGCGGCGTCAGCGGAGATGCCCTCCGGGCCTCATACAAGGACATACTACAGTCAAAGACGGCGAATGCGTTCGCGGACGGCCGAACATCGAGAGACTACAGAAGAGAACGATTTTCATGTCTTTTGCAATCTCACAACTTGGAAATCTCTGACGCAAAACTAGACCGACTCCTAGACGTCTACCAAGTCAACCTACAGGCCGGCTTGGCCCTGAAGCCAGGCGCCCTGCAATTCCTCAAGAAGCTCAAGAGTCTTGGCAAAAAGATCATTGTTGTCACAGAAGGTCCACGGGACGCTCAGGAATGGACGGTCCACGAGCTGGGACTGCGGCCGTATATTGACGTCCTCGTCACAACGAACGAGGTAGGAAAGTCCAAGGTTGATGGTTTGTTTTCTGTCGTTTTAAAGAAGTACCGCATTCGGCCGGCAGATATGGTGTATATCGGCGACAATGAAGCACGTGATGTGCGTCCGGCGCAGGCTGAAGGTATCACAGCTGTGCTTTATGATGAGAAGCGGGATTGTCGATTTGATGAGAATCTTAATGGCTTTCGAGTAAACTCGTTTGCAAGATTGGAGGGTTTATTACGGAGCACCTCCAGCACATTTTGACAATGAATAAAAATTACTTGTATGTCGGTTGAGGAGCTCAATGAGATGTAATTTTTCATATTCTATTTTTTATTTACTATATATACTATATACTATATATTTAAAAGTAAAGATGCCGATATAGAATATATTCAACTTTAAAAACAGTCAAATACAACGACATATACCATACAATCTGCATCAAGACATACTCGTATTTGGCTGTCAGGTCTGTACAGTGAATATTTACTATGGTACAATAGTACAGAGTATACCCTGTCGGGAATAAAGTGACAATGTTATGCTTGGGAGAAAGTCGCCGTCGACTTCGGCGAGGTCGGCGAACTCGCCGAGACACATGGTACTACTCCGTACGGTGTCAGGCGTCATCTGACAAATGTTGCATGATTGATTGCTGCTTGATTGGCTTGTTGACGATTAATAATCGGATTAGAGTGGAATAACGCGATAGATTAGGTTAGTGTATAGTTTCTCCTGAGACTAACCCTAATAAATCGATCAACTTCCAGGGTTCTTATCACGACCCCTGCCGCCATTTTCCAACTCTTCTTCATCCCCAAGTACGGAGTAAACAACGACCACGCACTCTACGGAGTATACAACAAGTACACTTCCTACGTCCAAATGACTATAGTCTGTAGCTACTCAAGATCATTGATCCTTATGGTCATACGATTGCCTATAGAAGGTGTATATGTGAAGACTGAACAATGTGCTGTTTATTGTCTATAGTAGTGATCAGTAGTAGCAACTATAACTATGTATGATATGCAGTATTTCTGCGTACGAGTAAAGAAACTTCCACTATAGGATCAAATGTCTAATTCAGTACCTCGGTAGAATATGAGAAAGAATGACACTGCACAGAATGTTCAAGTGCTCCAAGTAGACCGTAGAGTGCGTACTCTGTATAGTCCAGAGGTAACTCATATTCTGGAAACTCTGTAATTCCAAATCAAGCAATCGGGCATCCATCCAATGAAGCACTGACCACGGCACTGGCCACGGCAATGTCAAATGCCAGTGGCGTCAGGGTCCACTTCGCATCCGCACCAGAGGGGTAAGTTACCTACTGTACGGTATGCTTGTGCACTTGGTAATTGCCAAATGAGTAAACAATATCTGATTACTCTACACTCTATTACACTTCTCTACCTCCCCACGATTACTATACTGACCAGCCACTACACGACTATGAGCCACGACTTACACCAGCAAACGCCATACTACATACTCTACACTCGACAATCTGGATTATGAATTTGCAATAACTAATGATTATTACTAACGTACGAATACTTTTGAGAAGATGCAATGCCTTCAAGAAAAAAGAGATATAAGGACGCTCGTCCGCATCTCTGTATTCTCATCTCATCATCATCATCATCATCACATCTCATCTTCTTCCAAAACAATCACTTCACAACAACAACAACAAACATAACCCGTTCTCAAGAACAATCTCCATTCACATTCTATGAAAAACATCGTTGCTCCTCTGCGACGCCTCAACTCCAAACTCAACTCCAAATTCTCCCGTCTTTCGTCCCCGAAAGACTCTGAAAAACCAGCCCAACCTCAAACCACCACCACCACCACCACCAACAACAACAACAACAACATGTCTATCCAGACCGAACTCAACGCCGTCAGCGAGCAATTCTCCCAGGCCCCGGCCGAGATCCGCGACCCCATTGGCGCCGCCGCGGGCGACTTCGCCGCCTCCTTCAACCGCGGCTCTGCCGTCCAGCCAGGCCAGAAGCTGCCCGCTTTCACCCTGCCCAATGCTCTGGGCAAGGACGTCTCCAGCACCGAGCTGCTCTCCAAGGGCCCCATCCTGATCACCTTCTACCGTGGCGGCTGGTGCCCGTACTGCAACGTGGTGCTGCACCACCTGCAGGCGAACCTCAAGGAGTTCGAGGCCAAGAACGTCACCCTGGTCGCCATCTCCCCCGAGACCCCCGACACCTCGTTGACCACGGCCGAGAAGGCCGGCCTTGCCTTCCCCGTGCTCTCCGACAAGGGCAACAAGTTTGCGGATCAGCTCGGCCTGGTGTTCAAGCAGCCCGAGTCGGTGCGTCCCGCCTTTGAGAAGATGGGTCTGGACTTTGCCCAGCGCAAGGGCGAGAACACCCTCGACATCCCCGTCCCCGCTACCCTCTTGGTGGACCAGACTGGTACCGTCCGCAACACCTTTGTCGAGCCTGACTTCACTACCAGACTCGACCCCAAGGATGCGCTTAAGTGGGTTAATGCGCTCTAAGCGGTTTATGAGAGAGTGTGGATTTTGAGCGGGAATTGGATCCCGCGGATGTGGGGGAATTGAATACAAATCAATGACTTCCTCGCGAATGAATAGGGAGAATAGAGTGGAATTATAGAGGATAGAGGATAGAGAAGAATTATAGAATGCAATGAACTTTTTATTTTAACTGCATGGTATTTTGAAATCCATTTATGCCCCGGTGATCCATGTTTAGATATAATGCATCCCATCTGAGAGAAGAGAAAAAAAAAAAGGAAAAGAAATAAAAAGAGAAAAGAAGGGGAGAAAAAGAGAAAATCTATATAAAACGCCAGGATATGCAGAAAGAGAGCAATATTTGGGCATAAGCCGGCCAGCAAGGCGAGATGCGACGCTCCCACGTCGGGAACTATAGGTAGATGAAAGAAAAGGGAGAGAAGAAAAGGAACAGAGAGGGATGTTTGAATGGTATTAAAGGGCGTCAAGTACGTTGCTTAGACTTTAGTCTTGCGGGACCGAGACCGCGGCGCTAGAAGTAACAAGATGTTAGCCGTGTCTTGAGGGAAAGAACAAAATACTCACCACTTCGTCCAATTGCTCGATGCCAGTCTGGTATCCGCCCTTTTTCACTCTCCTCTTCCCGGCCATGGAATATCCACCCAGGAAATCATCCATGATGGAGTCAAAGTCTCCACGCATAGGACCCTGCTGTGTCGAGGCACTCGACTGGCCCGTCATGCCCGTCATTCCGGTGACCACTGACGCGGTATCGTCATCGGGGAAATCATCATAGTCGCCGTCCTCGTTGTACTCTTCTTCAATCTTGTCGAAGCGGTCGTCCAGCAGCGTCTGGCCCTCTGTGCGGAAGATCGACGAGCTCGTCATCGAGTAACCCGAGGTCGATGTCATTGCGCCCTTGCGCTTCTTGCGGCGGCCGCTAGTAAGTGCGGAAGTACCGGTGACAATGGAAGACAGCCCATCGGCCATAGAAGGGGTAGCGGGCTTGGGTTTGGGCGCTGCAGCCACGGCGGCCTTGTTGGCCTTTTGATCCTTTTTGAATTCGCGGAATTCGTGCAGCCAGTCGTCACCATGGCCCTCATCTCCATCTTCTGCCGACTCGTGGTCAGGCTTCGTCGCGGCGGCCGTCTTGAATTCCTTGTCCGGTTTCGCAGTCTCGTCGGTTTCCCAGCCCTCGTCTTCTTCGTCCTCGGGCGCATCGCCCCAATTCAAGTCTTCGAAATCTTCCTCAGTCAGTTCCTCTCCCCCCTTGGCGAGTTCGCCGAAAATGTCCTTGTCCTCGCCTTCATCAATATAGGCATCGTCTTCGAGCGCTTCGAGGACTTCTCGAAGTCGTGGGTCCATGTCCGGCTGGAACCCAGCCAGCGCATCGGGAATGTCCTGCTGTTCTTGATACGACGTGTGGCGCATGTTCTTGGATGGCAACAATTCATCGGGCAGAGATGGCTTGCCCGAGGCGTCCGTCTTTGCATCGTCGGCGGCGTCGTCCAGGTTGGTCTCGCGCAACATGTCCTCGAGCTTCATCTTCGGCTTGTTCTTTTGCTTGCTTGCAGGCTGAGGCGCCTCGACAAAGTACGCATCGGACGACGTGCCCAGGTCGCGCATATGCTGCATGTAATCGTAGTTGGAGTCATCGTAGTAGATTCCATAGTTGGCGGCTTCACCCTCGTTGGCACGGATGCTGTCGGGATCCAGACCTAGTTCGTCCTCCAAGGACCCTCGGTCTTTACCATGATGCTCAGCTCCCGGCTTCGAGATCTCCGTAAAGACCATGTCCGGGGCATCGGAGTCATGGATTCGGGGGTCATTTTGGGCACGATGCACCAGGGCAAATGTGGTGGCATTCTTCTTGTCACTATATTTTTTTTATCGATAAGATCAGCGGGGGATTTTTTTTCCAATGGCGGAGAATTTGGGAGGGGGAGGAAAAGGAACAAGGGAGCGATAATCTTACATCCACTTATTGCGAGGCATGTTGACTGATCATGCAGGAAGAATTAGAAATGAAAAATATTTTCTTCCTTGCGATGCTTTAAAAGTTGTGCGTTGGCTGACCAGCAAGGTTGTTACTGTGTGAGAGGGAAAGGATATATTTTGGCTGACAAAGCGGAGAGAGAGGGAGAGGAAAGAAAATAATAATTTTGACCGAAAAGGCGAAAATCCCGACAAACGAGTGACGTCCGACCGTCTCTGCCCCTCCTACTTTCTACCACAATTCTCCCCCTCCTCTTCAACTTTAATCCAACACAGATAGGATTAAGAATAGGGGAAATTCACGATCAAGATGGTTTTGGCAAAATCAAAAAACAAGGTCGGGCTGGGAAACAGCTTGATGAATGATCGGTTTGGCAAAGGAAAAGGTGCCGACCGACGAAGAGGAGCCCCCGGAATTCAGAGAGTTGGCCCCGATGGCGAAGCAGTATGTCATCCTATTTTGAAAATTTCCCAGGAAGAAGATGCTAATACAGGCCATAGTATGTCACACATGAAAAAGAAGATGCAGCCTGGGTCAAGATGCGAAGTGTTACTGAGCAAGGCGCTCTCGACGAATTCCTCAGTACTGCCGAATTGGCTGGTACAGACTTTACAGCTGAAAAGATGAACAATGTGAAAATCATTCATACCGATCAGAAGAACCCGTACTTGTTATCGGCAAAAGAGGAGAACGCTGCAGTGAAGAAACAAAATGCCAATCGTGGACGATTGACTGTGCCCCGACGCCCGCCCTGGGACCACACTACGACGCCTCAAGAACTCGACAGGAGAGAGCGCGACTCGCTGTTACAATGGAGACGTGGACTTGCCGAACTTCAGGAAGCAAACGACCTGTTGATGACCCCGTTTGAGCGAAATCTCGAAGTCTGGCGCCAATTATGGCGAGTCATTGAGCGATCCGACCTGATTGTACAGATTGTCGACGCCCGAAACCCTCTTCTTTTCCGCTGTGATGACTTGGAAAAGTACGTCAAGGAAGTGGATCCGCGGAAGAACAATTTGTTGCTGGTGAACAAGGCCGATATGATGACCGTGGAGCAGCGAACACTCTGGGCGGATTACTTTGAGAGAGCTGGCATCAACTACAAATTCTTCTCAGCATCGCTAGCCAAAGAGCGGAACGAGGCCCAGGAGAGTGAGTCTGACGAAGAGTCTATTGCCGAGGAACTGGAACAGGTGCAGCAATCCGCAGGCGGCGAGGACAAACTCGCCGAGGAGACCAAGAAACTTGACCTTCAGGACGCCCAGGACGAGAACGCTCAATGGACCACTGAAGAAACCCTCGACGGTCCCAGCAGTTCTGGCGCCAAGGATCAGCGTGTTGCCATTCTCACCGTGGACGAATTAGAAGCACTCTTTCTCGAGAATGCTCCCGAAATTGAGCGTACGTTTTCCCCTTTTATTGAAAGGCCCCATCGCCGAGCTAACACTTCTCAGAACAAAACCCCGACGCTCCGCGCAAAACCGTCATCGGTCTCGTTGGTTACCCCAACGTGGGTAAATCCTCGACCATTAACGCGCTTATCGGCGCGAAGAAGGTCTCTGTCTCCGCGACCCCCGGTAAAACCAAGCACTTCCAAACCATCCACCTCAGCCCGTCCGTCATCCTCTGCGATTGCCCTGGTCTCGTCTTCCCCAACTTCGCCACTACCAAAGCCGAGCTTGTCTGCAGCGGCGTTTTGCCCATTGACCAGCTCCGCGAATTCACTGGCCCTGCGGGTCTTGTCGCACAACGTATCCCTCAGGCTTTCATCGAAGCCATCTACGGCGTGAAAATCCCCACTCGGCCTCTCGAGGAAGGAGGCACAGGCATTCCGACCGCGCAGGAAGTTCTCAGCGCCTATGCTCGCGCACGTGGTTTCGCCACCACTGGCCACGGCGAGCCCGACGAGTCCCGTGCCGCGCGATACGTGCTCAAGGACTACGTCAATGGAAAACTTCTCTTCTGCCACCCGCCACCGCATGACCCGGCCATTGATCCCCGCGACTTTAACCGCGACATGTACGACGAGTCGCACCTGCCTGAAAAGCGCCGCGCCGCTTTAGCCGCCCATGCAAACCAGACGGTCTCACAAATCACTGGCGAAGGCGATCCCGAGGACCCGTCCCTCATGGACCACCCCGAGATCGTCCCCATGGCTCCTGTCCAGGGCGAGAAATCGTCAAGGCTGGATAAAGGCTTTTTTGGCCCCGGAAGTGGAGCCGCAGGCCACTACCACCGGAAACCGTTCAGTTACAAGTACTCTGAGCAAGGCCAGGCAGAGCACTCGTCCGGAAAGCCGTTGAGTGGACGAAAACAGCGCACTTTGAAGGCCTTGGAGCTGGGTGTAGATCCCCAGGAACTCAGGTCCATGGGCATGGCGGGCGGAAAGAAGCATTTTAAGGGGAATAAAAAGGCCGCCATGCGGGCCAAGACTGGCGATTACTGAGTTACTGGTGCTTAGTTACTGATGTTTACTGACGAGCTTGTTAGTAGTTGGGCTCTCGTTTTCTTCTAAGTGTCGCCCTTTCGTTTAGGATTTAGGATTCAAGGGTCAGTCTTATGGTTCAACGATCTCTGTAGACCTTTGACCCGATATTCTCTTTTGTTGTCCAAGCTTGCCGCTTTTTTTCTTCTTTTCTTTGTCCTCTTTTCTTTCCTTCCTTCCTTCTTTCTCCTTTTTATTTGTGACCTTCGGTTACTTTCTGAAGAAGGTCGCTTTGCATTTTCACAGGCGTTATTGGACAGTGGTCATGAATATAACGTTCTTTTTCTTGGATGGGTCATTGATTACGGAATGGAGAAAAATGACCAGATGGGAGCGTCTGCGATGTAGAGCTACGTTTCAGAGCTGCAGTTCATGATGTAGAGAGAGCAGAAAAAAGAAGAGTATATATAGATTGAATGAGATGTTATATGGTGCTGGTCCTGATCCTGGTCACGTTCCCAATTGCTATTGCTATTTTGATATTGTGTTATTGTGTTATTTGCTATTTCGTGATTCCAGTTGTCTAAAGTACTATTTTGTTAACTTACTATTATGTTACTTTGCTATTGCTAGTGTGCAATTTTGCTATCTCACGATCCCAGTTGTCCGACGTGCTATTCACTATCCCAGCTGTCCAAAGTCCACACGCTGTACTTTTCTGTACTGCTGTAAGGGCATGCAAAAAAATGTATTTAGAGTGGAGATTAACCCTGTAAATTGATACCTCACATCAGTGTATTGATACCACGCCTCAGTGTATTGATATGATGCTTTGGCATATTGATTCGCAGTGACTGTAGAGGATGAAAGAGTAATGAGCTGGCTAGTTTTAATATCTTTCACAGACACGTGGTAATACTCAGGCTCAGGCTTAGGCTTGGGATCAGAGTCAGGATCAGAGTTGAGATCGAGAAAACGAGTGTATGAGAAAAGATAGAATGGGAAAAAGAGAAGACAGGAAAAAGAAAGAAGAAAAAACAGGAAAACAGGAAAAAGAGAAGATGAGAAGACGAGAAAACAAGAAAACAAGAAAACAAGAAAACGAAAAACCAGGTACAAGAAAAAGAGAAGAGAAAAGAATGGAAGAGGTATAATGCATGACAAACATGGGTTGGATATGATAAAAACAAAACAGAACAGAACAAGAAAAAAGAAGCTAGGCCAGATAGGATATAGACAGGCAGAGTTTGATAAGACAGGCAGGACAAGTAATAACACAGTGCAAGATTGAGCCATTCAACCTGTTGTTGAGCAGACAGGATGTGATAGACGCTGCAACTACTGGATGGCCACACTACGAGGAAATACGCTGCAACTACAAGGACAGCCACGGCATAGTGATAGATACTGTAACTACAGGATGGCAACGTATAAATAAATGGATAGCCACTGCAACTACAAAGACAGTCACCGAATAGTGATAGACACTCCATTAATGGACGGCCACCGGTAAGGAAAAATGGATGGCACTGGAACAAGGATAGTAACGTAAGGTGATGGACGCTGCAATTAATTGTATGACCAAGTAAGAAAATCAACGCCGACTAGTCGATCCGAATCCCGTACTCTCGTGCCTCGTCGACGAAAACGACGAAGGACCAGATCCCGACCCGGACCCGAACCCGGAGCGGCCACCGGGTGGTCCGGCACTTCCTTCCCAAGGATCATCATGGCGGCCGTTATTCCACCACGTGGTGGTGCCGTGCCATGCGTTTCCGCCGGTTCCGTAGCGGTGGAATCCATATGTGCTGCCATTACCGTTATTCCGGCCGCGGTTGCCTGCAAAGTATCCCGCCGCGGCGCCGCCGAGAGCGCCTGTCCAGAAGCCTGGTCTCCAGCCTTGCCATCCTCCCTGTTGGGATCCTGGTCCCGCTCCGCGGGGAGCGGAAGCTGAATTGGGAGCCTGGCCTGCCTTCCGGGGCCCGCCTCCAGGGTAATCGTATGGCGGAGGGGGATCGTCATTGTCGTCTCCGGGCCCGCCGCCGCCGCCGCCACCACCACCGCCCCATGGATATCCAGGTCCGCCACCAGGTGCTGCGCCGCCTTGTGGGCCGCTGGGTCTGCGGATATATGCGTTATATACGATCCATCCGAACACGGTGAGGAAAATTGCCCAGAAACCAATCGCGGGCCATTTCGATCCCTTGTCTCGCCTGCCGTGACGACCGTCGTTGTCACCACGGCCATGTCCGTATTTTTCCTCACCCTTGTCGGTGAGAAGGAGACGGTATTCGACACCGCAGCTGCCCTTGAGAATGAACGGGTCGTCCGGAGAATGGTATCCTTCGCAAATCACGTCGGTGGAGCCGAGCTTGAATTCATCGGGTAGAGAAGCGGTGCATGTCCATTCGACGTCGTCGTTGTCGTAGGATGTGCCGGCGTTGATGCACCGCAGTATGTCAATGTCGTATAGGCCTTGTGCGTCGCCACCGATGCAGTTCAACTATTTGATATTAGATGGTTGCGATATGAGAAAAAGGGGGGTAGAAGAGCCGGAGGAGAATGCGATGTAGTAGGGATCATACCTGAGGAATAGCAGCAACGCGTCGATGCGCAGTCATGCGATCCTTACGCAGTGTGAGGGATTTGATATCTGTCAACCTCACGCTTTGGAGGTTGGGTTTGCGTGTGGCCTCGACCGTGGGCGCAACCGCCGACACGGTCAGCAGGGCGGGGTACAGAAAATCGAGAAGATGCATTTTATTTGTGTATTGTAGAAATTCAAATTAGAACCCCCGAGCGTACTACTGCATCCTATTGGAAGAGGAGAAGAGAGGTTTAAGAAAAGTCAGTAAAATATATGGAGAGGACAAGTGTTGTTTTATTTTCCTGTTGCCTTGAAATGGCGCCGTCGACATCATTTCAAGTCGGAGCTCGGAGCGGAGTTTTCCGTCAGGGTCCTGGTGACAGTCACAACAGCCTGAGCTAGAGCTCTTGATAACATTGCGTGATTGCGCAGCGCAATTGATCTGGTTTCTCTGTTATGATCGAGGAAATGGTCTTTGGAACATATACGGAAACATGAGGCAGAGAATTACATTTTTGCATAAACGCGAAGACTCGTTCGATCCAAAGCAGCTCCATATCACTCCGTCCGACTTGACTGTCAACAACCTTCGAGCTGCAAAGGAGCATCGGTGGACATTGGGATATGATGAGCTGCCTGCGGAGGTATGCGACGCTTGCAACTGTACTTTGCAGCATATCCTAATGAGCATTTCTAGCTACTAGATGTCCTGAAGCATTCGCACGAACTGCATATCCGCTGGTCGTCGCCGGAGTTCTATCGAAGCATCTCGCCGTATATTTCAAGAGTGTCGCCCGGACTGCATGTCTTGTATACCCCCACGAGTAACTTGACGTAGGTGTTATCTTGAATTTATATTGCTGCTCTATGAATTGAAGCTGAATAGTCCTAGAGAGGAATTATGCCCAGCCCTGAAGCGCGCATTCAGTTCAGATTTGAAATGCGACTCTGTAGAGGTAGGGACAGTATTCTCCTATCCTCATATATAGATTGTGGCTGACAACGTGCAGAATGCCTTCAGCAACATCCCCGTGCTATCAGACCGCTTCTCCTCGTCCCCCGCAAAGCAATACTACCATGTCCTCCCATCTCTCGACCACTTCATAACATATTTCCAAGCATCCCTCTGCCCCGCCTCTGATTCCGCCTGCAATGAACAAGCCGCTTCTCTCTCTTCCGCCGATTACTTTGACATTGACGTGGACGCTATATCGAACACGGTCATTCTGAGCGCATACTGGGCCCACGGCCCCGATACCGACGGCACGTGGAACACTAGAATCCAAACAACCCATGCCGACGACCGAGTGGAAGTCGGGATCCTGTCCAACGAGCTGCCCACAGAGGAAGAAGAACTCTCGTTGAGCGGGTTTCTTATTGTCATCGGCCAGGACTCGAAGCCTAGTACGTCTCTTTCCTTCCGAACCCTACCCTTCTCCTTAACATCTCCCTCATTTCCCTTCTTTTCCTTCACTTCCCTCTCCCTCTCATAAATAAAAGCCTCAGCTAACCTACTCTCTAGGTCCCGTTCTCTTCTCATTTCCCTCCCGCCATCACCACGTCCCCTCTCTCCCATCTTCTGCATCCGTCTACCACACATCCTTCCTCTCTCCCAGCGGTTTGCACCCCACCCTGCACCTCTCTTTTCCATATTCTCCACTCTCCCACCTTTCCCAACTCTCCTCCTCCTCTTCCTCCTCATCACCACCACTGTCCCTACCCGATCCCGATTCCTGCTCTCTCAACGCCTACCTGACTCTCCCCTCGTACCTCTTCGCCGACCAATACCAGCTCTCGGACTCACTCTTCCTGCAATCCAAACATATCCGCTCAATCAGATCCCTCAGCGGCGCCACCGATCTCGAAGCCCCCGACTGGGCAGTTCCGCAATGGGGCAGTTCATTGCTGATCGAGCTGGACCCGGCCCACGACACGGCTGATGTGCCGCTGCATTTGCGCTACCTGAAGCCCGTCGAAGGCGGAAAACGAACCGTAGATGTCCCTGTGCCGTTGGTCTTTTGGGCATGTCCCGCCCAGGAGGGGACAAAGATGGCGGGAAACCCGTTTGATAGAGTCAAGCTGGGATACGATGGGTTGTTTGGAGCCAGGACGATGTTTTTCCATTATACTCCCGCAGTTAATCATTCGGTTGCTGACGGGGTTTCTATTGGCTCCGGCGATGTTTCTCTTGATGGGCATGGAGATGGTTTACTCACTCTGGATGTTCCCGTTCTGGATACCCTCAGCCTCACCGGCGTCGAGTGGGGCACGATATTAGTTGTATTCCTTGGCGCAGCGTGGATTGCGTGGAAACTATGGGGTGTAGTGAGTCGAAAGAGCGGGGAAAGCGGCGCAGACGAGGGAGAGAAAGTGCGCAGGAAAAAGGAAGAATAGGTTCCTACAGAAGGGATGGATGGTAGGAACAGGTCAAGTCTCAGGTTCATAAGTCATAAACGCATGAATGCATGGTTATCAAGCTGGATCTAGACGACGTCAAGATGAAATGAAATGCGCTTGCTCATATTGTCATATGGCCTGTCGAAGTATTTCTCAAATATAAATACCCGAAAAGAGGATATAAAAGTCCACCGAAAATGAATCAATGCCTCGTCTCCATTTTAAAAATAGAATCAAAACCCTGACTCGCCATCATGGCTACGTCCATGCTCCAGGCCCAGATGCTACCCAGTCATCATCTTCGCGAAAATGCGCCAAACTCCGTCATCTGCGTTCACCTTTTTTTTTTCAAAGTCTAGACGTCTTAAACCGAAGACACAGTCGAAAACATATTCGTAATTTTTTTCCGGAAAAGTGAAATTTGAAGTAGGTAGGGGATATGCTTTGAATCGATTACTGGTCCGTCTGCATTGGCTGCGTGGATCCGTCTTCTTGCTGAGCCGGCGGTGCCTGCGACATGTTTGGGACTGGCGCCGCCTGTGGGACTTCCGCTGTAGGCTCCCCCGACTGCCCCGGCTGAGCTGACGGGACTGGTTGCACAGGTTGCTCAATGGCATTGTCAACCAGCGGAGCTGGCGTGGTATGAGGTATCTCTGGGACAGGCTGCACCGCAGGTGCACTAAATCCGTCAAATTGCGGGATTTGAGGAATCTCTGCGGTGACCTGCTGAGCGGCATCTACTGGCACAACTGGTGGCACTTGGGATGGCGTATCTAGTACAGGAGCTGGAGCTGTGGTTGGGGCAGCAGCTGGGGCTGGAACAGCAGCGGCATCCAGCGTCGGAAAGATGGGATGTAGAGCATATACGGGCCCTCTGGACTCTTCTCCATCAAATAAGAGTAGATTCTGAATTGGCTGCTCGCGTTGACCGAGGACGTTAATTACATCCTGTGCAAGCTGGCCGCCCAGAAATGCCGTCACTGGTGCGATTTCGCTTCCCAGATTTTGCAAAAAGCGGCGCAAAAAGTCGCTTCTCAACGACTCAGGGGGTAATTGCAGTTCGCGATGTTTCTCGGTAGCTAAGGTCGTGAATAGCTCGAGATCGGCATGCGAATGAGAGGGAAGTGTGCCCGATACAATCTTTTGATATTCCCAGAGCGCTTTCAGACAGGTCAAAAGAGGCGTGACCTGACGTAAACGCCGACGGTTGTTGACATATTCTAGCGGCAAAGGAGAAGAGTTTGCAAGAAGGAGAGGAGAGTACAGCTCGCGTTTGGTGACGAGCTCAATTGTCTTGCCGCCGCTTTCTTCTTTGGTGGTGGATGCAGTAATGGTGCGTGTTGCGGTCTCAATCTTGGGCACAATGGTTGGCACATTGGACTTTTCCCGTTCAATGACAAAATCGTGCGAAATTAAATCTGCGAATATATACCCGTAGAATCCGTGCGTGCCCGCCGCGTAGAATGGGCGATTTGATAGACGTGCGGCCGCATTGACAGTGTTGAGAGTCTCAAAGTCGAGGTCCGTTGCGATGATGAGAGAGAATTGTCCGAAGAATTCCTGGGGCTTCAGGCGTATGTCCTGCTGGTCGACGTGTAAGGTTACACGGGGGTTCAGTTTGCGAATGTGAGGAGCCGCTGCGTCGGCGCGCTATAGTCACGGTATTAGTACGCCTAGAGTTTGCGATGTTGCAAGAAATTTTTATATTTCTGCGAAGTGAGAGTAGGTCAGAGGGAGGACGTACGTTCTTGCCGACGTCATCGTCTGTGATGAAGAATTGTGAACAAAGGTCGTCAGGACTGACAAGCTCGTGGTCGACAATAGTAAGGGAGCCAATTCCTGCGAGAACAAGATTTTTTGCGACTTCATTTGCAAGTGCTTTCATCGAAATCAGAAGAATGTTGGCAGTGCGTAGTCTGTAGACGTAGGTTGTCGCATCTTATCAGCCAATGTTGCGACATGCGAAAAAGGAAGCTTGGGGAACGGCAGGCTTACTTTTCCTGTGCCTTGACACCCCAAAGCCGAATTTGACGGTCATAGAGGGCTATTTCGTCTGAAACGGTTGTCAGCTTCTATTCCCACATCCAAGAGCCAAAAAGCTCACCTGCGCTGATAGTTTGAGCTTGCGCAATAGCAGCAATAGTCTCTCCGGCCAGACCCTGGGCGGGAAGAGCTCCATTGGTTCCATTGGTGGTCATGATTGTATCATGCTCTAGAAGATTTCAAGGGAATGAGTCCTAAATAAGAGACAAAAGGAATGCAAGAAAGATTCGTAGGTGAGGTGAGATCTGTATGCGTTTGTTTGTCGATAGCACGAGTTGGAGGTGAATATCACTTGCATCTTGGGTCTGAATGCGCGGCCGGAATAGATGGGGATTCCCAAAAGTCCGAATGACACCCGGATGATTCCCTTTCAAACTTCACAACTGCATCTCCTCTCCTTTCTCACGTTCCAAAGACAAAGTGAAATACTTTCTTTTCAAGTTATACGTATTCGGTGGATTTTGATTTGACCAAACCGTTGAATTTCGCTGTTCCTTTGTCTGAGCGAAGCAAGTCCTCAAACCATCGCTCCGACGCCCCGCCATTATCGCTCCGTCATACATACTCTCCCGTATTCCAAGAGAGGACCCCCAGTCTGGATATTACCAAGATATTATTCACACTCCATGTCGTCAGTTGAGGCCGTTTCAAGACATTCTATGACTTGATCGGCTTCATTACATTCCATCATTATCTATTGCCTGGACCGAGCATGGTATGTCTGTCACTTCTTTGATACTCTTTCCACCCTCCCCTTTCAACCTTTACGTACAACGACCTCCTTTCGTCATACGTACATGGGACACGACAGCAAGATAATGAACTGACTAGCGTTTCTTCCCACCTCAGTCTGGCAATTTCGATTATCCTCCAGCGTCTTCTGCTGCCGGAAACTCCACAGACAACGCACCTGCGGTACCACCCCAGTTTCCCTCCATCTCCCCTGCCGAGATTCCCAATTTGTCCGCCCGCCTGCATCATTTACGGCAGTTGCTTCAAACGGAGAGGGGCCGCGATTCTTCTCCCAATAACGGTTCGACCGACGTCGGGCCGTCGCCACCCTTTCGGATGCCTGCAGAATCATCGGCTGAGCGTCGTCGACGCCGGGCTATTCTTCGGGGAATTGCCCATTTACGTGCAAATGATCGGTCAAACGCTTCCTCGCTCCTACCATCAACTTCTATCCTCCCACCTCCACCTCTTCTCTCACCACCACTAGAATCACATAGACATCAGGGCACTCCTTCCGATCGGCGACTCCAAGGGCAACGGTCGCAGCAGAATTATCAAGCAAGCTTGCTCGGACTGCAGCAGGCCGGTGCTAGACTGGCCGAAGCAAGCTCAAGCATCAGTGCCCTTTTAAATGAACCGATACGCATCTCCTCCCCGGACATTGCGGCGCAAGAATATTCTGGTGAAGCAGAAGTAAATCGCCGTCGCTTCAAACGTCGAAAACTCGACAGCGATGCCTCGGATGTATCATTTCACACTTTTCACTATGGGCATTTTGGCCAGGTTGTAGCAGGTCCTTTGAAGATGGAGATTGTCAGTTGCGATGGAGGAAACTATGCCGAGGCGGCCGGTGAGCGAGCGTACTGGGCGAATAACGTTTTGAGAAACGACAAGAGCGTTTACTGTACCAAGAGCAGCCGATGCAACCTCGTGTTACGACACCAGGGAGAGTCGCCATTTACATTGAAGAAATTGGTCATCAAGGCACCGGAAAGAGGATTTACCGCCCCGTAAGTCCACGTCATTTGATCACATTGTACGCCCACCGCCGCTGGCATTTTGATTGTTGACTTTCTGTTACAGTGTTCAAGAGGGCATGGTTTTTGTCTCCATGACAGCGGATGAGCTTTTCTCGCGTACGGCCAAGTATAAGATACAATATAATCCCGCTCCAAGCCGCCAGTCTACTCGGAATGAGAGGAGAAATCCGGCCCAGGCTCGTCAGGCATTGCTTGGGCAGATTCGTGGCTTCGATATTCCTCATCCGAACAACTTGTTCGATAGCATGAGTAGCTCTTCCCGGGATTACCTCGGCTCGTGGATTACCCGATACGGCACGAACAATGACGGCGACTCTGGAGACAATGCCGGCGATTCTGATGCCAGTGAGAACGACAATGAAGATGATGACGAGACCGGTGATCCTTCGTGGGCGCAACACGTGGCAACGATCAGTCCTCGTCACAGAGATTACCCGGCATCTTCTCACGTTACCATGGAGAGCACCGATAATTCCGCCGATGAAGAAGAGGAGACCAGCCCTATCCATCTGGCGGATCGGTCTCGGCGGGATCTCATGTCGTTTGGATACTCGGATGATTCGAATGACGAGGACGAGGAAGGTGGCAGTGCTGGCTTCTTGCAAGAGCATCACGCCTTTCTTGGATCGACCGGGAGACGGTCCAGAAAACGAAGCTCGCCCTGTCAACTACTTTCCTTACCTTGGGGGGGAAAACGACACGATGATGGCAGAGAGAACGAGCCCGAGATTATGATGCCCTTGTCGAGATTCTTTATTCGCCCTCAGAAGAACAAGATCAGCATTAGATTCGACCCCCCTGTGTAAGTGGTCCACATAGCGCTTTATACTTTGATGTCCAACTAACAATGCCCTAGGTCTGCTCGATACATCTTGATCAAGCTCTGGGGTCCATTCCAGGATGAAAATATTGATATACAAAGCATTATTGCATACGGCTTCGCCGGGCCGCGGTACTTTCCAGCTATGGAGATGCGCTGATCGAATGAATTTGACTGTATTCCACACCATTTTGTTTCCTCTCCATCAAATCCAAACATCTTCTTAGACGGGTGTTGCAAGGGTTTGATTCTGTATGAACACGACTACCCTAGCTCTTTCTTTACATTTCGGGTCTTTTTTCTTGCGCTTTAGAACCCCAGCGACAGATGACAAGGCGGCGAAGAAGCCGCTCAGGAGTCATATCTCACCACCATGAACATATCTCTTTTTTTTTCGGACATGGTTTCCAATATCTAGGCGCGAACTGGCGGTGGAATTGTTTTATTCAGGGAAGGCATAATCGGAACATTTTTTGAAGCATTTACTTTCAATTTTTACTTCAGTTTCTTCTTGAAGGAGCTCTTATTGTTCGTTTTATATTTTCCCTGATGCTTCTTTGGGAACAGATATTAGATGCACGATACAGCACATATGGAGAAGAGATGGATGATTGGTTTTTTTTGTCCGGGTTACTCTGTATTAGAGTGCGTCACTCTTTATAGGACAAGTGCTCACAAGAGACTTCGAATTAAGGAGACGCTTACGTGGGGCATTGACCATGATTTATATATCATTTGATAGATGCTTTTGCTAACTTGCACGTCCTATTTGTCGTGATAATTGGCCCACACAAGTAGCTTTTGGAGAATTGGTCTGTTTTTGAATTAATTCATTGTATCTCAATGCTGAATTCTTCATACCTGTGCATTATTGATAATCAAGGAAGAAAACTGGGTGGCTTTTGTGATCCCCTCGCTCTAACCCTCTCTTTATATATTGAGTTCATATAACAGTGATTATCAGGCAGTGGACCTGAATGTATGATATATGAATGAATATAAACATGAAGCTATCTAGAAGCTCTCTCCTGACGTGCGAGTGGGGCAGAACTGAGAGCGCGAAGCAGCCGAGGCTTATCAGATCAAAATCTGTAATCATATCTTATCTAGAGTCATCGCCCCTGTAAACACAGACCATAGCTGGCGCGTGTATGGAAATTGGCCGAGAAACGACATTGATTATTTGCACAGCTCAAGGACTAGGTGAAGAGACGGCAGGTACGTCTTATGTGGTTCAAATATAGTTGTTCTCTTGTTTTATTACCACTTCATCCAGCACACTAACTCCAAGCTTTTGACAGGCACAATGAAGCGCCGAAGAGACGAAGATGACCAGGCTGACGCCTCTGAGGCTTTAGAGGGTGAAGCATCCATTACTGTCAATCGACCTTCTGTAAACGTAGAATCAGAATCACAATCTGAGTTCAACACCCCTACGAAACGAAAACGCGGCCGACCGCCAGGAAGTAAGAATAAACCGAAAGACCTTGACGCAACCCCTGAAGCAACACCAACTTCTGCGCGGAAAACGAACATTCTGTCTACAACAAAAGGCAAGAGACTGTTTGCAACCCCTACTAAATCTCGCGGCAACGATAATGCCGAAATTGACGCTACTCCGACTGCTGTACGCAATGCGGACCGATCCGCGCGGAAGAAGAGCGCAAGGAGATTAATCGAGCGGACCATGGCGGGAGATGTCAGCGACGGAGAAAATATCGAAGAAGATGACGATGATCTTGCGAGAAGAATATACGGAGAAGCTGATGGCGGTGAGCCTTGGGACGAGGAACCGCTTGGTCAGCCAGTTGGAGACGTGGAAGAGGTGGACACTGCTACAGCGGAACCACAAACGCCCTCGAAACGTGGTCGGGGTCGTCCAAAGGGCTCAAAGAACAAACCGTCCCCGCCGCCCCCACCTGATATGCCGGCTTATGAGCAATACTTTTACGATAATCGGCCTGCTGGAGTAAAAACCTCGAATCACACACTATCCTCTTTAAATCTCCTTACGCACGAAGAGTACTTTTCTTTAATTCGCGAATATGTTGACCCACATGAACGCGAAGAAGCTTTTCTCGAAGAACTCCATACTAGATCATTCGATCAATGGCTCTTTGAGCTAAATGAAGGATTTAATCTCTGCCTCTATGGTTGGGGCTCCAAACGACGCCTTGCGACAAAATTTGCTTCCTATATATATCATTCTCAAACGGAAAAGATTTCTTCCCAAGAATCGCCCAAAATCATAATCATAAATGGTTATGCGCCTAACCTTTCACCTCGTGACTTTCTCAGTACCATTAGCAACCTACTCTTCCGACATTCGGAATCCTCCACCTCGAATCTCAAACTCGGCGCCCAGCCAGCCGATGTGGTTGATTCGATTCTCTCTCATTTAACGTCAAAACCCCCGTCTACACCACTCACCATTATTGTTCATTCTCTGGACGCACCGCCTTTACGACGGTCTGCAACTCAAACACTGCTCGCGCGACTGGCTGCACACCCGAAAGTGAATCTCATAGCTACTGCGGATATTCCCAATTTTCCCCTGCTATGGGACAGCAGCCAACGATCACAATTCAATTTTGCATTTCATGATAGCACAACATTTACTCCATTTGGCCCTGAAATAAGTGCTGTCGACGATGTGCACGAGCTACTAGGCCGAAGCGGTCGGCGTATTGGCGGACGTGAAGGCGTTACTTACGTCCTCAAGAGTTTGCCTGAGAATGCTCGAAATCTGTACCGCATTTTGGTGGCGGAGCAGCTTGTGGTCCTCGAGGAAGGGGTCGGACTTGATATGGACGCTGGCTTGAATGGAACAAGCGCTGATGCCGAGAATGCGGCCGTCGAGTATCGGGTGCTGTATCAGAAAGCCGCGGAAGAGTTTATCTGTAGCAGTGAAATGGCTTTCCGCACACTGCTCAAAGAGTATGCTTTACCCCGGACTTTTTCTTTTGATAGTTCGATACTAACAGATTGCTAGATTCCATGACCATCAGATGATTACATCTAAACGCGATGCGCTCGGCACTGAGCTCCTTTCGGTGCCATTCCGCAAGGATGAGCTTGAGACAATCTTGGAGGATATAATCTAGGCGACAACAAATGTGGTCTTAATATCCCGTAGTCAATGAAATACCAATATACATGTATCTAGCGTCATTGTTGAGTCTAACTTTACGCGAGGCGACAAGTAGCAGGTACGCATTTGCAGTACAGTAGACGACAGGGACCGTGGAGAGCAAAAGACACCTTGGAACTTTGTCGTCGCCGGTCGATCAGTTCCGTCTCGCTCTACTCTCCTCCCCACAACTCAAGCTCTCCTTCTTCCCAATTTCCCTTTCCTCCTTCTTCCCCTACATCAAACCCCCGTCCCACCAAGTCAAACTTCAATCGCATCCGGCTGCACGAGCCTGGACGTGTTCCTTCTCGACACTCCTTTGGTAATTCTTTTTATGTTAATTCGGAATTCTGGGAGCTTGTCACGATGAGCGGCCGTAAGTTTACCATCTTCGCTCCTGCCACGTTTCGCCGGAGCTTCCCACCAGCACTTTTGCGCCTCAACGAACCACAATTGAAACTGACTCGATGGCGTCTATAGTTCGATTCCTTGATCTGATCAAGCCCTTCACTCCGCTTCTGCCGGAGGTGTCGGCGCCGGAGACCAAAACTCCCTTCAACCAGCGGTTGATGTGGACAGGGGTACGTGAGAGATCTCATGCGGAACACAATGTACACAATCAAAGAAGGCGGTGCTGACAATCTTGCGCGTCTAGTTGACTCTCCTCATCTTCTTGGTGATGAGCCAGATGCCCCTTTACGGCATTGTCTCGTCCGATGCCTCCGATCCGTTGTACTGGCTGCGTATGATGCTTGCCAGTAACCGTGGTACGCTGATGGAATTGGGTATCAGTCCCATCATCTCTTCCGGCATGGTTTTCCAGGTATGCCACATGTATGAAGATGATGGAAAAGGGAAATCTATTTCTGACAAATGACAGCTTCTTGCTGGTACCCACTTGATTGATGTCAACCTCGACCTCAAGTCCGACAGGGAGCTCTATCAGACCGCCCAGAAGCGTAAGTCAAGAGTAAACAATCTTCGCCACGAGCGCAAAACTTACACACGACGATACATATAGTCTTCGCTATCATTCTCTCCTTTGGTCAAGCCTGCGTCTACGTTTTGACTGGTCTCTACGGCCAGCCTTCCGACCTCGGTGCTGGTGTCTGTGTTCTCTTGGTTGTCCAGCTCGTCGTTTCCGGTTTGATTGTCATCCTCCTCGATGAGCTCCTCCAGAAGGGCTACGGTCTGGGCAGTGGTATCTCGCTCTTCATTGCGACCAACATTTGCGAGTCTATTATCTGGAAGGCCTTCTCCCCCACCACCATCAACACTGGCCGTGGTCCCGAGTTTGAGGGTGCCGTCATTGCTCTCTTCCACCTTCTCTTGACCTGGGGTGACAAGCAGCGCGCTCTACGTGAGGCCTTTTACCGCCAGAACCTCCCCAACATCATGAACCTGCTCGCCACCGTTGTCGTCTTCGCCTCGGTCATTTACCTCCAGGGCTTCCGTGTCGAGATCCCCGTCAAGTCCTCGCGTCAGCGTGGCATGCGTGGCTCTTACCCCATTCGTCTTTTCTACACCTCCAACATGCCCATTATGCTCCAGTCGGCCCTGTCCTCCAACATTTTCTTGGTCAGCCAGATGCTCTACTCTCGCTTCTCCGACAACCTGCTCGTCCGTCTGCTTGGTGTCTGGGAGCCCCGTGAGGGATCTGCTCAGCTCCACGCCGCCTCTGGTATTGCCTACTACATGTCTCCCCCGCTCAACTTTAGCGAGGCGCTTTTGGACCCGATTCACACCGCCGTCTACATTGCCTTTATGCTCGTTGCCTGCGCCGTCTTCTCCAAGACCTGGATCGAGGTGTCTGGCTCTAGCCCCCGCGATGTTGCTAAGCAGCTCAAGGAGCAGGGTCTCGTCATGGCCGGTCACCGTGAGCAGAGCATGTACAAGGAGCTGAAGCGTGTTATTCCCACTGCCGCCGCCTTTGGTGGTGCCTGCATTGGTGCTCTGTCCGTTGCCAGCGATCTCATGGGCGCTCTTGGCTCCGGTACCGGTATCCTTCTTGCCGTCACGTAAGTTTCCAGTGTCTTTCCATGCCCATTTTTCACCTGTACCATTTTGTTCCATGCACACTAACATGTCCAAAGCATCATCTACGGCTACTTTGAAATTGCCGCCAAGGAGGGCGACATGGCCGGCCTCAAGGGTATGGTCATGGGATAGACGAGGATTGACGTGTAGAATAATTTGCTCGTCTTTTTTCCTTAGTCATTTTTCTTTTTCGTCTATTCCGATTTTGACGACCATGTCGATTAGCTTGTCTTTGTCGAGACTGACTGATTGGCTGAATGTATGCATATGCATTGTTCATTGTAGCATTCTGTAAAAGGGGGGTTGGGCTAAAACGGATTTAGCCATTCTGACCATTTTGAGAAGGAAGGGGAAAATAAATGTGAAAAGCATGGGCGGACATGTCGCTCCGGTTTCCATTCTCTTTTTTATCCTTTGTTCTTTCTGGAAATCTTGTATCATTTCGGCTGCCGGAGCAGACATTTTTGCCGTCGTTTCTCACGATTTCATATCATGTCAGCGTTTGTTCACGAGGACGTCGTGCGTCGTGCGTCGTATTACTTGGAAGATGTGCCAACCTGATGACGGAACGGATTCTCTTCTCTGTCCTGCGTCTTTTCTCTGTCTCGTCGTTTGTCGTTTGACGTGTGGAAAATTGTTGACTGTCAGAGGTAGAGAAACAGGCGGGTAGGGAATTGGATTTCCGTTTTGTCTCAAATATATATCACTTTTTTTTTTATTTTTACTTCGATTTTTGTGTAGTTTTATATGTACATGTCACAATCCAATGCTATTATCTGCCTTGTCTTTCTTGGGATCTACCAATGCGTGCGTTCTTTTTGATGAATTGGATACTCTATGATAAATATAATGACGATGGTAGTCGGGTTATATAACTAACCGGTAGAAACCGGATTGGAGTTACAGTGTAAATCTCCGCTCGCTTGCCATCCAAGAGTTACCGGACAGACTAACTTCAGCAGACTGTGGGGCAGCCGTTCTAGTGAGCCGCGAGGCTCGACCTACGGAGCAGCACGCAACCTGTTAGACTTCATGTCCGCGGGTTACAACGGCTTGGTGACAGCTTTTCATTGCTCTGGTCTGCCGACATTTAATTTCTAGACCAAATGGTATTTGATTGGCAACAGAGATTTTCAAAGATGATTGTATACTACAATATCGGTCCGAAGTCAGCCATGGCTTGGCATCTTTTGGTGCACATACAGCAAGAGCAAAAGCAATAGCTAAATCAAAGTTTTCACTGCGTTCTAGACGATCAAGACCGCTGGCGAATTTTCCAGGAAGAAGATTGGAAGTAATTAATCCTTGCCGCCTTGGACATTTCGGCCTTGAAATTTATCATCGGGCATTTCTGTGGTGTGCCAGTGCATCTGCCACGCGAAGCAGCCTTGTTCACTCCTGGATCCTTGACAGCACAAAATAAATTTTATTAATGCGAAACAAGGCCATTGGCTTGATCAGAACCATCATACTGAGGAATTGCCAATTAGCTTTGAAAACTAAGTAAGGCGTCATAATGATTGGATATAGGCAATCTAATATGAGGGGTGTTAAAGCGGATCTTATCAGGGAGGAATATCGGGGGGTGGTATAGGACAAGGTTGTGATGTTATCACACCATCGATACTAAATATTGCAATAACAGTGGTGATCGCTTGGCATGCAACATGGACCTGCGCAACAAAACATACTTAAACATTTTGCCGTCGAATATGGGCAATCTCAAGCAGGCCGGAAAGAAGGGAAAAAAGAGAAAATTAAAAAAATTGGGTTGATAAGTCTTCATCATGGCAGAATCGCCGCAGAAAGTTCCTTTGCCCAACTACTACCCCAGCGACAATGCCAGCGACGACAACAATGGCAAAACCGACCCCTCGGACGGTTCGCTGTCGATTTCCGAGTCGAATATTCTCCAGGACCGACAGATAGGTGTCTTTGGAGCAATTTCATTGATTGTCAACAAAATTGTCGGTGCTGGGTATGTATATCTGTAATATAATTGAATAAGCTATACGTTTTTATATGAACTGACTTGGCTGTACTGGGATATGCTAACAATAATGGAATGCAGTATATTTTCGACACCGGCGTCCATTTTCAAACTCAGCGGTAGTCCCGGAATGGCATTGGTTCTTTGGGTAATTGCAGGCATTATTTCGACATGCGGCGCAATGGTCATGCTTGAATTCGGGTCGAGTTTGCCCAGATCAGGAGGTATCAAGGTGTATCTTGAGCGATCATTTTCGCCAACCTTACTCATGACTTGTATTTATTTATTTTACTGTGTCATCCTTCGTAAGTAATCTATCCCTGGGATGAGCCAATGACGAATTTACGCCAAAACGAGTAGAGAGAAGACTGACGATTTGATAGAGGTATCTGCGAGCAATGCGATTACAGCGTCTTCGTATCTGTTGAAAGCTGCCGGCGTTGCATCGACCACATGGAAACTACGCGGCCTAGCTATTGCGGCTACAGGGTTTGCTGTCGGTGTCCATACAGTCGCTCCCCGCATAGGTCGAGGACTGCAGGATGTTCTGAGCGCAGTAAAGCTGTTTACTCTGCTCTTCATCGTGTGCACTGGATTCGCCGCCTTGGGAGGTCATCTTAAAGTTCCCAAGCCTGATAATTTCAACATCCATACCTCTTTCAAAGGAACGTCGAACAATGGATACAATATTGGAACCGCTTTGTTGGACGCTATATTTTCATTCCAGGGCTACGACAACCTCAACATGGTAGGACAACACTAGATTCCAAAATGTGCCATGGAGCTCACGCTAATATGTGCTGATTTAGGTCTTATCAGAAGTCAAGAATCCGAAAAAGACACTTCGCATCGCCCTCCCCACTGCCATGGGTAGTATCACTGTCCTCTACATCCTAGCCAATGTTGCCTACGTACGTTGATTCCCTGGTATGCAGTTGCTCGAGAAACTCAACTGACAAGAACAGTTTGCGGGTGTGCCGAGAAAAGAATTCATTGCATCCGACCTCACCATTGCCGCAACCTTGTTCAGAAATGTCTTTGGCCAAACCGCCGCATCCAAAGCTCTGCCTGCGCTTGTCGCCATCTCAGCCATTGGCCACTTGCTCGGTATCGCATATACAGTTCGTAAGTCACTCATACCTTTTATATCTACCCACATTTGTCATTATGCCTTTACATTTACGTTTGTTATCATGCCAATGCTGACTGGACCAGCCCGCGTGATACAAGAATTGGCCAAGGACGGAATCACTCCCTTCCCCAACATTGTCATGCAGAACCGACCTTTCAAAACACCAATCTGGGCCCTTTTGATCCATCTCGGCGTCACCATCATCTTCATCTGTGCTCCTCCAGCTGGAGACGCTTTCAACTTTATCGTCAGTCTGGCTTCGTATCCGACTACTTTTCTCTTCGCCGCTATCACCATCGGATTGGTCAGGTTACGTCTGTCCAAGTCGGAAAATTTCTCGTCTGCCTTTACCGTTCCATGGGTCTTTCTGGCCTTTTACTTGGCGGCTAATCTGGTAAGCTTACCCTTATTTCCTTGTTTCCTTATTTTCCCTATTTTTCTCTTTTTGATATTATGCACTACCTATTTTCCGTTTCTCTCCTTTTACTTCTCTCCTCCGACTGTCTTTACTCGTCAGTTGCTGATATTCTTTAGTTCCTCCTTATAATGCCATTTGTCCGTCCGCCCAACGGCAAAGGCAGTACCAGCCTGCCATACTGGCTCTCTCCCGTTGTCGCGCTCGCTATCTTATCCCTGGGCATTATCTACTACCTGATCCGCTTCATTCTCCTGCCCTGGATTTTCGGTTACAAACTCCGCCTGACGGCCGTCCAACTCCGAGATGGATCGCAAGTGTCCCGGTATAAAATCGTCAAGTCATGATCTTGACGCATAAATGTCGTGGACTCGTGAGTCGTGGCGCCTTTTGGTTTGGGAAGTTTGGGCAGTTTGGGTGTAGCTGCATTGCAGCATTCATTGGAGCGTTGCAGCAATTGCTTGATCAACGGGTAGTTTAAAAATTTGTTATTTACAGCGTTTTTTTTACTTTTCCAGTATTTACATCATTTTGCATTATATTTACTCCGTACAGCATCGTTGCATTATACTTCGTACATACATGATACAGCGTTCTCGATATTATACTTACAGCTTTTGGTGTCATTGCATATACACACGGCAGATTGAAATCTGCAGAACCTGTCTATATCTATTTTAAATCTATTCAACTCTTGAGTCTTGATAAATTACAGTGTTTGCTTTTTCTATTCATTCATTCATTGATTGATTGATTGATTGATTGATTCATTCATCTTTTTCTGTAGATGTCCATCAGGCCCATAGGCAGCAATGCAGCATTCTTGAACCTTAGGATCACCAAGGCTTTTGATTTTACGTACTACGTACTCGCTTTTCCCTTTTACTACTCCGTACCTGAGCGACCAGAACCAAACTTAGGTCAAGTACGTGCGGGTCCACAACCCGAAAACGACCCTGTAAAGAATTGGCCCTAGCTGGTCCTCAGTGGACAGACCTGACAGGGGGTCGCCGTATTCGAGAATTCCATATACTCTTAGTAGACGACATTCTTAATTGCCAATCATAACGCTGTAGACACGCCATGAAAGGCTTCACAACTTTTTTCAAATGGAGACTGCGAGGTTAACATATCTACGTTACGTTTCTTGACCAAGACCCACAGCCCGAAATATCCCCACGGAGAAATGTTACTTTTTACAATTTACTGTGTTACAGTTTAGTCATACCACCTGAATCCCTGATCCTTTTGAAGTTTGAATGATGAAATTGAACACTTTCAAGTTTCGGTCAGTAGACTTGGTGTTATATGGTGGGCAGGGGATACCGCATAGACTATAGTACATACGTGTGATACGAAAATCATTCTCGAAAGAAGCCCCGCTGCTCCACACTGACCCGACTCCGGATTCCGGAGTCCTATACAGAGGTTTACCGGAACTTTCTCGTACAGAATATTCTCAAATGGCGTATGGCGTATGGCGTGCTACTTGGAAAATATCACGAAAAGCTTCAAGATGGGGAATCGAACGACTTAACGAGTCAACGAGTCAACGAGATGATAGTAGGGATAGAGCAGGCGGCAGATGATTGGAAAGAAAAAAAAGAGGAGATCAAGGATAGGCCGGAAAGATAAAAAGAGAGAAGAACAGGTGGAATGTTGACGGGCTAGAATACTACAAATTGCATCCAGTCCCTATTTCTCTCTCTCATACTCGAAGATAATTATTTATGCATAGCATCTGAATTACGACTTAAGCATTGCATCTAATTCAACAAATCTTAAATTGAATTACAAATTTCCAACGCCTGTGTCAACCCGAACAGCAACAATACAATAACACCAATACCAGTGTAAACTCGAAAGAGGAACAATACACTTAATACCAAACGGTAAACCTCCAGTTGTGAACCCGTTATCAACTCGCACAATGGCCACAGCTCAGCCTGATATCCAATATAAGCCCGACTTTGAAAAATTCAAACAATGCGGCCGCCTCCGGCAGGCAAATGAAAACCTGCCAACCACACTGCCAGGTGGCTTTCCTGCGAAGCTGTCCTCGCCTCTCGTCTGGCATGGCAAGGATATCGAGAAGCAGACGGACTGGATTTATCAGTTGAGTGATGCTCAGCTGGACGAAATCGATGCCGCTTTGAAGTCATTCAAAGGTAGTCCCTTTCTCTCTTTTTGTCTTCTCTTTTCTTCCTTTTAGCCCTTTTGCCTCTTCTATTCCCTTTTTACTATTTTTTTTGTCTGAGAGAAACCCGAGGAAACTGGACATTTCATCTGAGACCAACTGAGGAATTGGACCTTGTACTAACACTAGCATACAGGCCTCAATCTACCCCTAGGACACATCAACCAGACCACGTTCCCCCTTCCTCATCTCCACGCGGAGCTCCGAAACCTCTCCAAAGAACTGCACGTTGGGCGAGGCTTCTTCGTCATTCGCGGACTCCGAGTCGATAGCTACACGCGCGAAGAAAACGTCATTATCTATGCTGGAGTGTCTGCGCATGTTGCCGACGTGCGTGGTCGCCAGCAGGATCCTCATTTTACGGGTGGCAAGTCGTTGGTGGTTTCACATATCAAGGATCTCTCGCGTACAAAGGACGCAGCAAAAGTGGGAGCGCCGTCTAATACGGCCGACAAGCAGGTGTTCCATACAGACGGCGGCGATGTGATTTCGCTGCTGTGTCTCAACCCGTCGCCCGAGGGCGGGGAGAGTTATATCTCGAGTAGTTGGCACATTTACAATATCCTGGCAAAGGAGCGGCCGGATTTGATACATACGTTGTCTGAGAACTGGCCTTTTGATGGGTATGTCTTTTTTTTCTTTCTCTTTATTCCCTTCCCGCCTTTTATTTCATTTTATATATTCCCCCCTGTCTGCCTACTTCAATTTTCCGGTTCTTCGTTCTATCTTTTCCATTCCTTTTCCTTCTTTCAGAGTTCTTTTCTTTTCTTTCACACCCTTTCCTCTCTTTTCCCTTCTCCCTTTGTCGCCTTTAGTCCTCCTTTTTCTCTCCAATTTCTTTTCATTATCTCCTCTTGGTCTCCCTTAAACAAGTCTAACTATCGTACCAGCTTCGGCAACGCCCAACGCCCATACTCCCTGCGCCCCCTCCTCTTCCACCAGCCCGCCACCGGCTCTGCCCCGGAGCGCATCATGATCCAATACGCCCGGCGGTACTTTACCGGCTTCCAAGCGCAGCCCCGGTCGAGCGATATCCTTCCCATCACCGCAAGCCGAGGCGCTGGATTTCCAAAGGGGGATGTTCAATGTATCAACAACCACAGCATTTTCCATGCGGGGAACGGGTTCACAGACGAGCCTGGTAACGAGCGGCACTTAATCAGATTATGGCTCCGCGACTCGGAGTACGCGTGGGATACGCCTGCCCTGCTGCATGAGCGCTGGGAACACGTCTACAAGGACGTCAAGGAGGACGAGCAGGTTTTTCCGCTGGAGCCGAATGTGCACAAGTCGTTGGGGTCATAGGTTTGGGGGTGGGGGCCCCGGCGCATGGACGGTAGAGGAAAGGGATGGGGCTGCTTTTCAATGAGAAATTTTACAGATGTTTGCACTTTATCATCATCATCTTTCCTTTTGTCCTTGGGATCCACGTCTCGAGTACTCTGTACAAACTACTTAAAAACAAATAAGCAAAAGTTATTGTCATTTAAATCTCTTTGAACTCAGTATAGTCGACTAGATTTAACGGTTAAACTAAATTGTAGGCTGGTCTGGTCTGGTCCGGTCTGGGTAATCTTTTTGACTCAACCCATCTATGCATAAACCTGGTATAAATATACATATTTTGAGTGAACTACCAGTACCAGCATTCTCAACATAATTTTTCCATTTAATTGTTGATGCACTTTCTAAAGGAGTTACTATTTGAAAAGGCAATGCTTTGTACATACAAACTAATAGATTATGGAGACATGTTCAAAAGAGTCAAGAATCAAGACCAAACCAAGATAATCTATTCCTACTTTTACATTTCTATACTTGGTCTATATATACTAGATTACTACCTATCTAAAAGAAATTTTCCAAAGACTACTAGTTTCTACTGGCAGTAGGCTCCAACAGACACTGTATTTGTAGTCTTTTTACCTCTTATTTCAAAATATATTAACTATAAAAATACTATGCTCTCTCTTTACTTCCTTTATAAACATGATTTCAAAAGGTTAGAGGGTCAGAGGGGGTAAAGTAACCAGGTTCTCAGTGTCTACAGTGTACAGTGTGTACAGTCTTTCGCTGGATGCCATGGCTGGTTGTTATTAATATCTTGACACTCTCTGCTACAGACTTTTACAGGAACGGCAGACTACCCGGACGGTAGAAGGAGGATGGTAGAGGATATACAGTAGACTGGAAGTTCACTAGCATTTTGAATTGACTACCTGTAGGTCTGTCTTTAACCAAGAAAAGAGAAGAGAGTTCATCATTGTCTGAGATAATGAATTTGATCCTGTAGACGAAAGGTATGTAGTGTCTGACTACGATCTGTATCAGCGTAATGGCTTTAGAGATAAGAATTAATTGTTATTGATACTTTCTTTAAAAGTATCAAAAGAGAAAAAATTGTTATACATGGCAGCATCGGCCATGGCTTTTTAAAGAGTGAGTCGCTTGTATAACATATTGTTCTCCGTTTTGACGATGGTCTGGATTTGACGGTTCTGGAAAATGTATATACCATCCAGAATCCAAACGGTACTGACGCCGGAAATCCCAGTGCTCATCGCCACAGTGCTTGCAGGGGAGGGGCCGGTCAGGGGGTTCATTGTTCGCCAGAATCAAGGCGTTATGACACACGGCTTTGATAATGAACGGAAATGATTGATTCTTAGCTACTGATGATGTTAACTAAAGTGGGATGATCCGACATCTATTCTCAGAATATATGCCTGCTTGCTAAACTCGTTGGACCTCCCCAAACTAGCAACTTCCGCACCTTCCTGAAATTCTGTGCTACAGCGTGCTTCCGACCTTTGCCATCTTGCTGGCCGCCCGCTCTTGGCTTCCTTTTTTCGCCAACTTGTCCGCTTTTCTCTTCTCTCGCCATTCTTTGTCCTCGGCATCTGCTGCCCAGCCCGCCAGCGGCGGACAGATCAGGTCGGGCTGATTGTTCGTGTGTGTTTTTTTTTGCTTCATGAGGAGTGAAATACACACAGTACACTTGATGCCAAAACCGGACGGGAGTCTAACCGGGGCCCTCAAATGTTCTAGATGGTCTTTTGAAACTAGTATAATTGCCCTCAGGCAAAAGAAGATGTAGAGAAAATACATAAAGATATGTACGTGTTTAGACTGATCTCGTTTGGAGCCGCGAAGAAATTATTTGATTTGTAAACTTGTAAACTTGCAACAGTCGTGACCCAAAACTGTTTCATCTTGTTTGGATACCGGACTCTTTCCTGGAGCTTCTTTTCAGCTTCTTTGCCAAGTTGCTCATTAATCAGGCAGGAACCAGAAGAGGTTGTGACCAGCCTAGCCGTTCATTCTTCTTGTATTTATCTATATCCTTTAAAAGGAGCTATGAAATATGAATTGTAATTTGTCTGGATTGCTGTTTGTCAAGACATATATTACTACCAGTGTACTCTTGGATTTTCCCCAGGCTGGCTGCCCTTGTCTTCGAAGAGGTTAATCTAAGCAGAACACTTAGATGCTTGATTTGGCCAGTGAAAATTGACGCAGGACCCGTGGATAGGGTGTCCGTTGGTCTGGTCTGGGTCGGTCTTTGCTCAAAGTTTCCACACCAAGGTGGTCTTTGGTCTGGGTTGGTCTTTAAGGCAAAGACCAACCTCCAGACCAGGCGTGGGCGGTTTTTTTAACTAAACCCATCTATGCATAAATCTGGTATAAATTTGCATATTTGGGCAAATCACCAGCATTCTCGGCATAATTTTGCTGACTGATTGTTGATATACTTCCTAAAAAGGTAATGTTGGTGGTGATCACGGACCAGTGAAGGCATGTTCAAAAGACCGACCCAAGGTGGTCTGGTCCTACTCTCAAATTTCCCAACTTGGTCCGGGTTGACAGTGTAAAAGAACAAAGACCACCGGTTTCCACCGGCCCCAACGGACACCCTACCCGTGGGAGATCACTGGATGCGCCATACAACCCAAAAATACGCCTTTGCCGGCTCTACATGCATCGCACTCTCGCACGAGTTGCCCAACACGGCTCTATTATACAGGTTAGCTCTATCCGAATGTTTCGAGAGGCCCTTTCATTGTCGAAAAAGGCAATAAAACCTACCTGTATGGCTACGGCCTCCTGGAAGCTTGTACTGCTGCCAGTGGAGACCTCCTTTCAAGCCATACCCTCCCTGCTCGCTGGACGATCACCGGGTCTCAGAGAGCGTGGGCAGGGAAGTAAGTATAGTGCATCTAAATGTAAATGAAACACGCCTGGCAAGTTCAATATGCCTAAGCCCCAGGAGAATTGACAGCTCGGTACTCGGTAGATTCTGCAGGTCATGCCGTCATAGATGGTAAATGTGTCTAGAATGTGAAATTGGTCAAGGGTTCAATTGCAGGGACGAATCAAATCTTCAGTCATCATGCTGTAGGCCTGCAGATAGTGCAGTAGTAGCGTGTTTTCTTCCACAGTTAGACAGCTGGGTGACCACATCAGACATAAGGTCTTACTTCTCCACCATTGTCTATTTTCGAAGGAGAAGTATACCTTGTATAGCTAGACACAAGGGTCTTTCATATTCTCAATGCATAGCATGGTGCCGGTAAATGGCCCACGCGGTGCAAAGCTATTTTCAGGACTCCAGACACCGGGACTTTAGTTGCTTGACACTGGGTCTCCGAATTGTTAGTAGCCGCAGATACTATTAAGATATTTAGTTCTTATGGCCAAGAACCTGAAAGCCTCCTCTGGGGACGAGGATGATTCTCATCTTGTGAACCCTTGGGATAAACTGTAGAGTATTATCTGCTAGCTAGACATTTCCAAGACAGCTAATTTGCTGAAAACATTTTCTTGTAATCTGAATGAATCAATGATTACAGGCATGATTCATGAATATCAGTAGTTGGTTGTTCAAGCTGATTATAAACTAGTGCTTGAGTATCCTGATTACCTAGATCTTTAGTTATCAGATGTCGAAAGCAGTAAAAACTGCGGCAATCGACGAATTGAGCTTCGAAAAGGTTTTCGAAACGGGCAAATATCGAAAAGCTTCGCAGGCTATCTGCTCCTGTCTTAGTGATAGTAATTCCGGAACCATGCTTTCATGGTGGGTTGCGTCTTCGAATATCGGGGTGTTTACTTCCATTGTTGACGTCTTTACTAGCCTTGAAGTTCCCAAAACAGAGATCAATGTTAAGACAATAACTCTTGTATGTGGCTGCGATTGATGATTCGAGTCACAGGTAGGGAGCTATCATGCGGAGTCAGAAGATCCCTCTAATCTTCTTCTTTCTTCTCTCGGAGGCTTTCCTAGTGTTCTTGATTAATGGGTAACCATTTGAGAAGGCACTCAAAAGAATTGGCAGCCACGTGTGAACCCTTTTATTTGTAGGATCTGATGTGACCGAGTCATATTTGTTCGATACATTCAATGCTCAAGGTGTTTTGGAAGTTAATATATCTGCCAACTGACAATGATCGGAATAAAGATTGATGCTGTTTAGAAGACACGACTCCCAAGCAATTCTCTGAAGGTCTTGTGAGCATTGTGAGCTAGAGTTGTCCTTGCTCGGTGAGCATCATTGGTTGCATGATCGTTTCCGTTGCCATTGAAACTGAGGCCTTCTAAAGAGCCGGTACGTATGTGCTGCGGCTAACACTCTTGCAAATCCGTCTTTTAGGTAATCTTGGTCGCAAATGTAATCAACGCAGTACAAGCTGGCTTTAGGGGTATTCGAATCGGGAATGAACAAGTCGTGACCTGCATCCAATTATTTCCAAATTTTGCTTCATTTCTTCGAGTATCTTATTACCAGGATTTCAATATTCAGCATATTTTATAAGTTTCTGTTCCATCTGGAGGTCCAGCCGACTATCCAAGAACGATTGATCGCTTTCTGGCTTGGAAAATCTTCGACAATTTCCACTTGTTTGCTAGAGAAGTTGAGTGCCGGCAATTTGGACGCTTGGAGCTCGGACGACGGACGTTCTTTGTAGTACTTTCGGACTAAGCTCCTGGATTTAATCCTATTTCCTGTGTAACCGACAGAGACCCAATGCTCTGTAGCAAACTATGTTTATGAAACCACAACTGTATATGATGCTGTTCGAGGATTTGCAGTCAGCGGCAAGATCCCTGAAATTTGCTTTCTGAAAATATTTGGACCCAGTACAACGGCAATTGATACAGGTCTTTGTATTGATGCCGTAACTTCTATGATGCATTTTGCTTCTCAGACTTGAATCAACCTAGCGCCCTTCAGTGGTTTGTTATGTTTGATTGAGATTGTAATGAACTTTGCAGCAATATGTTAGTACTAACTATAACTTGTAAATTCAGACTATATTGACTTACAATTTCAATTCCAAGATCCCGTCTAAGAGACACAAAATTTATCAAGTGTGGGAGAATCGTAGACTTGATGAAAAGTTTCGAGCAGCTGTCCCCAGCCGAGTTTTATCTTCTTTTCAATTCTTTGGGCCCACTAAAGCATTTTTTCTTGGAAATGTTGCCAAAACAGAATCCAGAATTATAAGTCACAACGGATTCGTTAATTCTCCCTGCCTCATTCTCTTCATCAGAATCATTGTCAGCAGCAAAGAGCGGTAAGCCAACTGCTCATTACTCAGATAAGCTTGCTAGGAGCTGGCGTTCCTTCTGCCACCTTCCGCTTTTTCGTTTCGACAATCTTCTGAGAACTTATGGCGAGACTCAGTTGTTTAGCCGCCTTTTTCACCCCTGCGGCCGTTCCCTCGCCGTTTCGAAGGTTAAAGGCGAGACCACGAACGTTCTGAACGCTGTCAAGAAATTTGGCAGGAATCTATAAGGCAGTTACCTTGCTAAGAATATGCCAAAAGCTAAGGAGTTTCCCCATGTTTTTGGCATATTTTCTGAGTTTGAGAATAAAATTTGATGGCGCGTTCATCTCTGTTTGCCGATTCTGAAGATCCATAAGCGGCTGTCCAATAGTTCTTTTCTAGCTTGTTATAATTTCACCGCCAAAGAGCATCCAAATCAGCCTGTGGCTTGAGGAAGTCAATGGTAGCCAATTTGTCGTAATGAACAGTGGCCAGTACCTAATTATTGTTCAAACCTCAAGGAAGAACTACTGTCTGTATGTATGGTGCCTTTGATAGTCTTCCGTAATTTGATGGAGCCAATTTGGCAAAGATATTGTGAGGTCATTACCAAATGAAATAAAAAAACTTCAATTGCAGAGAAGTCGATCACGCTATGGCTGGCTGTGGATTGCATTCCTGAACTCGGCTCCGAAAGTAAAACACTTTTGTCGGGATATTCTTTTGCAGCCAGACGTCCCATGGAGCGACAGGCGCAGAGAAGGTCTTTTCCAGCCAAAGTGATCTGTCTAGAGGCAGAGAGAGGAAAAGTTTTAATGGCATACAGTCCGTGCAAGAGCATTTTGCGTCCAAGCGGAAACTCGACCAATTTAAGTATTTCCAAAAAGTTTGAGAATATTGGCAGGTAATTCCGTTTAGTGAAGTGTTTATGACGTCTGGATATCCAACCACCGTCTCTGGTGCATCGAGCGAAGAAGATACCGACAGTGCGACAACAAAAGAGGGACCTGCACCAGTAGCTGTTACAGGAGGAGTGGATGCGGGAAGAAAGGAGAGGATCGAGTCTGTTTAAATAGAATTTGTTGGTGCTGAACAAAAGCGTTAGATGATCTGCTTCACAATTATTGGCCGGTGAATTTCCGAAAATTTGATGCAGCTGACAGTTATGACCAGTTATGAATGTATGTCAGATTTGTCGGGAGTCAATTTTCTATTCTATCTTGTTAGTAAATTCTAACAGTTATTATTGCTTCACTGAGATATGTCAAAGTACAAACAGAGAAGTCATGTTACTTCAAGGATATACTAGGAAGTTGTGGCCGAAAACGATACAATGTGCAAGGATTATGCATATGTATAAATCTGCGCCTACTCCGATTATAATGAGATATATGATCGATGATTTAAGAGTTTCGTGGCTTAACGTCGCGGGCAGACCAGTTTGACATGTGATCCTCAAGTGCAATCAATTTCCAAGGAGGACAAAATGGAGAAGGTGATGGCATTTGACAGTAAATTGTAAAGAGGTTGAACTCTAATCCCAAAAGCCAGATAGCTTGTAGTCGTATAGATTAGATTGCGCCGAGTAAGGGACATTGAACGCCTGACCCGGGGTATGAAGAGCATCCAGCTTTGGTGCCTAGCTGGGACGGGCTGCAATTGCCGGATTGAAGTTGAAATATCAAAACGGATAAACTCAAAGGTAGAAAAGGGTACGAACTTCAACAAGCATAAGCCATATTGCCTGGCACTCAGTTATAGTAACCGGAGAAGCGGTGATGAGACAAGAGAAAATGAGGACTTTTCTATTCGTGACAGCATGATTCTGCAATGCATCTGTAAACTCATAACAAACGATGCCTTCATATACATATGATCCAAATGTTTCAAAGAATGAAGGAGAAAGAAAGAGACGGGTAAAAAGATTCGATCAGGGGATTTTGATCAGTTGTTTACCAGCCGCGCTTGGCCAGCTTCTCGCCCTCATCCATCTTCGCCACGTTCAGGCCAACCATGGCCTCACCGAGATCCTTGCTGACCTCGGCGAGCACCTTGGGGTCCTTGAAGTGTGTGACGGCCTGGACGATGGCGCGAGCACGCTTGGCAGCGTTGCCGCTCTTGAAGATACCGCTACCAACGAAGACACCGTCGCAGCCGAGCTGCATCATCAGGGCAGCATCAGCCGGGGTAGCAACACCACCGGCGGCGAAGTTGACCACGGGGAGTCTCTTGAGCGTTGCGGCCTCCTTGAGGAGGTCGTAGGGAGCACCAATCTCCTTGGCCATGACGCGGAGCTCGGGTTCACTCAGGGTGGAGGCCTTGAGAATCTCGGCGGTGACGGTGCGCATGTGCTTGACAGCTTCAACAACGTCACCGGTACCGGCCTCACCCTTGGTACGGATCATGGCAGCACCCTCGCTGATACGGCGGAGAGCCTCACCGAGGTTCCGGCAGCCACAGACAAAGGGGACCTTGTAGGGGTGCTTCTCAACGTGGTGGACGTCGTCGGCGGGGGTGAGGACCTCGGACTCGTCAATGTAGTCGACGCCAACGGCCTCAAGGATCTAATAATTGATGGCCGTCAGTTCAATTCTCCTTGCAAGCTTCATCATTCACTAAATGCTTCGATATCAACTCACCTGGCACTCAACGAAGTGACCAATCCGTGCCTTGGCCATGACGGGGATGGTCACGGCCTCCATAATCTCTTGAATCATCCGGGGGTCGGACATGCGAGCAACACCGCCCTGAGCGCGAATGTCGGCAGGGACACGCTCGAGAGCCATGACGGCGGCAGCACCGGCCTCCTCGGCGATGCGAGCCTACAAAGCAAATACGCAAGTCAGAAACTCTAAGATCTCATGGCAATGAATTTGGCTTAAAAGCGAGAGAGGTAATTGACTCACCTGCTCGGCATTGACAACGTCCATGATGACTCCACCCTGCAACATGCGGGCAAGACCAGCCTTGACGGTGAAGCTGGTGGCGGACTCGCCATTGCCGTTGGCCTGGGCACCGTGGCCGTTGATGACGGGAAGTTCAGCTGCCATTGCGATTGTGATTCAGATTGCTCTTGCAGATTCTCACGAAAGAGTAAGAAATAATAATGCGGAAACGAGGGGCAAGAACCGTGTGATGATTGATGGTCTGAGATGGTGGGGCTGTGGCGGGGCACGGAGAATACAGTACAGTATTTAACGGGCGTTCAGGACAAGGAATTGACAAGTAGCGCGGGTTTTGGCCGGTCAGGGTCGTTGGGTGTGAGTCAAGGAAATTTCTCTCCAGAGCGATAAATCTAACGGCGCGGCAAGACTAAGGAGACGCTACGAGTTTGCAGAGGAATCTTGGTGGCCAAAATCTGGGTCAGATTGACTTTACTCGCACACTTTTTCTTCGGGTTCCATCGGCAAAAGGCGCTTTGGCCGCCTATCATAGTCAAGCCTCCCTCGGTTGCCCCCAGATCTCTGTCCGGTCCGGCCACCGATTTCGGACCGGAGGCATTATCTTCCGCCAGCTATAGGAGTACCTGAGTCTCGTCTAGCGCAAACCTCCTATTTCCCGCGGAAAACTTCCCAATCAGAGAGAATGGAGATTATGTAATTGCTGACTCATTGTCCGCTCACGCCCTTCCATAGAACAGCAACATCCATGATGCTATCGTGTGATGATTGAATCTGTTTGGTGCTGATTCTGCTATCTCAATAACGAAGATACCCCATATCTCACATGATACTGTAACTATACGGCTGATCTAATGACTTTATCTATGCGATACAAGATGTTGATCAACCCACCATGTCCCAGTAGGGCTTGTCCCCTAGTTCCTGGATTGTATGTCAAAATGTTGATATGAACCTATTTTCTCTTTTTGACCTACTCAAATGTTTTTGCTTCTATTTCTGATATGATCTGTATTGACTCTTTCTGCCAAATCATTACCAGATCGCCTTCTGTTATGTTCTCATCCCCGTGACTTGGTTGCTCTGGTTTTGCTCGTATCATGTCAGTTTGATACGAAATCTGCTTTTCTCAACCGTTCTTTTACTGCTGCACCGATTCTGCTCCTCTCATTCCTCATCAGTGATATTTGACTCTATGAGTTTCTTCAGCTCGGATGCCTTCCTCTAAAGAGCACCTTGATCTGGTACGAAGCTGAAGATATATAGCTTCCATCTCTGATACGGGAGGCCAGCAGTGGCGCGATTCAGCCCTCTCATTCACACAGATGGCTCTTACAAGAGGCTCGCGCCGTAGAGCGTTCCTTCATTTGGAGGGGTGATTCTATGTGATGTACTAGATCCATCATATTTTGGACGTTGGTTCACTTTTTACAGCTCATCTAATGTTGGATGGGCTGAGCCCGAGAGCCTTTTCACCATGCACTTCAACCTCATTTGCTGACCTAGGTTTTCTCGCTGATTGAATGGAACATTTGGCCGTGTCATTATCTCACATACTTGGCTCTTCATCGATATTTATAGTCGAATATCTCTTTTACTTCAGCTTTCCGCTTTTTTCAAATTATCTTCAGTTGGACCCTTTCTCTGGTTCACTTCTACTTCCGATTCTAGTTGCTCCCCATGGTCCTCATCTCGCATCCATCGAATTCGATTGCATTTCAATCAATTCTTTCGCGTCATATACTCCTTCCTCTATTTGTCTTTACCCGAATCTTTTCCGTTCATTTTTCATTCTCATTCTGACCTTCTCTCTATAAATTTTCGCGCACCCACTCGAACTTGTTTCATCTACATCTTCCAAGGCTTCACTTGAGCTCGTGTTTGTTTCACGAATTGACTCTTGTCAACTCACACATCTCATTAACTTCCTATTATCTCAATTTTAAACCGACTCACGGTACAGTGATCACGATGGATATCTTCGTCCGGAATATTCCTGTCCAAGCTACCGAGAAGAGCTTGCAGACGTTTTTCAGACCAATTCTCGGACAATTTGGGATAGAGAATTTCGCCTGCCACAGATTCAGGGGACGGGGCTTTGCAGTCATTACTGTGCTGGAGGTGGAATGCGCAAAGGCATTTCTTATCGGACTCAACCTCCCAGTAGCGCAGTCTCGCCCGTTAAAATTTATGGGAAGGAGGATCTGGTGCGAATCTAGTCGAAGACCGCTGAATGACTTTCTCGTCAAGGTGTTGCAAAAGGAGAAACGGGACAAACAGCGCCGTCAGATGCGGATGAATGCGACAATCTACGATGATGAATACTACCAAGAAGAACCAGAGTGTAACCAGCCATCCGAGGCAAAGGACGTGTTTCCCATCTTTGGGGTGCATTGCGGGCTATGGGATTATGATAGAGATGAATTGGTCTTCGTCTCTCATCTCAAGTCTCTAAAAGCAGGAACGCTCCGATTCGGCCAGCGAAAGGCGACCGTGATTTTGCAGATGAATGGTTTGGAAGGGAGTCATTTCATTGAGATGCCTTACGATTCTATACAGTGCATCACTCCCGGTGGTGGGGCCGTACCGTCCGTCACCTTCTCCTTAGACAGATGTCCTCGGATGTATACAAAGACATTGGCTGATGCGAAATCGAGCTCTTTGCCTTCATCTAGCGTCAAATTTGACAGAGTCTCTGGCATCAATGACGCACATTTAGAAATAACTGGCAACTGCCTTGTCTACCGATTCCTTCTTCTCGCTGATTTAGAACTTATCATGGAGCTTAAGAACCGACAGTATATGCCCACCATACTGGCTTGGACAACACGGATAATCCAACCATGCGCCGCTCTAGCTCAAGGCTTTCTAGACCTAGAGAAAGCAACTCAAACACAGATTTCTGATTGCCATTTTGAGCTAAAGTTTCAGCTCCAGAAATTGACGTTAAACAACCATATCTCTCCTTGGTCAGTGTTGGAATTGTTACCTGTAATCTTGGAAATTGCGAAGCGGTCAGGAGACGATACGGCCGCAGCAGCTGTAAAACTGCTATCTCGACAAATTCCCTTTGCAGGACCGGCGACCGAAGCCAGAGAACTTTGCAATTCCGAGTTGCTCAAACGACTCATTGAAAATGAGAAGGTTATAAATTACTTTGTTCAACATGCAGATGAACCTGAAATTAAATATGACCACATTACTCGCGTGTACCAAGCCACTGTCACGCCAGCTGGTATTTATTTGCATGGCCCGCAATTCGAAGGGAAAAATAGGGTACTACGATGCTACCCGGAGTTCACATCACACTTTCTTCGGGTTTCATTTGTGGAAGAAGATGGACGACCACTCAGATTTGACCAAACAAATCACTCGATCCTCTATTCGCGTTTCAGTTCTATCCTGAATGACTCTGGGATAAAGGTCGCTGGCCGCGTATACAAATTTCTTGGCTTCTCCAACTCCTCTTTGCGTCAGCAGACGTGCTGGTTCATGGCACCATTCGTCCAAAACGGAGAGTTACTCTGCGCAGAATCTGTCATTGCTCGACTAGGAGACTTTTCCTTGATTAGATGCCCCGCTAAGTGCGCCGCTCGTATTGGTCAAGCTTTCTCGGAGACTCCATTAGCAATACCGTTGAAAGAGGGAGCCGTTAAAGTAATTGATGATGTTAAAGGGGATGAAGGTCGTCTATTCAGCGATGGGGTTGGCACGGTTTCGAGGGAAGTTCTGGAAAAGATCTGGGAAAAGAGTCAGATCAAGACGAAAACTAAACCTACGGTTTATCAGATCAGATACGCCGGTAGGACTGGCTTTCCTTTCAGAAGCATACATGTTGAGACGTGCGGGCTAACAAAATGCTCAATTACAAGGCGCAAAAGGCATGATATCCTATGATCCCGGACTTATGGGCGAACAGCTATGCCTCCGGCCGTCAATGATTAAGTTCCAAGGCAGGAACTCAAAATTTCTTGAAATATGCGCCGCTGGAGACAAACCATTCCCGATGTTTCTGAATCGGCAGCTAATCAAACTTTTGGAAGATCTTGGAGTTCCGCCTTCAGCCTTTTTAGAACTGCAGCAGGCAGCAGTTGAAGACTTGAGGAAAATCACTTTGTCAGCTCAAAACGCAGCCAGCTATCTGGAGCTTAGTTGTCTGGGCACCACCGCTCAGATACCATGGCTCTTGCGGACTTTGGATTCTCTGAACTTATCCTTTCAATCGGATGGATTTCTATGCGACCTTGTCGAAATTACTGTTCTCATTGCTCTTCGAGAATTAAAACATCGGTCTCGCATTCCGGTCGCACAAGGATTTACTCTCTTTGGAGTAATGGATGAGACTGGCTATTTAGGCCAGCACGAAGTCTACTGCACTACAGACACGGAACAAAAGGGGCGTGTTGTTCTGACCCAACGTGTTGCGATCACTCGCTCTCCAGCTCTTCACCCGGGAGATATTCAGATGGTACAAGCCATCGATGTTCCCGAAGATTCGCCCTTACGAGCCCTACATAATTGTGTTGTTTTCAGCCAAAAAGGCAGCAGGGACCTCCCCAGTCAACTCAGTGGAGGAGACCTTGACGGAGATCTTTATAATATTATTTTTGACGAGAGTCTGTTTCCGAAAGAGGTGTACTTTCCTGCTCAATATCCACGCGTCGAACCTCAGGATATAGGCCGGCCGGTGGAAAGCAGTGACATGGCAGATTTCTTTCTGCAGTTCATGGAAATGGATAAACTAGGAAGGATAGCCACATTACATCAAGTATTGGCGGATAAACGTCCTCTCGGAATACTCGATTACGACTGCCTACGCCTGGCCAAATTACATTCGACAGCCGTGGACTTCTCCAAGACTGGAATTCCGGTATGTAATTAATCCCTCATTGCAGTGAATTGATAGCGAGCTCATATTTTTAGGCTGATTTGCGGGATCTCCCCCGTGACTTTGGTCATTTTCGTCCAGATTTCATGGCCAATGGCCCACGTGCAACTATCCAGAAGGGATTAAGATTAGAAGACCTTGAAGAAGACACAGAGCCCTCGTTTGGTCCCGATAAAGACTTCGAGCCGTACAGATACTACGAAAGCGATAAGGTTCTCGGACAACTTTATCGAGCAATCGATGAACAACGATTCTTCTCCGGATTACAACGCCAAGCCCGACTGCTCAAATTGCACCCTCGAACCCTTTCCCGTCATAGCTTGCTGGGAAACGTGTGGGAGCACATCAACAGGGAGACGCAGCAGGTGAAGTGGAGGCAGTATATCGACTGGGCTAGGGGTATTCGAGAGCTGTACGCAACTTTTGATACCTCATTCCTGCATCTGCTGCATCCTCTTCCACTACCATCCCCCCTTTCGCACCCCAAGTATATATGGATTGACTTCAATACCAAAATGAGGCATAAACTGTTCGATCGACTAATCAAAAAGTAGGTATGAAGACAACCTCATCGAAAGCATGCACCGCTACGCCATGCATCCCGCACACCCGCTCGACGAGCTCGAAGCTTTTCTTGGCAGCATCCTCGGCAAATATGGTGCTCAGTCTAAGCATCAGCGCGAGAAATCTGTAGGATTGAGAGCAAAAGTCGAGCGCGATATATCATTTATCGTTGACCATATTGTGAGCAACGACGAAGAACCAGCTAAACAAGAGACAGCTCCAATGATGGAAGAGTTGAACAACGATCATGGGCCACCTGCACCTGGACAAGAGACTGCATTGGCAAAATCAATCGCCTGCTTGTTTCTTGAGGTTGAGAATGGTGCGCAGCGCCGCACCCGTAGCTATGGATGGGTCGTGGCTGGGGTTTGCCTAAAGGAGTTGGAGAAATGGAAGGAATGCCTTAGTCACTCCCAATTCACGGCTGCAAATAAAACTGCAGACTCTGCCAGTGGCTAAATATTTTAGGCACTAATAAGAAGGATAAGGACTGTTGTCTTCTTAGGAAAAGAGAAATCTCATATTGCTTTTCCGTCTCAGATCTACTGCTGCTTGGATACGTTATGACGCTCAAGAATTACCAGGAAATAATGGTTCTTCAAAATCGTAAATAAATCCGAGCAACATTAATGCGTATTTACCATCAGATCTCTATGAGTAAAAACCATTCTTCATTGAGATCACATGTGTTGCTTAGACCACAAATACCGAAGAGATACTGGGTCCATTGTGCTCCGACGTGTGCTTCGGCTATGATGTCACCACAACATAACGATAAGTTAGCAGCTTAGCTCCTTGCTTGAACAGCAATTATCCACTGGAGTCCAATTCCTACGATTGCAGACACTGCGCTGTTAAAGAACTCAATTCCTTCTATAAACATCAATTTTCTTCTCTGGGGAATCTTACAGAAGTCTAATCGACTCCGAAACGACCTGTTCAAGTGCTCCACTACAATTGCCGCCGCCTCCTCCGCCTCCTCCTCCGCACTCCAACCAATCCAACCCCGCCAAACACACCCAAGCAACTCTCAATCGCTCTACACTTCCAAACCTCAGCATCGCAAATCAGTTTTTCCATTGTGACTGTCACATTTCTTACCAAGTCTTGCGCTGAATCAATCAACATGACGTCCCGCGCGCCTCTTCTACTATCCAAGGCGTTTCACTTCCCGCCCTCTCCAGCCACCATGTCATCGACTGCGTCCAAACTTTGCTCATTCTCGACGTCCTCCACTTCCTCTATCATCTCTACACCCGCCAGGATCGCATCTCGCGCCAGTATATCACGCGCCTCGTTCTCCAAACCTTCATTGTCCTCCTTTTCCACCGCACGACTCACGCCCCGCAACAGTCGCACCATCCGCCGCGCTGGCCTCGGATTATGTGTTGGCGCAACACTCGGTCTGGGCGCCGGATCACCGGTTATCCAGTCGCTCCGACCGCAAATAATGTACTGCGACAATGGATTTGAAGCATTCGAGACAAAGGTCGGGTTGAAAACGACAAAAGAGCTGGATAGGGAAATTGAAAGCGGACGAGAAAAGTATACGTATGAGAAGGATGCGAAAGCGCCGGTGGTGGGGAGCGAAACCAATAAAGGGGTGTTGATCAGACAGTTGAGTGCTGGGAGTGTTTTGGGTGAGTGACATTCTTGCTTTCTTGTTCTTATTGTTCTATTTATTCCTCTTGATGCTCTTTATTCCTGTTTTCTTTTTAATTTTGATATGTCTTCAATGCTAACAGGAGAATAATTGATGAATAGGTCTCCTCTGCGGCGTGGCAGTCAGCGTTTTCTCCAAGACTCTCGCATTGGTATTCGGCCTAGCCGTAGTCATTGTTCAGGTATGGCTATTCATTTATATATCTCAATCATTCCTTTCATTATATTATCATTCATTTTTTCCTCTCCCATGAATATCTAACTCATATGCTTCCTTAGGCCGCCGCATCTGGAGGCGTCCATCTCATTCCCTACCGGCGCTTGCAACGCTACGTCCAGCGCGTCGATATTCGCTCGGTGCTCTACGACAATATCATTTTTAAATTGTCTTTTGGCACGACATTTGCCTTGGCTGCGTTTGCTGATTTCAGCTAATTCTTTTGTTATCCCTATTTCTCTTATGGCTACGACATTTTCGGGTCCCAAATACGGTTTTATTCCCAGGGTCAGGCTTTCTATCTCAAAAGAATTTAGTTTCGTATTTGTCCACTGAAATCGTTGTCACTTTCTCCCGTATTATGCCTTATCAGCCTCCGGTCCTTCGGGGAGAAAGAGTTTCTAAGTTGTATAAGTTTAATTTTCCTATCATGACAACGTATTGCCCTGTTGCTAAGGAAGTTGTATAATTACTATAGTCCATAATAAAAACCTTAAAAGCTGGATTGATTGGAATTATATATTGGTTATCCCGTATCTGAAATATCTCGGAGGGGTTTTCGAACCCGTCATGATTCACTACCTTTTGTATGCCTTATATTTTGAGGATCAATTGGATTATATTCTTTCCTGACTTCGTGTTGTATCTTTGCCCATTAATTTGGAATCTTGGGACTTTATCGCTTTCATTACTATCATTTCCTTGAAAATCCGATATGAACGACAACTAGTTCCGCGTAGGGCTTTCTTTTTATTTCGTGTCCCACAGGGCCGCAGTCTTCCTCTCATTCGCTCTTTTCATATTAATGATGATGTTCACTATCTAAAAATCTTGTTGTCAACGATCCTTTTCCCCTTCCTCTTTTAAAACATCCAAATAACCTTCTAAGAAAGATGCTAGAAGAACGCTTTTAAAACAAATTGAAGAATTGAAATAATTTTTCCCGTAATAGGTAGCCAAGGAAAAAAAAATAAAGACAACAAAAGAAACAGAGGACAAAATGGGACAAGGAAAAAAAAGGACGTCGCGAACAAGATTCGAACTTGCGAGGCCGAAGCCATCAGATATCCAAACGCTCAAATACGGCATTCAAGTCTGACCCATTAACCACTCTGGCATCGCGACTTAACATGCTATACTCCTTTCGTAAATTGGCTTATGTAGCACACTGCAAGGGTCCGCTTACTGCGACACACTAAATCCGACCGATGCACAACAACACGAACTCGAAGGCAACGCGGGGCACCCACTTACAAATTCACGATATGAATCCTGCCTCTGAACAGTAAATAGTAAAATACAAGACATCAAACGTCTGGTCGCTCTATTTTATAAGTAGTGCATTCGATACAGAGAATGTATTGGAGCTAATGCTATGGAATTTCTAATGGGACATATAAATAAATGGGTATTGCAATGATAGCATGCATGTTGGTCTTGAAAATGACTTTTACGATGCGACCGAGTACGGAAAAGTGAGAAGAGCATGTGAGTCCAGATAATTGATGATGCGAGGGAATGCTAAGCTCATGAAGCATATGCAAAATTGGTCCCGCGACTCGCAATCCAGAGCTCTCTGACGAGTTGATTGGTGTTTCTGCTGCCGCGGAGGCTTTTGTGTTTATGCCAATTAGTGAAATGCTCTGGAATGAGTATTCTTCTGAGAGGAATCTCCCAAGAAGAGAGAAGATATAAACTCACCTCATGACTTTTTGCAGCCATATCCGGCGCTCCTTCTGGTCTACCTTGTCGCTGGGAAAGGCGTCGCCGTACAAGGCGCCTTCCAACCATGTTTTTGCTCGTGGCTGCTTGAAGACAAGTTTCTTTAAGGGTTCAGCAAGGGCATCGAGATCACTGCGCGGAGCACCACCGGCGATGCTCCGTACGAGTGTAACTGCAAGGAGCGGACCCATGTGCGCCATGATATTGTTGATGGACGACTGGAGTGGCTCTGGTTGGTCCGTTTGGGAGACAAAGGCGGCCTACATTTCCGATTGGGCTCAGCGTTAGCGCCATTGAGTTGGATCAGGAAGGGTAAAAGAAAGCTCAATGACGGAAAGCTGACTTACCCAGAAGCTAGCGGCAGAGCGCTTGGGTAGAATATCATCCCCGCGCAGGCAATCTAGTATGAAAGCAAAAAGTCTCTCAAGGCCGTCTTGGACCTCAAGATTGAGGAGAACATTGATATAGCGTGGTATGAACCGCATAATGACATCGACGCAGCTTTGAGCAATCTCGGGTTCATTGGATGGGCCTGAAATATAAAAGATGAGTGATTTGTCTCTCGACATTAATGGGGATAGAAGAGAAAAAGAAAGAGAAGCCTATACCTCCAATGGATTGCACGATCCGGAGAACGTAAAGTAATATAAGTCTTGCTTCATTGTCAATCCTTATGGATTGGTCGGATAAGTGTGTAGTGAGAAGGACACAGGCAGTGGTCAGGACATTTTCCACTCGTGGAGTGAGGTGGTTGCTCTTCAGGATAAATTCGACGGTAACGCTTGGTGGGAAAACGAAAGGACCAGGTGTTGTTTCTTTGAGTCCACTTCTATAGACATTGCATGCTTCTTCTATAATTTCCCCGTCTTGAGATAACGCCCCAGTAATGATATCGACGAGCTTGACGATATGATTTTGGATTTCCTTGCCGGCACCAGCATCCCAAAAGGTCGATTGAGGCGTCTCGGAGTCCAGATCTAATGGTAGATCGTCCGGTGCTTGGAAGAGCTTTCCCATGCTTGAGAGGCATCGGAGAGCTGCGACACCAGAACCTTGAGCCTCTTCGGTCTGCCCGTTTGCCAGAGAGTTCAGGCAACTTTGGACGTCCGCCTCCACAAACTGGAGAAGCCGGGAGGTAGGGGCAGCTTTTGCTTCTTCGGACGGGAGAGCTTGGATGATGGCAGCAATGGCTCCGATGACCTTCTCTTTGGTGGAGATGTCTGCACTCGGCCAAGCCAGAAACCGGCCGTATTGCTCTAAGAAGGTCTCAAGCTCAGACGTAAGAGACTTTCGACATGATGAACAGAGAAGAGATATCGATTTGGATGCTGGAGTCGACAATGCTGGCGAGGAAAGCGTGGTGAAAAGAAAGTTTAGAGCTGAAGGAAGTAGCTCTGTATGGCGTTTACACAAGGAAGAGTAATGCCCGAGCATATTAACGGCGGTTTGTCGTGCTTTTGGGGGGACTGGAATATCGGGATTCGATAATTGAGAGAACATGGACGAGCCCAGAAGCTGCACCAGAACGTCATCCTCTGGCCCTCCATCATCAGAGATACACTCTGCGAGGGCATTCAAGCAGAACAAGGTTGCCTCGAGATTCTCCCAGGCGCCTTCCTCAAGAGAATGACGAGCCAAATGAACCAAGCGCTCAAATACTTCTGCACCTAGAAATGTATATGCTGATTGAAGCAGATCGTTTACATCTCTGCGGAAATCCTGGAACTTCTTTCTGGAGTCCGAATCCCACGTTATCAGGACTTCAGAGGGCGGGAAGCGGACTTTGCCCCAGCACTCCTCGATAGCTTGAATGACATTTTGTCTAGCTGCACCCATCCAAGGTCTGCTCTTTTCTTCCTCGGCAAAAAGTGCAGCGCTCATAGAATCAACAAAATTATTCCAGAACTCTAATGCATCCTCGCAAATCTCGTCCTCGACAATGGGATAGCCTTCGCACTGTAGAAGCCCGTGCAGCATGCCCAGAATATGCCGTGTGCTCTGCTCTTCGGATTTCTTGACCAGATCATCCACTGTTGCATCTCCGAAAGCTAACAAGAATCTGCCAAATTGCAACGATTCAAATTCAAAGTCGCTTTCTCGAAGTCTCTGGAACCTGTTCCCTGCCCATTCGGTACCAAGGAGAGATGATAAGGCGTCCATATCTTCCGGCCGAAAGAAGATGGAAAAGTTTGACAGAGTGTCAATGAACACCTCGATGGTAATGTCGAAGAGATCTTCGTTTAGCAAGCAATGCATTGCGGGTTCGACCAGTGTTCTTATGGTATGTAGCGGTGCAGAGTTGTCTTGGTCAACCCAGGCACGGTGAGCAAAATACAACCACGACTATCAAAGGTTTTAATTAGAGAAGGAAGACTAGGGATGATATAAATGAGCTATTATTTACCTGAAGACACTTGACGCCCTCTTGTTTAAGGGTAATATCAGCAGTTGGAGCAATTGCGTATCCCAGCAATACAACGACATCTTCGATAGAGGGAGTCAAATTTTGATGCAAGGAATGTCTGAAAAGGATGCGTTAACACTCAGAATTGCGGATCTCTGCGGATATATACTCACTGTTGTTGCCCTCCAATATTGACTTTTCCAGCCTCTTCGGCCAAAGTAGAGCTGAACCAAAGAATTGCAACAATTTGCTGCAGGCTTAGTCGTTGCAGCAGCTCGGGCGTCGGTGGGTATTGATCCAGAGCGTCCTCTAAAATAGCATCTCCAGCGCTAATGGAGCAGACAAGGTGCCGCAGGCATCGTGTCCATGAGACGCTGGGCCTCAAAAAGAAAGCTACCAGTGTCGAACACAGCTTTCGCACCACCAAAGCACTCTCGTTCCGTGAGACCAAGCGTACAAGCCATGAGATCAGTCTAGCGAGCAATGGCTGCACATCATGCTCGCTCAGAGAGTCCCTTGAAGCAACAAATCGTCAGAATTGGCTGATCGGGGATAATTCATCAAACAACGTACCAATCTGCATTCAATTTGACCGTAAACGTCAGAGCGCCAAAAAATCTGACTTTTTCATCATTACTCTCGAGTAGCTTGTCGGCAAGTATCCAACCCTCGGGTGAGCGTTGCAGTTTTTGCAGGGTCTCTTGGATCTGCACAATCAAGGCGGGACTCCCTGGCAGATAGAGCCTTTTCACCAGCTATATGATACACGAACACTCAGCAACCTTTTCACCTTTAAGTGAGGGAACGTGTAATTTTAGATGCAGCTTACCTCTTCAACCTCTAGCATTGAAGTCGGCGTCTGCACCATTTCTTGTGAAAATTCATCCGTCGCCATTTCAACGGACTTTTTATTGGAGAAGGCACTCTTGAATAAAATTATTAGAAATTGTGCACGCAGGTTTGGCGGGGTGCTCGTGTGCAAAATGCCTGCCGAATGCCGCTTTCACACCCCGCGCAGCTAGAGTCAGGGTGAGTAGCTAGATGAAAAGGTCCACAGTAAATAATTATGATAAAGAAGAAGAAGAAAATTATTATGATGATGACAGCCCGCTCAATAGAGCTCAATTACAGTACTTGTGTGTAGTTACATGAGAAAAGTGCCCGGGGGAAATAAAGTCATCGGAAATCGCCCACCTCGTCTATGTAGGATCGGCCTGCTGTCATCACCACCACTTCCATTTCCCCCTTCATTGTCGCATTGCTATGAGCAGCGGCTTCGTTGACTTGTAGATGCAAGCCTTTCGATCGCTTTGCCGGAGTCAATTTCAATCTCTCAATCTATTGCGCTGGACGAGTACTCCAGCGAAACAGTCCTTGGCCAGAACATTCTCCGCCAGTGTGCCCGCTCGCGTGACTGTAGACATGGAGCAGGTCAACACCAGCCAACGCCTCGCACATTTGCGAGAGCTGATGAAGAAGAATGATGTTGATATCTACAGTACGAAGAAAGCTTGACTATCACTCGTTGCGCAACTCTAACTTTGCTGCTAGTCGTTCCCTCAGAGGACAGTCATCAGTCCGAATACATAGCTCCCTGCGATGCCCGAAGAGGTGGGTACCTTGATCTTCCATTTCACTATCATTATTCTGATTTTTCACAACCTGCAGAGTTCATATCCGGCTTCACTGGTTCGGCAGGATGTGCCGTCGTCACCCTTGAACGTGCCTCGCTAGCTACGGACGGTCGATACTTCAATCAGGCGGAGAAGCAACTGGACGATAACTGGGAGTTGCTGAAACAAGGGTTGACAGATGTTCCCACTTGGCAGGAATGGTATGCATAATAATGTAAATCTCAAGTCAATCTGGCTGAAACTAATAGGACGGCCGATCAATCTGCCGGTGGAAAGACTGTGGGCGTGGATCCGACCGTCATCACTGCGCGTTAGTCCTATATCTGGCTCTCGAAATGAAAAGGTACGCTGACGCAATATAGCCGACGCAAGGAAACTCTCTGAGAAGATCAAGAAGAAGGGCGGAAAAGATTTGGTTGGGATCAAACATAACCTGGTCGACCAGGTCTGGGGAGAGGATCGTCCAGCGCGGCCGAATGAGCCTGTCCGTGTCCTTGGTCTAGAATTTGCTGGCAAGCCATTCCAAGAGAAACTGGGGGAGCTTAGGAAGGAACTGGACAAGAAGAAGAGTGCTGGCTTCATAGTCTGTAAGTCTCGACATTGACAGCGATCTCACCAGACACGGTCCATGGCTGACATTCGTACGATTGAAGCAATGTTGGATGAGATTGCGTGGTTCTACAACTTGCGTGGCAGCGAGTAGGTTGTTCCTAATTGCACGAGAACGTTCGTGGGCTAAAAAGTAGCAGTATCCCTTATAATCCCGTCTTCTTCTCCTACGCTCTCGTGACTCCCACAAGCGCAACTCTTTACATCGATTCCAGCAAGATCGACGACACAGTCAGGTCAACACTTGGCGATCAGGTCGAGATCCGGCCATATGAAGACATCTTCAAGGATGCTGAAGCCTTGGGTCAAACGATCGACCCCAAGTCCTCTGATGAATCCGTTTCTGAACGTAAATTTATGGTCGCGTCTAGAACGTCATGGGCATTAATTGAGGCGCTGGGTGGCGCGGATAAAGTGCAGGAGGTCCGAAGTCCGATCACTGATGCCAAAGCTATCAAGAACGAGACGGAGCTGAACGGCATGAGAGCATGTCACATTCGAGATGGTGCCGCTCTTACTGAATATTTCGCATGGCTTGAAGAGCAACTTGTGGTCAAGGGCGCAAAGCTTGACGAAGTTCAAGCTGCTGACAAGCTCGAAGCAATTCGATCGTACATTGCCCCAGTATCTCTTATCGTGCAAAGAAGCTCTTGATCTAACGATTTTGCTTACAGAAAACACCACAACTTTGTCGGCCTCTCTTTCGACACTATTTCCTCTACCGGTCCTAATGCCGCAGTCATCCACTACTCTCCCGAGCGAGGCAATTGCGACATCATAGATCCTAAGGCTATTTACCTCTGCGACTCGGGCGCCCAGTATCTCGACGGCACTACCGACACCACTCGAACCCTGCACTTTGGCGAGCCTACCGAGATGGAGCGAAAGGCCTACACGCTTGTCTTGAAGGGTAATATTGCTCTTGACCGAGCTGTTTTCCCTAAGGGTACTACGGGCTTTGCCCTAGACACCCTTGCCCGCCAGTTCCTTTGGGAAGAGGGTTTGGACTACCGTCATGGCACTGGCCACGGCGTTGGTTCCTACCTGAACGTTCACGAGGGCCCCATTGGCATTGGCACTCGTGTGCAGTACTCGGAAGTCTCAATCTCTGCTGGCAACGTCATCTCTGACGAGCCCGGTTACTATGAGGATGGCAAGTTTGGCGTTCGCATTGAGAACGTCGTTGCCGTCCGTGAAGCCTCTACCGAGCACCAATTCGGAGACAAGCCTTACCTTTGCTTTGAGACTATGACAATGGTTCCCATGTGCCGAAAGCTAATTGATGTTAGCCTCCTCACGGATGTGGAGAAAAGCTGGCTGAACTTTTATCATGCTGCGGTGTATGAAAAGACCAAGGGATTTTTTGAGGGAGACGAGCGGACCTTGGCCTGGCTCGAGCGCGAGACCCAGCCGTTTGAGACTGCGACTGCCACAAGCGATGCTAGCTGGGTGGATGTTGGCAAGGAGGCACATTAATGGTAAGGGTGAAGATTTAGGAGAACAGATGCATTAGTTTGCAAAGCGCTTGGATCAATGATAGAGAACCCGGACGCACCTGCAAATTCGTTCAACAGGACAGGTAGCTCGGATCCGTCTCCGTCCCGATATACCCGATTCCTTGGTTCCAACCGTTATGTTGTCTTGTGTTGCGTTTTGTTGGCATTGCATGTTTAGCATAGCATGGGACTTGGTTATTTTGGGCACGGAATGGCACGGATTGCGGGATTTTTTTCGTTTGGATGTTTGGTTTTTTTTTATTCTTGTTTTCTTCGGCTTGCTTTTATTTATTTTATACCTAACGAAATTCAACGAAATTTTCCAATTTAATGTGATTCCAAGTAGAATTCAATCTAGATGCATCTTGCTCACAACAAAAATTATATCTTTACCAATCAAAATTCAAAAGGATGGACACAGCGAAAGATATTTAACATCTTGTTAGTCATGCAGACAAGCTTGAGAATAAAAATAAATCGAAGGATAAAAATGACAAAAAAGATAACATGTCGTCTCTGTGGATCGAACACAGTACCTCCAGATTAGCTTGTATGCTAGGCGGCTGAAGTTGACTTCAGTCTGGCGCTCTCCCAATTGAGCTAAGACGACTTTGCTTATTCATCGCAACGCTATTGAAGTACAAGTAATGTGCCAATCAGTTGCATCTTTTAATAGTGTCAGCTTACAGAGTACAAAAGTCCAGCTTTGTTCCACCACCGTACCCAAGCTGAGACCCTCAATTTCAGTCTTAGATGAATAGCAAGCCCATCACAGGATCGAATTAGTTCAGACGGAGTATCAATAGCTTGGGCACTCGTAAAGACTGTATCTTACCCCCTGTATTCTGACGTATGCTCCTTGGCCCTCGTCTCGCTCGTCCGTATGCACGGACACGGGGATCGCCGTGCAGCTCGGGCCAGCTTCCCAGAGCTCCTTTGACCATTTGAATCTCAGACAATTGCGTAAATATCCGTTGATAGTTCTTTATCGACTTTTCCGTGGCCATGACAAGGTTTTAGACATGCTTGCGACTTCATCTGAGGTCTTTTGTTGTAAATCTGGCGCCTAAAAAGCCGTAAACTGAATGCAAAAGCGTTGCGTTGTGGTAAATTGCACTGTACATACTTGGAGCTACCATGTCTATGTCCCCTGGGCCGGAATCCCTGCGTGTCGAAGGCGGCATTAATGCGACAAGAGCACGCAGCAGATCCCCAAACGGACCATACGACCAACGAAGACCGAGATCTCCTTACCAAGGAGGACCACTGCAGAGTCCGCGCCCAAGATCACCATTTGGAGAACCAACCCAAATTCAACGGCCGAAATCACCCTACCGACAGCCCACTTACGACCAACGGCCCCGATCTCCATATAGAGAACCAACTCACGCTCAGAGACCCCGGTCCCCGTACGGAGAGCCCGGCCTTGATCAACGGTCTCGTTCACCGTATGGAGAACCACTAAAGCCAGCGTCACGGGACCCAAATCGCTCGCGCAGCCGTGAACGCAGGCCGGGAGGCTACGGTGGCTTGGGCGACGAAAGCGCTGCTGAACTGCTGCCTCTGTCAGGAGCGCGCTCGCCGCATTTGGAACCCACGGCAGCACTTTCGCCTATGGATCGGCCGGGGAGTAGCCGTGGTGGCTGGAACGAGTATCGGAATAATGGCCAGACAAACGGAGTAAATGGGACAGGTGCATATGGTGACGGGCCTGGGAGTAGGCAGATTGAAGGTTAGCATACATCGTGACTTTCAAGTCTTTATAAGAAGGAAATGCTGGAATTGAGTTGTCAGCGAGTGTTCAGACAATGTTCGCTGGGCGCATAGACTCAAATTGCTTTCTGGAGAGCCTTGGAGCGGAAATGAATATCAAGCAGAATAGGCTGACGTAGGGCCCAGATGTACTACAACAAATTCAGCGCGACTGGAACTTCATGACAAAAGATGATTGCTTGCCGGTGCAGGTGGCGCTTCAGCTGCTTGACACGAGCTCCTTAGGGCGTGCGCATCAATATGACAATTTTCAGCTCACACATCAACAACTACAGAGTGCGCTAAAGGCAATTGTCAATGGTAGGTGGGATGATCAGCAAGACAGGGTATTGGCTGACGAGGTCTAGACCATCACCAGGGATTCAATAGTTCTATAGGAACCTTTCATAAGATCCAATCTAGTATACAGGCGTCACAGGGACGGATACGAACGTTGAGAGATTCATTGGTACAAGCAAAGACAAATCTCTCCTCAAGCAAGCCGGAGCTCAAGGATCTGGCAACTTCGTCTCAGAAATATGAGGAAATGCTGCAAGTGTTAGGGCGGATGTAAGTCGGAAGACATTAAGAACTATGGAGGATGCTAATTCTTAACAGAGAGCAGTTACAGCTGGTCCCAGAGAAACTGGAAGCTCGCATCTCGGAGAAGCGCTTTCTTGCTGCAGTGGACGTTCTTCAAGATGGCCTCCGTTTGATCCGCCGTACGGAGATGGAGAATATCAGGGCATTATCAGATTTGAAGGTCTATCTAAATAATCAACATACAGTATGGGTTGTGTCGAGCCCGCTTTGTGCGAAGAACGCTAATATTTTTAGTCTCTCACCGATATATTAGTTGAAGAGCTACATAACCATCTATATCTTAAATCACCTTATTGTCAAGACCGGTGGAGAATTTATGCAGAACACCAGGGAAAGACTACAGGAGATGGTATGTCGTCAGGGATAGGCGACCTCCTGGGATACTGCTTGAGAAAGCGCTAACGATATCCAGACCCAAGAAATACGAGGCCAGTCTATGTTTTCCTCGATGCGGCAGATATTCTGAAGCCTGTAAGAGGGATCGCTGCTTGGGCTTAAAATGGCTTTGATTCTGACTACAAACAGATGACTGAGGATGCATCCCGTAACCCCGAGGCTGACACGTTCTATTATATTCACATGATCGTCGATTCTCTGAACCGAATGGGTCGCCTGGATGTTGCCATAGACCGCATCAGTCAGAGACTTCCAGTTGAGTTATTCAAGGTTGTTGACAAAACAAACAAGGAAGTTGATCAGAGACATCCAAGCACACTTCGTGGGCATGCAGAAAATGACCAGGCCAGGCTCGAGGTTGTAACCAGCAAGAACGACGTAAGGGCTACAATCATGAATGATTTCCTGTCAACTCTTTACGCCAAGTTTGAGGCCATTGCCGAGGGTCATCGTGCTGTCCACCATGTTGTCAGTGGTATTGTTTCGCGTGAAGGGATCGCCAAGCCGGACCATCTGATGAGTAGTTTCAAGGAATTGTGGAAACTGTATCAAAGCGAGGTGTGTTATATCCTGATAACTTATGCCGGCCGGAAGCTGATGTTTATAGATGCGTTCAATCCTCCATGATTACCTTGCCACAGACAGTGATGTGTCTTACTCTGCTGGTGCAGCACCTCTTGGTGGCATAAGATATCCGCATAGAATTCAGCGTGACCGATCAAAGGTAGGTATTAAGGCGTTATTATGGGGAATTATTTGCTAACAGTGGACTATAGCGGATGTTTAAGCTCTCTGATATGGACAACCAGTCCACGCAACTGACAACAGAGCAAGAGGATCTAGAGCAGATTCTGAAATCCTCTGTGCCTGGACTTGTGTCAGATTCCCGACGACCAGCTGGCGCAAGTAGTAACGAGGCGAATGGACAACACGAAGGAGGAGCTACCGGGCACAAACTTCTAATTGAACCCAGTGTCTTCAATATGGGAATCCTTCTTCCTCCGTCTCTTGCATTTCTCCAGCGGCTCAAGGACGTTGTTCCTCCTGACTCTGACATTGTCCTGAGTACTCTGACTTCTTTCCTTGACGATTTCCTCGTAAATGTATTCCATCCTCAGCTCGACGAAAGCTTGATGGATCTGTGCACTCGCACTTTTATCGAGCTTGATGCTTTCCAACAAGATCCCGGATGGGCAAACCATGCCAAATCTCCCATTCTCAAGGTAAGCTTTTTTCTCATGGGTAATTCGATCTATTGCTGATCTCTGTTAGGGAACAACGGCATTCTTCAATCTCATCAGTGCATTCTGCAAGATGCTGGATAATATACCCCACGATCAGGCCTTTACTCAACTCATCATTACCCAGATGGTGACTTATTACGACAAGTGCTGCGGCTGGTACAAAGGTGAGTGACTGCGTTTTGTAATATACATGGTACTGTGGTTGACGTTGGTAGCGTTGGTTACAAAGTCCCCTTCCCAATTACAGGAAGGCAGCTCGCGATTACGCGCCGCCGCGGCGATTACGGAACCCGGAGAACTCAGGGACATACTCACAAGGTTGTGGGATACTGTTGACGGTGATGAGAGTAGGAAGGAGGAGCTTATACAAAAGGTCTGCTTGAATCCTTAAGCGTAAGATTTATCATCATGCTGACAGATTTAGGAAATCGAGGATCTGCTCAGACGAAACAAGGATGCGCCTTTGGATGCAGTAGATATTATAGGAGATAACAAGACTATTGGATATCTCTGCATGCTGTATACTAGCATGGTCAGTCGCCATGAGTGATCAATACGTGATGAGAGAGAGCAGTACTGACAGAGAAATAGGAGTGGCTCGCAGCCAGAGTTGGTCGCCTCCGGCATATCAGTGACCGCTCCAACGATTCAACACGCAGAGAGCCCGGAAAGCCGGGCCGTCCACGGCGCTGGACTCTACTTAATTCGCCACGGCCACAGGGCGATGAAACGAAGACTTACCTCCCAATGACTCAAGAGAGCGCTGTGTATGTCAATTGTGCCCTTATCTGTTGATATATGAAAACATGCTTATAATAGTTCAGAACATTCGACGGCGTGGTCAACTCCTACAGAGAATTAGCCACTACGGCGCTATTCACACTCCATCTTGAAATCCGATGCCAAGCGATACAGAAACTCTCACAAGTGTTCCAAAATACGCATAAGCTCGAACAAGCGGTCAACGAGGCAGACCCGACGATAATAGCCCTCAACTCAAACCTGGTTACATTTGATGAGACAATTTCAACCTACGTCGGGAAACGAGAACATCAGTAAGCTTCCAAATCTTATAGACCCTTTTCTGCTTTTGCGATACATATTTACATGCTATCTTTCCCCTATGTCCTTTTCGTGCGTCGAACCCTCTCGATTAATCGATATTCTTTACAGATTCATAACCAATTCTCTCGGTCGACTGCTCGATACCCTACTCATCCACAGCCCTACTCGCATTCCCGTGATGAACATGCATGGCTGTGAGCGGATGCAGCTCAACATTCTCGTCCTGCAGCAGAATCTCAAAAACATTGAAACCGAAGACGATGTTAGTCTGGCACGTAGCTCGCGCTTTTTCGACCTCTTTGTCGATGGTCCCGACGCAATCGTCGAGCGCGCGAGGAAGGCATCTGCATCTGCTAGCTCTAAGGGTCCAAATAAAGACCAAAATCAAGAGCAGAATCCAGGCCTCGAGTTCACGTATGATGAACTCAAAGCCTTGGTGGAACTTTGCTACTCTGAAGGTCTCACATCTGAGCGCAGAGAGGCAAGCATGCAGGCAAAGAGGAAGCTGAATGACTGTTTACTTGGCCTGAGTGAACATTTGTGGCAGACTTGAAGCATGGTATAATCTTGTTAAATTTATTTTTGTACGCCTAACTCAAGTTAGTCGTACGAGTTGTAGCTGTATACCAATATATCCGTCATCTTAAATATTAATGGGCACTTCATTTATACAACGAGCTTGACGTTCATGTGTTTGGATTTTGCTGTAAAGCAGCCGGTGGCGGCGAGTGTTAGTGGCGGTGGTGCTCGCCCTCGCCCGCATTCTTCTCACCGCCCCACTCCATCAGCCAATGACAGCACGTACACAGCGGCAATATATTTCCCTCGCTCTCCAACACCGTAAATGTCCGATTTGACTCCCTAAGTTATAAGCTTCTCTCCACCCATTCGATTTTCACTTACATCTTTAATCTATATATCTTTCCGATCATCTTACTCTTTCACTGAATTACATCAGATACATCGACACCTTAAAACTTTATCACAGGCCCGGCATACATCTAAATTAATAAGCTCAGAATGGCGGGGCAGAAAATAAAAGCGGTTGTGCTGGATATTGGTGAGTAGTTAACCCCAAGCTTCTCTTTTCCTACTTTCACAGATTAGCTCTATTCAAGAAATTTGCTTTGATTTGTTTCATTTCTATACATATTATGGCCGATGCACTTGTCGCGTATTTTGTTATTTTTATCTTATTTTTATTTTACCCCTTCCGCCTTTTCCTTCGGTCTACGGATTTCTTTTGGCTTGATTTGATCCTGCAAATGTTCAGTATACTCTCTTTTGGTTGTTTTCTGTCTAATTATTTCTCGCATTCTATTTTGTGACAAAACTCAATTCGAATTGAGGTTAAATGTTCTTATTTTTGGTTTGCGTTTCTTTATCAATCCTTTTCGCCACCAACCAAGCGTGCATTTCTCCAGCACCACATACAACCCGACAAATCTGTATCGGGCAGAATATAACTAACATCAATCACAGAGGGCACCGTCTGTCCCATTTCTTTCGTCAAGGATGTTCTTGTACGTTTTTTCATGTCCTCTCCTCTCCTCTCCTCTCCTCTCCTTCCCTTTCCATTCCTCTCCTTTCCTCTTCACTTCTCTCCTATTTAACTCCTCCTTCAACCTTCCTCCTGTCACCCCTCCCCCAACTCCCCTCCCGACGCTTTTCCAATCCAATCCAATCCAATCCAGCAATACTCTACATCCTTTTCCCAACCTTCCCAATCTTCCCACCCCACTCCCACGATCCACCATGAATTAATCCCTTACCCCCACCCTCCCCTTAAGACCACTCTACTAACACTACCACACAGTTCCCCTACTCTCTGCACGCTCTCCCCTCTGTGCTCTCCACTCAATGGGATTCTCCATCTTTCGCTCCCTTCCGGGACGCATTCCCCGCCGAAGCACGCACCTCTCCCGCCGCATTCGAGGCACACGTGCACGATCTTACCGCCAAGGACGTCAAGATTGCGTACCTCAAGGGCCTGCAAGGGTATTTGTACCAGCACGGGTACGCGACAGGGGCCTTGAAGACGCCGTTTTTCAGGGACGTGGCGCCGAGTATTAAGCGCTGGAAGGAAGATTCAAGGGGACTGATGGTGGGGATTTATTCTTCAGGGTCGATTTCTGCGCAGAAGTTGCTGTTTAGGTATGCGGCTTTGGATACGGCAGCGAGTGCGACTACGAATGCCGCGTCTTCGTCGGCCTCAAAAGGAGCTTTGACGGAGTCAAAGGGTGCTGAGAACGAGGAAGAAAATGAGGCTGAGGAGAAAAAAGGGACTGAGACCGAGGACCTTACGCCGCTGCTGTCGGCATACTACGACACGACGACGGCAGGATACAAGGCCGAGTCGTCAAGCTATACGTACATCTCGCGCGACCTGGACCTGGCGCCCGAGGAGATTTTGTTTCTGAGCGATAGCGTCAAGGAAGTAGTTGCGGCAAGAGCGGCTGGGTTGAGAGCGAAGGTTGTCGTGAGAGAGGGGAACCCGGTGCTGAGTGATGAGGAAATGGAGCAAGCGGTGGAGAATGGAGAGGAGATTGTTACGAGTTTGGAGGATGTGGATGTTTAGATGTTAGATGGTGAGATGTGGAGTCTCGAAGGAGGTTTTGAGTGGTTGTATGATTTTATCTTAGAACGAGAGGGTAAATAGCTATAGACTGAAGAAGAAAAGATCATAACGGAAACAATGCAGTGCAGCCAAGGACTTTTCAATGTCTTCTCAGCAGAGCGGTAAATAAAATGATAAGCAGTATTATACCCTCAACTCCTTATGCTCTTGCCGTCTCTCCAGGAGACTCTCTGCAGCCTGATCACCTGCTATTCTTCCAAACACGACACACTCGAGCAACGACGATCCACCGAGGCGATTATCTCCATGGATCCCACCGGTGACTTCGCCTGCCGCCCAGACATTCTTGATCGGCGTGCTGTCTGGTCGTAGTACTTGGGCGTTCTCATCGATAAGTACTCCGCCCATAGTGAAATGGACCACGGGCGTCACGCGACCCACATAGATGGTCGTTTCGGGGGTAATTGTAGCTGGATCAGTCAGGCGCCAATGACCAAATGTTTTACGGTGGAAGCGGGCGTCCTTTTGAGTAGACACTGTGGCGGCATAAGACTTGAGGGTCTCGAGAAGCGCAGATTCCGACGGAGGCCCGGCTGGGTCGTTTAGCTGTTGTGCCAGTGATCCAACTGTCGTCTTCTTCATGAGGCCCTTCCAGAGATAGAAATCGATATGTGATGGTGCGGCTTCGTAGGTGCCTTGGTCGAGAATAAGCAGGACGTCCCATTGCTTGGGTACTTTAGTCTCAGGAGAGTTATCAAAAGAAGTGCGCGGAGCTAGTTTAGTAATGACGTTGGTGATATATTCTCTCGTTTCCATCTCGTTGACAAAGCGCTGCCCCGTGTCGCCACGGACGAGAATGCCGCCTTCGCCGCGAAGAAGCTCTGCGGCGAGAAACTTGAGCGGACTCGTCGGGCTCGATGTATCCACGAATCCTGTCGGGTGGACTTGCACGAGGTCCATGTCGAGTAGTTGCGCTCCTACGGCAGATAACAACTTCTGCGACCCTTCGCGCGGGTCGTTTGTTGATGGATACCCTGCCAGGTCTGGCCGATACTGGGCCAGCATGCCTTTGGCGTCGCCCGCGAAGCCGCCGCTGGCGAAAATAACAGGACCGTGAAGGATTTGCGTTTGTGTCCCTTTCTGCCCCTCCTGCTCCGCTTGCGTAGCCTTGCCGGCTGCCTGCTCTTGCTGTTGTTCTGGTTGCTCGCATGCATATTCTACTCCCTCGACGGCATTGTTCGACGACGAATGGAGAACTCTTGTTACGTGACATCCCGTTTGTAAATGGAACAGCGGACTCGCTTTGAGCGAATTAAGCAGCGTAGTGACAATTGCTGCGCCCGGCGGCAGTTTTCCCGCTCCTCGGTGCGTACGTGGAACGCTGTGTCCGCCTAGTTGCGCGACCCGGCTGAGATCAATCCCCTTTTCGTCCACGAGCCACTCAATCGCGCCTGCGGAGGCGTTGGTCAGCGTGGATATGAGGCGGCGTCGGTGGTCGGTCAGCGATGCTGTCGCGTTGAGCGCTGCGCCCGCGGATCGTATAGTGTCATCGTAGAACAATGTGTCGTGGATCGGCTGGAAGCGTGTCGGCGCCCCGTTGATTCCAGACGAGGCTTTGATGGAGTTTCCACCAGGCTTGGACGCCCGCTCGAGGAGATACACGGGCACGTTGCGGCTGATGAGCTGCGATGCGGCGGAGAGACCAGCAAGCCCAGAGCCCACGACGATAGCGGCGGCGGGGGTCGATGCACTGGCGGAAGAAGAGCCGCTGGCAAGCTTGCTTGTTATTGTAGACATGATGCCGTTGATATTATGAGAGTTATGGTGGAAGAGGGACGGCAGGATGAATATGAGAGCGGCGATGCTGACTAGGTATATGAGGCCGCGACGAATCATGGCTTGCAGCAGACTGGGGCCATTGAGGGTTGTATGTTGCGGATGAAGAGACTAATATGGCCTTTTGAGGCCCCATGGTGTCGTGGTTCTGCATGTTGTATGTCGTGGTTGTTGGAGATCAGGCGTGGGAAAGGTGATTTTGGAATCAGGTGATTGTGGCTTTCGGTATGCGTTTGACAGCCACTGGTATGCTGTCGATGTCTCTCACATACTTAGGAGCTTAACGTCCCTTCAGTGGACTGGAGACAGTACGGAGTGATGTATGATCACTAGAAGAGTTTCAGAGCGACGATGGTAAGAGTTGCTGTTGTTGTTTTTGTTGTTGGTATTGTCGGAGTATGACGTTGACTTGGTATCAGGATAAGCAACGTCAAGTCAACAAATAGGATTCATTAGATCAACAATCTCAACCGGGATCAATTGACATTTTCATAAATATGTTCTGATTGGATCGGAAATATCAAGATTATCTCCTTCTTTACAAATATCACCGTCCATGTTGACACTTTTAACGATATTCTTCCGTCTCACATCATCACATGAATCATGCGTGCCCATAACGAATGAGATTTAAACTTCAGCGCATTTGCTGACCAAAGCGCGGAAAGGGCTACCATGGTGCGAATCAGCCTTAGACTGTCGCCATCTCCTAGAAGAGTTTAACAACAGGGACTTGCTTATCAACGATGTGACTCTTATACTTCGATACGCAGCCCCTACTGCGGAATAGTCAGTCAGCTATAGGATTCATTTACTCCGACTCAAGAATGGGCTCTTCGTTAACTTTCTCTGCGCGCGGGGTGAAGAGTAATCATCTTCTCTTTTCTTCCGCAAATTTCAGCCCTGCAACCTAAACGACTGAAAACTCCGCTAAATTCCATAGAAGTTGACTAAACCGAGAAATTGCAAACTCCTCCCATTCTTGGCATAAGACGGGAGGCGGATTAATCAATGACGATGATTTCCGAGTCCTTGAGAAATCTCACATGCGTTTCAGGCTGAACCCAGCGTGCCTTTAGTGAAAAACGTTATTAGTATCGGAACCAGTTATCTCTTCCTATGGGGAAGAAGCTCGATAATGGTTTCTGACAAAGCTACTGCATCCACGCATGGTGCTTGGTAAGGCCTACGATGCTAAGAAACTTTTTCTGCTGACTTGAGCTGTCTTGGTCCTGTTTGTGTTTTCCAAAAAAAAGTATATATTCTTATGACTTCCGTGCCTTGTCACGTCATTTCATTTGCAAACTTCAGCTCTGTTTTTCTCACGTCCTTGCACTAGAAACTGATGGTACTCTTTTGAACCTCTCGAATTGTTTCATACTATTTCCTTGCAAAGATCTATACTCCATTGTTTCTCCTACTCTATATTTTAATTATTCAAAACTTGGCCAAATTTGCTCAATTCTCTACTCCGATCTCTCAATTGAAGCTTCCCCCGCTCCCCTGACGTGCCCATTGTGCAAGGCACAATGACGGACCTCTTCCGCGATACGGCCCTGGGCCAACTAATCCGCTGGGTTTCTGGGAAGAAAGTGCTGCTTTACCCCGAAGAAAAGCCTGACTTTCAATGCCCAAACTGCTACTCGCACCCAGACACATCCACAGATGCTCCTGCTAGCCGGGTATCATCCCATGCATCGCGGCCCAGAACACCAGCATCTGCGCATGCGCGGGACGAGCCGCTTCCAGATATTGAAACAGCACTAGAAGGCCGCACTCCCTCCGAGGATGAGTTGACGCTGGAAAAGACGCACACGGATATGATTGAGCATGTGGGTTCTGGACAGTCCGAGCTCTCCCGCATCGTCAGCCGTCCGAATTTCTCGTCTGTCAAAAGCCACGACGATCTCGAAAGAACATTCAGTCAAGCCGCTCTGGAAAAAGGCCCGAGTCGACCAATTGCGCCATCCAAACTTGATGACGGTACGATCCTAGTGGACTGGTACACGACTGATGATCCGGCCAATCCGCAGAACTGGTCCGCTTGGAAAAAAGGATTTGTCTCGTTTCAGATATGGTAAGTGTCCAGGTCAAGACCAGCTTTGAATAGAAGCGCTAATTCCTGGGATATAGTGTGTATACAATGGCTGTATATATGGCTTCGGCCATTTACACGCCCAGTATTCCGTAGGTGTCTCCTTTTACCCAATTTCACTTTCCTTGGGATTCTGTAAACTGACACTTCGTTACAGTGGCGTAGTGCAGCGATTTGGCGTATCAGAAACCGCAGCATCTCTAGGTCTAGCACTATACGTCCTGGCATGTAAGCATTTCTCCCTTTTTTCCCCCTTTGCCATGGCAGCATTATCTGCTATTTCCCCTCTTCCCCAGAATATTTCAACCTGACTAGTTCGTGCAGATGGCATTGGCCCACTACTCTTCTCGCCCATCAGCGAGATCCCCGTTGTCGGGCGTAACCCGCCATATATCGCTACCTTTTGTCTGTTTGTCGTGCTGAGCGTACCAACCGCTCTGGTCGACAATTTTGCAGGACTACTCGTTTTGCGATTCTTGATGGGTTTCTTTGGCTCGCCATGTCTAGCCACCGGCGGTGCTTCCATGCAGGATATGGTGCGTTTCCTTCCT